ATTAAAACCTCGAATAAAACCGCGGGATCAAAGCGAGCCAAGGCAAAAGTTAAACCAGGTCTGCAGAGTCGTGAGGTGGTTGTAGCGTGTCTGCTGTCTGGGACCGGGAGTGCTAGTGGACAACCTGCCAACCTTTTTTGTGACTTCTTCCTCATTTTGCTCGGTAATTTTTTACCAGTATGGATGCCAAGAATCCGAACGCTCAGAAGAGCAAAGGCTTGCTGTCAAGGGTGAGTAGCAGACTTGGATTACAAAATTATTTCAATATCTTACATTTTGTCGATTGAGTTATGGATTAAATTAAGCACGAAGTTTGGAACTTTTTCTTTACTGATACATTAAACATGAATGATGTTTCAAGTGTACTCTATCATATATATGCCTTGAAGCTTTGCATGGCGGATGAGAAAAAGTAGAAAGATTGCGGGTAACACCAAGTGGATTGAATCTCTTCTTGGAAGAAGTGTGGTTCTGAAAAGAACCGGTTGGTTGAGTGTAGAACTCGACGTTTCGGACGTTTCAGGAGGACGGACAGAGCACACACAATATTCATTTGGATGAATATTTAGAAAAATAATGCTCATAAAGTTAAAAGGTATATAAGCACCCAGGTACAGGAATGGTAATGAATGAAATGTTATCACCTTTTTTTCGCAAGTTAGTGGTTTCGCATTGGTATGTCCTTCCTGCTCTGCTGTTAAATTATGATGTTTTACTGCTTTTCTGTCGAAGGGCTGTTCTCACATTTGATGATTATTGTCGGAAAACTGCTCGCTTTTAAGTTTTTGAGTTAAATGAAATATTCCCGGGAGACTTTCAGAATTGCAAGATGTTGGTCTTCAGCTAGTTCGTCAACCTGGTCGCTATGACAATTTGAAATAAATGGATCCCTAGTCAGCTAGTAGTAGTACCCTTTGGCAGTACTCATTGCACCCTTACTGATTGCGCTATATATACCGATACCGATTATCGGTGACTGTGGCAGACAGTAATCACTGTATTTGAGGAAGATCAAATCATTTTAACGGGGTGTGATTGAATTCTAAGTTACCAGCCTATGGAGTGACAGACTTAGTGATTAAACCGTACAATGGCGTCATGAAAACCTCGAGTCTACCCTCGTTGATTTTCAATGTTCAAGACTTCCCGCAAAGAGTATCGGGGTCATAACCTTAGAAAAAGATTACACGCTGATGCCACTCAATTGTAATTAATTTGGGACAATAGCAGGTACTATATTTGCACCCCAGCATGAAAGGGACAAAATTTAACAGAAAATGAAATCTCAAGGGAGGATAAATCCCTCAAGATAAACAACTTTAGCCTCCATGTAAGACTGGATGGTTGATGATTTTGACCAACGAAGCACGCATACGACATGGGTTAGGGGCCGAGAGAGAATGAACGGCGAAGCCGAAAAACTGACCCAAAACTCGGTGTTATTTACCCGCCAGCAAACACACACCGAGGCGTGAAGAAGAGTCGGTCAACTGAGAATTGTAAAGAAAAGGGTCTCGCCTTGGGGCGTGGACAGGCAAGACCCCCCACTTTCTTCCTGTCAGAAGTCATCATTGTATCTCTCCTCCATTGTTCCTACTAATCCTCCTCCGCCTCCTTTCGTTTACGAGTGACTCTTTTTCATCATAATGCATCTTTTGATAAAAGTATCCTCTCGGGTGTTCGACAAAATAACGATGAATCAAATTGTGGGCAACAGTTTGCGAACCTTTCAGGCCGCGTTGTTTGAAATAACACAATGCAGTTATTAGTAAGATCCACTCTTAAACTCTGTGGCACTAAAATGGACGACTGTTTTCACATTGACTTTAAGTATTTTTAGTGATATAAAAAAGACGAACCCTTCATGAGACTCATTATTTGTATCCATCATTGTTCATCTTGGTCATAACTGGGAGCTGGAAAACTGACCAACAACCGAACACAAACTTGGCAAATATAACCTCTTTGTTTCGAAAAACATGAAATATCAAGTAAGATTTGAGGCTTTGCATTGTGGAGATACTAAATAATGAAAGGTTTGCGGAAACACCATGTGCGAATAATTTCTCAACTAAGAGAATGGTTCTGAATAAAACCAGAGGTATAAACTCGACGTTCCGGTCAGTATGCTCTGACACTCTCCTGAAGACGGTCAGAGCATACTGACCGGAACGTCGAGTTTATACCTCTGGTTCTTTACAGAACCATTCTCTTAGTTGAGAAATTATTCGCACATGGTGTTTCCACAAACCTTTCATTATTTATGAAATATCAAGTTATAAGGATATCATAACGACCTTTCATCCCATGAGCAAATGCGTATAATTGGCAACATGTTGACCACGGACAATTAATATTGGTGTCGAAACTTATTCACAAAATGGTGCCGGAAAAACTGCGCTGAAACGGACTTGCCTTTCGTGGTAAAGACATTTGCTGATCCGATTCTCTGAAAGCTTGAATAGCAACTTCTTAAAATGCATGGTTTTGTTATACACATTCGGCCCATTGCAGCAGAAACACCCACGCAAGATGTGTCTTCGTTTTCTCAAGGATTTCATTGTTTAGACTTCCGCGAAACATCTCCCTTTTTTAAAGCGAAAAGGAGTAAATATTTTTGTCGCTTCTGACTCATAAACTCTGCATAATACGGTGTTTATCACAGTACATTGTCGGGTTTTTTAACGTCCACATTCCTTTTCAACTCTTAACCCAAACAAACACGTTTTCCCTCGGCAGAATATTTAATGCCATACATTTCAGTCTTCCATATCGTGCTGGCGGACCAGAAATGATTTACAGCTATTACAAATCTGGCCATAATAAGCAAGTCGTAAATTATTCTTGTGTAGAGAGCAACCTTTATGAATCTTATTAGAGGATTGTTTAAGAAAAACGTGGCCCACACATGCAGATCTGTCAACATGACAAATCGATTTCATCTGAACTATTTTCGCCTAACGAAAATGGGATAAAAGATGGACAATTTATTCCAATGTGAGGTCGGGTCCTTTGTGTGTAGGGTTTGAGTTTGATCATGGTTAGGTCATACAAGAGCAGTTGCTGTCTGTGCATTGTGGTCTGCGTTTAAGTGCATTGGTAAGCCGATTTGTTTGTTTTTTATTACTCACATTTTTGTCACAGTTTGAATGATTTGAAATGTTTTTCCAAGTTTACCCTGACAGCAAAGCGTCCGCCACAGAAGCTTATCGCCTGAAGTCAAATTGGTATGAAACAGTTTCAAGCTGTCGAGCGCCCTGATGGGAATACGTCATGTTCGTGTCATTATCCGGTTTCCTGTTTTCCTCCATCACATTTTCTGCTTTCCACCTCCGATTTTACAGTCCATTTTTAAAAGGGTTCGGGACTTTTATGCCTGGCCTTTTGCCCTCAATTAATCCTAGCAGTCTCCGTGTCTCGGCCGCGTAAATCCGTGAACCGGTAAGTGATTCGACCCGCGTGTACCACGGAATGTGCCGGCTAGCTTTTGAAGTTCTCTAGCTATAGTTTTCAGTGCTCCATTCCTCTGCTTTTATTGTTTGGTTTAAAGTTTTAAGAATAGCAGAATTCGTGTTTTTTTCTGACTGGATATCGCGGCCGGCCATGTTGGTTTAGTTCAATAGCTTGACCTCCAATTTGAAGCACTTTTAAGGGCGTAATTTGCGCTCCCTTGAGTCGATTTTTTGTGACTTGAGAGCTAGAAGAAGAATACCCAGACCACAGACATCGTTATTTTAAAGGCTGCGGTCTATAAAGTTTGAATTTTTATTCCTCCAATTGGTGGTCTTTGTTCGTGATTGAACTGGGTCACGATAGAGCTACTGAATACAGGAAACGCAAAAAGAAGGAGGAGTTTTGAAATTAGGAACGAACTTGTTTTTGCACTTAAAAGCACGTATTATTTTCTCTGACAACTTATTTATCACAAATTGTCGGCGTAGAAAAGATTTTACTTTTCTTCGTAGGCAATCCATCATTCTGTCCGATATGTTTGCATGGCAATGAAACTGGCTTATCTACCCTGACAGTAACAGTGCGAACGTCGTACTTGTATTGTCGAGGGTTTCAGTCCAAGCATGAAAGCGGCAAGCCCGTTAGGTATATAAACTATATAGACTAAGGGGTGAAACATTTTTTATTCGATTCACATGCGGCAAGACACAGTGACGTAAAGTCAGTGCCCAGCCATAATTAGCGGTGCTCTAATCCTAATCGATAAAAACCAGATAAAGGAATTTCCGAATTTATACCACGACCCGTGCTAGTACTGAGATCGATCCATGATCTTGTGATGGGCCGTGAAGGGTTTACCTGAGCCTCATAATGACCATTAAGCCTATAGGTTGGGGGAAAAATAAGTACTTGAAGATATTATGGGCGACTGTAATATTCCTGGCGTCGCCAAGTGTGTGGTGAGAATTCTCAAGGAGATGTGTTCATGCATTCATGGTTCTTTTGAATGAGCTAAAACTGCCACTTCCATTGTTCGCGCCCTCTGCAAAGTTTGGGGTCTCGAAAGGTGATCCGGCCACACCGATCCTTGTTTTATCAGCACATGCTACAGCCCGGGTAGCCACTTTTAGAAACCAGATAGCCTTTGTACACACTTGTTAATTGTACAGTTGCAGTAATGCTTGGCAGGGGGATATTTACATATACCTGCGGTTCGGCACAGAGTAATGTTAACCCTATTGTGTGAACCAACGACCAAAGATGCATTCCATTACAGAATGGGGACGTGGTGGTGTAGCTATGGCGTAGCGTGCTCTGTAGTAAAACCAGGAGAATAATCAATGTAGGTAAGCTGCTTGCACGGAACCCCCCTGGCATATCAATCCCAATTTATTATGTCCTCTGGGCAGCTTGGGTTGTTTCGCTTTATAACCTGCCGTCAATGTAAGTCTTCTTTTGGACAAGAAAAAAGGTTCGTAATAGTTTTGTGTACACAGTGTTCATACTAACTCGGATTTTGTTGAATTCTGTATTTTTTTGCACTACAGAAAACGGCTACCGCAGTGAGAGCTATTGGTCGTATGACGGCCCTGAGGCTATTCAGTAACCATAAGAAATCGACAGGTCAGGATCCGTTGACGAGTAACGACTCAACTTCCCTGGCAGACTTGCTGAAGGCGAAGCGAGAAGAGGACGCTAACAGGCAAGCACAACAAGAAGATCACCAGCAAATCGAACCACAGGCTTGTGACGATTCCAATATCGATTTGAACGATCGGGATGAGCCACTGGTGCACCAGGCGGCCAGTGATAGAATAGTACAAGCAGCTCGGCCCTTGGAAAGGTATCAAACAGAGGATTCGCCTCCCCGCAGAGCTATTGATATAGATACAGGTGGTGAAGCAGATAATACGGATGAGTCTACCATTACTACACCGACCGTAACTCAGCTCACAACCACGCGGGATACACTGACCATTGACACCGAGGCACCCTTCTCAAACTACGGAAGCGACCTGACCAGTTCAGACCGCACCTCGGACTTTGCTGAGTACGATCGAGCTTCAGACCACGGTCTTGCCGATTTCAACAGTCATACTTCAGACTCGGAAGACATGGATATAGACGTGGACAATCCCGCTCGGGAAGTGACCGACGCGGCCACCACGATCCAGGCCGTGTATCGGGGCCACAGGACCCGTAAAAGAACCTACCAACCACCTGCCATCCACCAAGATATCCGTGATTGCGATGTCTTTGAAGGCAGCGCTGCCCGATTTGATTGCCGGATCTCGGGCTTTCCTGAGCCGCAGGTGTATTGGTACAAGGATGGGAGGGAAATTAAGGAGAACCGACACTTCAGGATCGAGTTTGAAGGGGAGGATCTGTGCTCGTTGATTATTCGGGAGGCGGGGCCTGATGATGAGGGGGTGTATAAGTGTGAGGCTAGAAATGCTGCAGGGGTGGCATACAGCGAGGGTGAACTCCTTGTCGAAGGTAAGATGATGTCATCATTATTCATTTTAATGTTATGCATTATGCAGAATTTTCCATGAATTATAATTTTCCAATTAGCAAACTTGCTTACCTAATTAAGCAAGAGGTGTGTCCAGAGAAAGGGTTGGGGCAAAATGGTATCTATGCGGTATGCCCACTTGAATAAGAGGCTTTCACTATGGAATTCAATACTGCCTACCTAACAGCTATTCATTTGAATGAGTCGTGTCCAAGACAGAAGAGGTAGGGCAAGGCATGGAGGAATAGGAATGCACATCCCTCATATTCTCTCATATCGGGGTCTACCCGATGTTGCCCAATACCTATGTTCCCCAATACCTATGTTCCCCAAAATCCTTTGTTCCCCAAAATCCTTAGGGTTAGGGTTAGGGTAAGGGTTGTCAACCCTGACCCTAACCCTAAGGATTTGGGGGAACATAGGTATTGGGCGAACATGGGTATTCACCCCACATATCAATATCATTGAACCTTACCAATAGACCTTTTTTCACGAGGAAGCAATTTTCAATCGTGTTCCCTGAATCTATTTTATAAGTTGTAAAATGTTGAATGGGATGGTGCCAGACTATTTTATGATTGGAGTGCGTTCCAATCCTCACTTTCATTTTTGTGTGTGTTAAATATGGCTTTAAAAATTAGGGTACGTTTAATCACAAATTTTAAATTATTCATGAGAGCATAATGGTATTAATTTGTCAAGAAATTTTATTCCATTGCTTTCATTTCTACTCGTAAGTTCCAAAAATGAAGAGTCTATACCTCGTGTTCATTTTAATATGGCCGACTCGTTAATATAGTCTATAAAAAAAACATAGGCCTATACTTCCTTGCAGTTCCTGCTCTTCTTGCGTGGGCGCAACCGAGGAAAGTCCTCACAATAAGAAACCGTCGTAGTGCACCACAATCAGTTAAATAAACAGTGCTGGCACCGTCATTGAAGAGTCGGCTTATTATGAAAAACCGAACCTAATTTCTCGTGAAGAGTCCATTGAACAATTTGCGAACAAATTTTGTCCTTGAAGTGTAGAAAAGAAGTGCGGAGGACAGGAGCATTATGCGTCTTTTGTGTTATCCTCATCTTGCTTGTAGCATCGGTATGGGCTTGTATAGTTTGTTACTTCACTTATAAAAATGGCCGAAGTCTGTCTGGTAATATGGGATGTGTTGAATGATTTACAATACTGACATTTGCGTGCCCTTACACACCTTTTACATCGTAAACATTTACACATAGATTGTAAAACAGTACACCCGCCAGCTTCGCGTATACAGTTTTTATACTGTGCTCGGTAGGCCACACTTGATCATAAAATGCCTGCGCTATCTAAAGTCAGTAAACATATCGACATTCATGGTATGGCGTATGCGATAGCTGTTACCACTGTATACCCTCTTGCAACAGCTAGCTATTGTTCGTCTGGCGGTAGCAAATACTAGTAATCAATACATGGGGGTGAGCAACTATTGTGACGGTACACACTAGCGCCCGTCATCTAGCACCCTGCTTCAATGCTTCAAGTTAAGTAAATTGGGAAGGAAATTGAAGATGGCATATTTACCTAATGAGGTGTCCAGCGAAACGCGCTTATATACATGTCTTGTTTACCAAAAAAAAAGAACCTTGTTTTCCTAACGACGCCCTCAACTTCTTATTGTTTACTCGGAAGAGCTCGCCAGACTTGTAAATTCCTACAGCAAAATAACAAAAAGTCTATGATACATTCCTAGGGCATTTTGCAGGTTTGTGTTGTTTTCTCCGAGTCAAAACACCTCAATTCTCGAAAGGAAAAACAACTGACGATGCGCACTTTGCTTTCTTTGTAGTTTTGCCGCCTTTCCCCCTTATTTTCCGCCTGGGTTTGTTCACTGAGGTCGGTTGATGACTCGTGAAGTGACATTTCCGTGTCTGCGGTCTGTCTGAGCAATTCATAGATGAAAAGATGCAGGAGAAAAAGCAGTTCTTTTGGTCGGTAGCGGCATTTCAAGGACCTCTGATTACCCTACAGTCCCAATTTGCACCTTATCGACTTTTTAAGGGAATATAAAGTTGCCCAGCACGATTTTCATGACTGTTCCATGTCTATCCAACTAGAATATTCAAATTATGAATTTGTGAAGTAAAGATTTCAAATTACTATCGAAAAAGGGAACGAAATGCAATTTAGCAAACTTGCAATTTGGGATATCTATTTGCTTTGTGCATAATGTATCATTTTTAATTTCGGAAAGGCTTTTTATAATGTGACAACTGTTAATAATGTGAGACAGTACAAATGAAATTCGTTTCCAAACGGATTTATCTGAAGGTAGCTAAGATTGATATCGGATTATACAGGTATACGAACATTCCTCTCTTTTTTTTTTACATTTACTATACATTTACATTTCAAACTTTTGTTTCCGCGTCAGTATTTTGATAACCTCGGCACTGAGGTCAGGTGGAACAAATTGGCAAGCATGCTGATGAATTCGAATTACGTGTAATACGAGAAAAGTTCCAAATGGAGCACGTACTGAGGCAGCTTACACCTGATATCAATAACACCATACACATCACTGCATACATTTCACAGAACGTGTTTACGAAGTAGCACGATCTTAGTTGAAGTGCGCCCTCAGTTGGTTTTTTTTGTCTGCGGCTTGCATTTACACCTGCGTCTTTGGACGCAGCTGAAGCAGCTTCTCGTAGAGAAGTGTGTTACTACTGGTCGTAGCACGTTAATTCGGATCCGGGTATATTAATGGCTAGATATTCCAGCGGTCAAAGAACGAATTCCATTCGGATTGACCCACTTGTCGCCACTGATACCTTGGAGGTTTATCAGTACAGGTGTGCAGTCACATAGCATGTCTTATCTCGTATTAACTCGTATTATGTCGAATTATCTGGAATGAAATGTGGATTTCGATAATCATCCAAATAAATATCGGTGAATATCAATCAAATTCGGTTCCGTTAGAATTTCAACTATTGCTGGGAGAATATTTTCCAGATAGAAGTATCTCAAGTATCTCATTTTTAATCATCTCGGCTTTGCATGGAGCCGGTAGTAAAAACAATATTGACCAAAACAATTGGAATCCGATTCCTCGCTTCAGAAGGTCAACTGCACTAGTACTTTTCCATGGTAATATAAAGTGATGGTTTTCTTTAACTGTATAGTAAAAGTTGGTGTAGATCAATTGAATTAAGCACTTGACCAACGTGTACAGTTGAAAATTGAAATGCACCTGAAATATTAAATTGCCACTCGACGTATTATCTTATTATATAGCGTAGTTGAATAAAGAAACAAGACGGCAGTGCTTCCGGAATGTAGGTTTACCTTCCACAAAATTTGAGCGCTTTGCGTTAACGATATCTTGAACTTTGGTTACACAGTGCTTTTATTGGGGATAACATTTGAACTGTCGTGTCTGTTGACAAAGAATTGGTTCTACGCAGTTCAAAGGTCAAGTTTGATGATAGTGTGTGTAGTTTATGGTCATGAATTAGTTTGCTTTTGATTTGAAAACAAATATGCTTTTGAAATTGAGAAAAATAAAACTGATTTTTAAGAAATAAAAAGCTTAGTTTTGTTGCATGCTGACATCTACTTTAACACCTTTCAGCCAATCAAATATTAATTGCAGCTAGTCTTGACATGTCCCAAAGAGGTATTGAAAGTAAAACCTTGGGCTGTCGTTAGACATCACGTTGATGTTCCTATCCCAAAAAGTCATTGGAATATTTAGAAATAAGGCCATCACTGGCTCCAAGCAAGGTAAAGAACCTATACTTACTCACCATATTGTCTACTGCATTCCTTCCTCTATCCTTCACTGCCGAGAGTCCACGGGTCTCTAGACAAGAAGGCCTCGGTTTACTCCCCGTGCTCAGACCGGACTCAGAAGTCTAATTCTGCCTCCATGCTCAGACCAAACAACATAACAACCTGGAGGTCACAGAAAAACAAATCCTGCGGCGGGTCATCTTGATGATTTTACCGTCTGGCGAGTCTGGGTATCAGACGAGAGTGTGCCTGCAATCTAGGTCAAATCACAGCGCCAGTTGATTGGGGCTAAACACAAACCATATTGACAGCACTTATACCACTGAGAGACGGCCCTAAAACCAGTGCTCTACCCCCTTCTGAGCTTCAGACGGCCATGTCGGTCCGCAGTGGTTTTGTAAAGTATTCGGCAACATTTTGGTATGTCCCTCCTTACACAGTACTCATGTTGTGATATTTCACCGTCCTTTTTTGCACAGTGCTTGGTGGAGACGGATCGGAAGGAGAGGACGACGGTGCACCTTCTGAACAAAGGTATGTTAATCTTAACACCTGTTGTTTTCTTATCACTAATTGATTGGCAATGGTAACTAAAAGCAGACGTACCTATCGTTTCAGTCTTATAAATGATAAACCTTCCGTGCAAATGAACGAACTGCACTTTGGGAAATTGTCTTTTGTTTAACTGTGGCCATTGATTTTCAGACACGTAACCCCATCATTTGCCACTCTAACTAGGTTGATGCCTTAAATCATGCATTTCATGCTACTGTATTTTTAGCCAGGATTCATCTTTTTAATTTTTATCTGAAGCCACCAGCGTGAATCGAAAGCTTTACAAGAGAACCGAGTGCTTTAAAAATTGTTTTCTTTTACAGACCGTATAATAACTGTGCAGCATATGGAATTTGTTCGATAACATTTCTGGACAAAATGGCAGATCCGAGAAAACAAGGCTGAACCATGTAGTATGAGAACAGTTTGACAACCTGTAGTGGCTTTTCTTTGAAGTGAAAAGAAAGACTTGACGAGAGGTCGATGGACTCCAAATCTTCCGTAAACCACTTTCACGAAAGCCATGCTTTACAGCTTTTCTCTAGAAGTAAACAGAGCACATACTTGTACGTTTTAAACAGGAACTGCCTAAGGCGTCCAGGAAATCTCTGTTTGTCTCTTTCGTACCAAATGACACTTGATTCCTCAAACACCCACACAAACTGAGTTGTTCACAACATGAAGTCATACTAAACAGAAACAAAAACTCATTGAACTAGGTCTAGAAAAGGTTTCAAGAGTTGCACTTTATTTATGTTCACGTACTTATGAAAGGAGCGATCGGAAAGGGTCGAAAGTTTCAAGGGGAAAAGGGAACTCCCATTGATGTTTTCACTCAGCTTATTAAGAACGTGAGATTGTTTAACGCCCGAGGGCAGTTTGTCATCAAGTGGCTATTAATAATCAGAGTTAAGTGGTTTAACTTGAGGACAGATTGCGTCCTCAATTACCGGTTAACTGTTAAATCTCCCGTTAATCACTCAACAATGAACCAGTAAGCCACTCGGCTTGTTGCCAAAACTTCTTGCTTTTGTTGCTAAAAAGCGGTCTCCTTGTTCAGTATTATTAATGCCTGATCTTGCGTGAGCGGATTGTTGACATGCTTCTAAAGTGTTGTCCTTAATTTGTTTACTCTGAACGTTAACGTTGTCGTGATTGATGTTAGGTGACGCTGGTATCGCCATTGGCCGGATTCGTGTTCAACCGGTAACTGATTACCGTAGCTAGCTCAAAGCGAACAAAAGCATTGCCAAAATATGACCTAGTCATCTCATCACTGTTTTTCGTCTTTTTCTACGTAGATTTTAAAAAAAAATCTGTTGACTCGTTCAAAATACAAGCTGAAATCGGTTTCCACGGTACCCCCCCCCCCCCTCCATAAACTTAAAGAAAGTTGCATATTTTCTTCGGGCCAGAAGTGGTACAGAGAGGAGGGCTGACATTGAATTAAAACATTCAGGATAAACTGCCTGTCAACATTCCGGGACGGGTTGGGTGAGGTTTAACCTCCCACCTCCCACCCCTCCCACTTTCTCTACTTAAAGGGCCCACATAACGTAATTTATTTTATGCAAACCTTGGAAATGCACCCTTTTTGTGTCCCAATTCTTGCTATTTTTAAGGGGATATTTGGTGCCTTTTTGGTTTTCATGCTATTGCAAATGTCCACATTCATGAGCAAAAGTGTGATGTAACTTCAGGCAGAAACCTCAATGTTACAGCTATTTGAGCATCAATTTGCCACAATTTTATCGAAAATGTTCTCTCTTTTTGCTGATCATGTTGTTGATTCAGTACCTGACATTAGGCCAGTGAGCGAAGTTTTCCCACAATCATTTTCAGTGAGCAACTTTTGGGTTCACGATTTGAAAAGAAAACCCCTAAACTGAACAGTGTCTTAGCTTCATACCTTTAAAGGGAATATACATCATTGGCTTTTGCTGTAATTTTCAGAAATGAACTATTTGAGGGGTTAGTATAATAGATCAAATATTGTTACACTGACATGTTTGAAGTTTTGTGTTCGAAAATGCTGGAAAAACCAAGAAAAACAAAACTGTTCAAGTAGTCTGTTTCCCCGACTCCACTAAATATAAAATGGATCAATTTACAGATGCCGGAAAATTGTACGGTAAGGGTACCAGTCTAGCTGGCCTGCACCCGTTCATGAACATGTAACCAATAGCGAACAAAATTTGGACTGAATTAATGGTGAATTTGGAGCAGTAGTTGAAAAATAGTTAGGTTTTTCCAACGGTGGTCGGCCGACCACCGCTGGAAATTTTTACAAAAATACCATTTCTTGAAAATGACTTCACACCAGGTGCCATAAGTTTACAGGATGCTTTAGACTGTTATTTACCAACATCCTATTAAGGTATTTCATAAAAACTTGGTAGTTTTATTTTTCGATGGTTGCAAATGTTGTATATTCCCTTTAAGAGGAGGAGAAAGTTGCACAAAATATCAGCCCCGGTAAAACTGATGTCATGAACCCTTTAAATATTAAGAGATGTGGATGCAGAGGGAGTGACATTTGATCTTTTTTGTGCAACAAGAAATGATTCCGGACGCCAGTGAAGGACGTGCTTTTATGGCTTTGAACTATCACTGGAATGTTTATGTCTTGAATGATTTATGTGACGTTATGAAAAGGGATCGACAACTTGAAATCGACATTTCCGATGATAATCCGATCGTGAACTTTTTTGTTGGTGGGGTAGCTTTCTTAATTAGGGTTAATTTGTCTGTTTCTGATGACTAGTCATCTTGGGCATTCAGATAAATGTACTTATTTATTTATTTAGTTCTTATTTTAACCACTTTCACGATTACATTTCTTTAAACAAATAAATAAATTATATTTAATTGGCTTTAATAACACAAATGCTACAAATCACATTAGTTTACTGCAGCTATCGATTAAATTATGAGATGTCATGGGGGCGCTGTTTACGTTTAAAGGTGGTGTATACGGCAAGCCAGTCCGGCCAAGTTCTTTGGAATGGAGATAACAACAAATATGTTCTCTTAAAATAGTTTTGTAGTTTTATATGTAGTCGATTTTGTCTTCGATTTCCAACCTTCGTCTGCAGTTCTTGTTACTTACAACCATTAAATGAAAAGCCTATAACTTAAAGGGAATATACAACATTTGCAAACATCGAAAAACAAAACTACCAAGTTTTTGCGAAATACCTTAATAGGATGTTGGTAAATGACAGTCTAAAGCATCCTGTAAAATTATGGCACCTGGTATACTGTCATTTTCAAGAAAAGTGGTATTTTTGTATCAATTTCCAACGCTGATCGGCCGATCAGCGTTGGAAACAACTGGCTTTTTTTTTCAAATACCGGCCCCAATTGACCATTGCACTTGTTTGCAATCGATTACAAACCTATGAACGGGTACGAGCCAGCTAGACTGGTTCCCTGACCTTACAATTCCCCAATGTATGTAATCTGCTCTGTTTCTTCTTATATCGAGTCAGGGAACCAGACTACAGGAAAATGATCGTTTTTCTTGGTTTTTATAGCATTTTCAAACCCAAAACCTTCAAAAAGTCAGTGCATCTATATTTGCTTTATATTTCCAACCCCCCAATTCCATCCATTTCTGAAAATTACAGCAAAAGCAAATGATGTATATTCCCTTTAAGTGCAGTAGGTGGAAGGTTATGTGGATGTGATTGCGGTGTCTTTACACCATTCCCCCAATGGCATGGTGAACAAGTTGGAACTTCAAACTGTTTGCTCTTACCTGTAGACAAATAAACAGGTATTCACCCGGACGAGAGAGGGTGTACAACCTGTGACCTTTATTCAATGAGGGGCATACAAAGTGTGCGGGTCATGTTGACAGGTTTCCTGGATCGCTTTGCGCGACAAGAAAAAATATACAAAGGAAGACAAATACGAAACCACTAATAGATTACATTCAGCCCTTCGGGTCAGCGCTCTGTAGAAGCTAAGTTTTCAGTTTGATAATTTGAGTCTGAAAATGTTCATTTGGGATTTTGCCGATTCTTCTGGCCATGTTATTTTGTGACGAATGTATAAATAAAAACGTGTAAAAAGTTGTTATACACAACACAGGAGAAATATTTTTAAAATGTAGTTATACTAGAGTTTTTGTGGAGGGGGGGTCATTGGCCTTCATAATATTTTTCTCCGAGAAAAAAATATTTCTTAGTACTGTTGACATAATCTAGAACTTATGTACATGCTTTCTGAAATTAATATTTGTTATTAGATTTGTTTAAGAAAAAAAATTAAATTGATATTTGTCTCTGTGTTTTAAACCGTAAAAACCGTTTGACATTATTATGAAGTGTTAAAAACAGTAATATACATTGTATAAAATCCAAACACTTGTAATTACTGTCAATTTCCCTTCCTAAATAAAGATTCGAAGAATTTTTAATTCTGGCACAGTACATGCAGATTACTATGCGCAATGTCTAGCCGTATTTAACGAGCCACAATTGCCAGTATGATGATGAGGTCATGGAAGCATAATAAAAACCCACCACGCGGTATAGAGGCTCAAAGAAAACTCCTCGGCGTCGCGAAATAAACAGACAATTTATTATTCACGAGAACCCTAACAAGTGTAAGCGACCTTGGCAAGTCCTTGTTGCGGCTGCAGTGTCTTGACTGAGACTTGAAAGATTGTATGTTGTTGTTGCCTGACTCTTTTCTGTTTGCTTGCATTCCGTACATAGCTTGGGCGAGAGAGCAGTGACTGAGGATCACATTGGACAGGTCGAGAAGGCGCAACATAACCAGATCGATCTAAGAATCCCCACAGATGTAACCAAGACCACAGATCAGCAGAAACAGGAAGAGATTTCTCTCACCAACGATTTCGTCACCTCTCCGAGTGGAAAGGACAGCCAGACGTCTTCAAACCGATCCGATTTTGATTATTTGTCCGGAGGAGAGAAGAGTTCGAGTGACTGGACACCGAGGTCTTCTCCTTGCACCAGCGCAGGCGTTAGTCCCAGCTCGTCTCTGCTTGAATTGGATTCCTGGTACAAACGTGGGCGAGGAAGTAATCTAGAGTTTCATCATCAGACATCGCCTAAAGGGAGTGGCAACACCGGAAAGGTGACTGAACGAATCTCAAGATACGATGACAGACTGAAAGGACCGAAACAGACTGTGAATAGTGCCCGGGCAAGTTTACGATCAACACCAGGGACTGATATTACTAGCATCAAGTCTCGCCTAGGAAGAGCATCATCCGGAGAGAGTGACAAACCCTCTTACGTCGCAAGCGTCGAGAGGCCATCCCGACTTCGTCTTGCAGAGCTTGAATCCAAACGGAAGACCCGTTCATCCAGCGAGCCTCCTCCCGAGTTCCAGAACCAACGGGACAAGATTCTCTCTCGCCATTCCAAACCCGAACAGTCCAAGACCTACGACAGCAAGGCCAGTAAGAATTACCCCAGCAGGGAGACTTACGAGTCTGCTTACAACAAACTCTTGAAGAGTTCTCGTGTTCCCTCTGCCGGCGTCAGATCTGCTTCCCAACCTCTGAAGCCGCAGTTCGCGACAAAGATTTCTGTGTTCTCAGGCACCGGATCGAACGGGAAGACGGACAAAATATCCAGCCCCGAATCAAAACCAGATAAGAAGATTTACGCTGGACGGGAGATCAAAGTGAAGTCGTTGCCTAAAGTGGTAGTATCCAGAGAGGAGTCCCACTTGAAAGGTCGACCTATCGAATCGATCAGGGTAAACCACGACCGGACGAACGGTCGGCTCTCAAGTGACGATTCCTTGACGGATAGCGAGAGATCCAGCACATCATCAGGCTATCCAGAATCCAAGAAGCCGGTCTATCGGACCGAGAAAACTTTCGAACTTCTCGGAGACAGGGCCGTAAATTCTCGAAAACCAGGCGCTGTTCTCGCCTGGAAAATTGAGAAGTTCGCCAAGGGTAGTCCCCTGAAGAGTCCCCAGGATCTGGAAGCAGAAAAGCAGCAACCAGTCATGCAATCGCCGGTGAGTGGGAAATGGAACCCGACGAATGGGACGCAGCAGAAACGATCGCAATCAGTGGATAGGGCGCTGTACCCTGGACAAGGCGGTGGCTCACTTGCCGCTAAAATTGAGAAATTCGCGAAAAATACAACCAGCACCCAAGATTCAAAATCAAAATGGAAAACAAACGAACCGGTGAGCTCAAAGAAATACGAGTATAGTGCCGCTAAGGTGGCCGATAAGGAACGGAAGAAAGATCAAAAGCGACCAGATGTAAACTATGCAAGGGGTGGCGAGCTCTCGTCTGCTCGACTAAAATACCAGGAACCTAAAGTGGCTGTCGACCAGCCCGATCAGGGTACCAGCAGTAAATTGCTGAGTAATAAAAACATAAAACTTACAAAGACTACCAATGAAGTGCCGAGTACAAAGCAGACTACAGATTCTGTTATCAACGTAACGAAGGGTAGTTCCAGTACGATTGACATTACCATCCCACGGGGTGTAACTGAGAAGACAATTAAAGTAAGCGAAGCAACTGTCGTGAGTGCACCCCCTCCGGAAAAGAAGCATCAAATGCCAAAAGGAAAGACGCACGGCGATCATTCTTCTGTTAAGAGTTTAAAACCAACCGAAGTTGAAGTAGTTGTAAAGACCACAGCGAATGATTTATCTGCTGGATCGTCTGCTTTGATAACTTCAGTGTCACCCAGTAAAACCTCGTCCCTGGGAAAAGACTCCAAGGAAAACACATCATCAAGGAAACCGCAAGCGAGCCCCGCCATGAATCGTCGAGGGGTGTTACCGGGAGGTATCGGCAAACTCACGGCCAAATTTGAGAACGGCAAGGCTGTAGACACATCAAGCAAATCACCGGCCAAGATCGAATCTGTAGTCATGTCTCGGCTCAATGATAGGAAACATTTATTTGATGGCACCGGCAAGCCAAAGAACAATGGGAACACTGTCAATTACAGGGATGTTCTATCTTCGTCATCAGCGGGGAAATTGAGAAACACGACCGTGTCGAGCGTTGAGAAGCCTGCCGTGGAAATCGCCAAATCCCCCGTTGATGTGAAAGCGAAATCTCCGTCTCCCCTTGCTTCCCGTTATCAGGTGAAACCAGCAGCTGATGAAAAACCGCCTACTTTCACCCAGAAACCCAGAGATCAAACAGGAACAGAGGGAGGGTCCATATATTTTGCTGTCTCCGTCGAGGGAAATCCCAAACCAGATCTGTCTTGGCACTACAAGGGGCGGACCCTCAAAGACGAGGGGAGATATGAGCTTTACACGGAGAAAGATGTTTTCTTCTTGGAGATGTTTGACTTGGAGCCGAGTGATGCTGGAATGTATACCTGTCGTCTTGTGAACAAAGTCGGACGGGCCTCGGCAATGGCAGAACTCAAAGTCACAGGTGAGTGCTAAGAATGTTTCACACTTTATGAAATATCTGGATGCCTTTACCGTGGGATGTAGAAGTCAGAATAGTCAGAATCTCAAGCATGTCAACAGACAGCTGACAATCACAAGGGAAGAAAAAAAAATAAGATGCATCAAACAAAAGGAAACCGAAACAAAAATTTGGTTTTACATTGTTTGTTATTTTTGTTTTGCTTTCAGTATTTGTATTCACTTTGAATACTACTTACAGGTCATCCTGATCAGTCTCATTTTCAAATTCGAATAGCTATCAGTATTAAGTTGTTAGACTTTAATATTGATGTTCGATAAAAACGAAGTTTGGATAAAGTAGGTAGTTAGGTACAAAAGGTCAAATACATTTGGGCCTCCACAATTATTAATGCCCCTCATGTAGAACTTAAAATTATAGTTGAAGCAATGGATAAAATCAAAGCAATGGAATAAAAAAATCAAAACGAAAACAAAAAAAACAAAGAAAGTTTTGATTTAAAATAGCCTAGGTTTCCATGGCAAAGATCGAATGATGTGACGTCTTTAAATATACGTCCTTCAGTTTCAGTAACAATACCTTAAGTGGTACTTCGATTGTCCCAAAATAACAAGGACCCCTAAGCAAAATGAGTCAATTTATACAGCTAGCTGTATCAAATTTGTGGAATTTAAAACTCTCTCCAAAGCAAGCCTATCTTGTGGCGTTAAATACCGTGAGGAATGTCAACCGCCAAAAGTATTGCCCCAAAACCATGTAATATTTACACATCCCTTGAGTTCATGAACGATGCGGAATGCCTGTTGCCTTGGCGACAAATTGCTCCCTGATGTGGGAGTAGAGGCGTAAATTGCCAGGGAGAAGTTTGTGTGATTGCAGGGAGTCAAATTCTTCGTGTAATCGAATAAGTCCAAAACCACATATTTTCAAGTGTCGTTTACATTCACAAAAGACGGTGTAATATAAAAACGAACACTTGGAATAGTGCTTCAAAGCAGTAAATGTGTACGGTATACCGTATCGTGAAGCTAAACTTTATCAGCCTGCATGGTAGGCCTACAGTTGCTATAGTACTTTGTTAAATGCACTTGTATATTTTCTGTTTCAAGTTAAAAGTCTGGGCAATTAATTCTGCTGCTAATTACTACTTTTTACGGCTGTAAAATGTAATGGGCCTTATTCACGAGTCGGCCATATTGAATTGAAAGTGAGGTAAAATCTTAGTTTTTTGAACTTGCGGAGAGAAATGAAGACAAGTAAATTACTAATTAATTCAAGTCTGCTTCAATGAGTAATTCAAAATGTGTAATTAATCATTCCCTAATTTTTTAAGCAAGATTTAAAAAAGAAATGACAGTAAAATAAGGCTGCATGAATAGTCTGGCACCATACCTTTCAACAGTTAACAATTTATGAAATACATTCAGGGAACTCGACAAATATGGCCAACTCGTGCAAAGGGCCCCTTTAAATTCAGCTTTCAGTTTGAGTTTCTAAAACACTCACTTGTCGTAGAAAGCCGTCAATTTTGAGATATCATGACCACAAAAAAGGTACATTTTCGGACGATGTGACTGATGAATTGTGAGCTATTTACTCCGTAGATTCATCATCTTACTGTTATTTAACTGATTCTTATGAAGCACCCTGACATTTTGTGTGGGAATTTATTACTTTGTTGGTTTGTGACTACGTGAGAAAATGGGATAACAAAATATGGTCTAAGATGGCAGTCTTTTTGGTCCTGGATTATTTACTTCCTCGAAAAAAATCCAGGCCCCCATTATTTTAATACCAGACAATTGGTAATTTCGTATGAGCCGTTTGTTTTCTTTCTGACTAAATTATTTTAACAAACGTCGCTACATTTTATGATCACTAAAAATGTTACAATGTTTAATACTGGATCAATGTCACCATTTTCCAACCAGAAATAAATAGGCCTTTTGTTTTCAAGTACCTCTGTATTATTGAATGTAATCAATATTCTCACTGATCACGCCTGTTTAGCGTCAGACAATACCAAATCCTTGCTGTAATCTCACTCCAATGACCTTTCTTTGTTCTTGACCAGGAGTTTTGGATTACTTGACGCAGGTGTTTCCCGTCCAGTTCTTTGCGTTTTTGAGTATTTGCCTTAAAATGGCGTATTTTTAGCTGGAATTGTAGATATTTCAGATGAATCATGTCTCTGCCTAAAGGGCATATTAGGGAGCTGTACAATGACCTTGTGCATTCGGTTGAAATGAAATAGAAGCATTTCGAAATGTAACCTTGGGTCCTGAAGGCGAGGTTCAAATCTATTTTTCGAAGTTTACTAAGTTACCACGACGATGTTTCTGTTTATATCCACCCATTTGTTTAATTTGTCAAAACTTCACTTACAGTTTCCTGATAGTATTTTGTTACGGAGTTATAGGCCTATGGAAACATGTCGAAACTGAACTTTGCTATTGTTTTGTGAATAATCCTGTGGCTGAAATGGCTGAATGCACCGACAATCGCTTGCCTTATAATTAAACTGCATTTTGAAATTCTCTCTGAGTCTTTGAATTCAGCAAAGCTAAAATGCGTGTAGTTTCAACTTTATCTGTGTCAACATTTTACGTCAACCATTTAGACGATACTTGCTCTGTTTGTTTTTACTCGCCCAGAAAAACCCAAGCCAGTCATTCCAAAGGGACAGGCTCCGTCTTTCGTCCGCAGGATTGCGGACTGCGAGGTCTGCGAAGGCGAGAAGGCCGTGTTTGAATGCAAAGTCACAGGCGATCCCTTTCCCGAGATCACGTGGATCATGGACGGTAAGGTGGTACAGGAGGACCGACGTCATCAGATTACGCGCAAACCGGACGGCACATGCGCACTGGTGGTCAGTGACATCAGAGAAGAAGACGATGCTGTGTACACGTGCACGGCAAAGAACGGATTGGGCATGGTTTCGAGCACCGCTGAGCTGATTGTAGGTAAGTGCGTATGTGAAACTTACCAAAAACCGAGGAAGATTAACAGCTCAAGATTCTCAGGATAAACGGCAGCCGTCCTGAACCAATTCAAAATTGAAAATTTGTGTCTTGGATTAGAACAAGCGATTTTTTTTAAAAACTGCAAAAATTTAAAGAGGTTTGATTGTTTTTTATATGTTTCCTTAAAGAACTCGATTTAACTTATACGAAATTCTGATATATTTTTTTCAGAATTCGAGGCTCCGAAACCCCAAGAGCCAAAGAAAGTAAAAGCAGTCGAAAAAGCCCCATCCAAAGCACAACCCAAGGCCTCGATGCCACGAGATGAGCCAAAGCCTGTACCAAAGAAAGAAGAGAAAATTGAGCCCGTCAAACTTGAGACGAAGGACGTTAAGAGGAATGGTACCGTCTTGAAGGATGAAACTGACAGTCGAGTTAAGAAACGAGATGAGGAGGTTCATGCCGAGTAAGTGTTGCAATTGTCTTAGAAAATAAACTCTAATGATTTGTTGATGTAGGCCTATACGATATGTGAAATTCATATTTATAATGTAAAATAAATTGTCAAAATTACTGAAACTTTCTTTAATGTATTTATTCTTGTCTTTGGTCCTCACTGGCCTTACTATACCGTTGATATCCGATTTTTTTTAAATTAAACTATAAAAGAGAACCTTTCTTCCTCACGACCGAAGCCATGTTCAAAACTTCAGGCTCAATATTATCTTAAATCTATTGTTCTTGTTTCAGGCCACCGCAAAACCTCCACCATCAGCCCCGCCGATCATCGCTCCAATCTGCCTCCCAAGCGCCCAAACCCCCCGAGTTTATCCTCCGACCCCGATCCACCCACATCACGCCGCCCGAGACCGCCAGCTTCTCCTGCATGGTCAAAGGGTTCCCCGCTCCCGACGTGACATGGAAGAAGAACACCAAAGTCTTGAAGGATGAAGGGAGGTTTGAGATCTATCAAGACGGAGGGGAGCATTTCTTGGAGATTTATGACACTGTGGAGGAAGATGCCGGACGGTATACTTGCGTCTTGGCCAATGAGCTTGGCAAGACTACATCAAGTGCTAATATTGCTTTACGTGGTAAGGTTTTTCAAATGGGGATTTGGTATTTGAATTCCATTTTTTTATGATTTTTTCCCAGATAATGTTGTTTATTGTCAAAGCCATGGGTTATCAACTTAAATTCAGGGTTCAAACATTTTCAAAGGTGTCAGATTTTGTTGCGTCCTATTTTTTTTAGTTTACTTGAGCTTTTGAGAAGAACATTGTGTTGCGGAAATGGTTTTTTATTAAACTGAATATTATTGGTGTGCTTTTAATTGGTTTGAATATGTAGATGTCAAAAACTTGAGGATTGATTTTTTTTTTAATGCAACAAGCACCTGAAATTGTTAATATTTTACCTTGTCACCATTAAATAGGCAAAGTCGCCAGGGACGACCCACCGAAATTCACACAACGGCTAACGAACTGCCGCACTAAAGACGGCGGTGTCGCCCGATTCTCCTGCCGTGTGTCCGGCGAGCCGGCCCCTACTATTCAGTGGCTGTTCCTCGGTAAGGAAATCTCCCCCGACGACGATATCTACGAGATCGCGTTTGACGGCGAGAAGGCTACGCTGGTTCTACCGGAGGTGCTGCCCGAGGATGAAGGGGAGTATGAGTGTATTGCGCGCAACAGGGCTGGGGAGGCGTCGTGCAGAGCTAGACTGAGCGTGGAAAGTAAGTAGAATCGAATTCACTAATCAAAAAATATGATGATCGAGTAGTTTGGATTATGAGCAACGAAATAAAGCATTATGAGTAGAAGTTCAATTAAACTGTCAAACTCGTTTTCGTAATCGTTGATTTTAACTGCTATTTTGTATTCTTGATAATTATATAATCAAGTTTATATAATATTTTGAACACAAGTAGGCCTATAGGTACAATGGCACCTGCATGATTGATTTAAGCATAAAACATGTTCCACTTTACATGTATTTCCAGCCGTTCTCTATACAAACTGAATCGCGTTATAAATTAACATTCCAATTCAAAGAAACTGTCGTCACTTATCAGGTTTAACCTGTTTGAATTCCTTATATTCTAGTCCCTCCTTGTGAACCGACTGAACCCGTTGAGGCTGCCCTTCCAACCGAACCCGTGTCAGCGGTTCAAGCGATGAAGAAAATGCCCTGGGAATTGCAAAGGAAGACTTCAAGAACGGAAATATTCCTCCAAACTACTCCATCGGAGTCTGAGGAGGAGGTGTTGAAACCAAAAGATGAGCCCAAGCAAGAGGAACAAGCCAAAGATGTTACGGAAGATTCAGAAGCAGCTTCCTCTTCAAATTCTGAGGATGAGTTGCCCAAATCCGAGACTGTTACCAATCCCAAGGAGCAGGTGCTGGATGTTGAGAAAGACTTAGAAGCGAAGAGTGAATCACCAAATGAACCAAGTTTGCTGGACAACCAAGATGCTGTTGATGTGCAAGAAGACCCTCGAGTTGAACTTGAGTTAGTTCCAGATTCAGAACCAATCCTGCAAACGAAACCTGTGCAGGAACCTGAAGAACTTTCGGTCGAAAGATCTGTTGCCGACATGGGCACTCTTTCCGTTCAGATCGAAGCTAACAAAAATGAAGCAGTGCCTTCGAGTTTGGATCTGCAACTCGAGCTGGAATCAGAATCAGAATCGGAACCGGAAGCCAGTCTGAGAATTGTGGAATCAACTCAAGTCAAGAAGGAACTCCAACAGCCTGAGAGAAACGAAGAACCTGAAGTGGCAGACATTGCTCCGGAGATGCTATCCGAGTCTCATCTTGATGGTCTGTCTGAAATTGAGGTCTCTGTAGCTGAAAGCCAGGATCTTGAATCCGTCACTGATGACAAGAATGTAGAACTTGTTCTTGGAGATGCCGTAGAGGAGCCAGCAATCAAAGCTGAGTCCAAGACTAACGAGGAATCTGTCCCTTCCGTGACAGATTCTCAGACAAAACCAGAGTTCCTTCAGACACCCAGTGATGTGGAGGTGATGGATGGTAGTCCATTGGCTCTCACTGTAAAAGTCAAAGGTATAAACGATGCTGATTTACACAAGATGTCTTGATATGGTATACTACTTTGTTGTTTTCCAAATTTATTAACCAGGCATTGATACCGCCCGGCTTTTTACATTTCATGTTATTCTTGTTTGCCTGGTGACAAAAAAATATTTGGTGCTCTTCATAACAAATACCACACCATATTATTGCACCCGCTTAGACATATGCCAGGTAATGTAAATTACAATGTTGAAATTGTTTTTGATTTGCTTGTCGGATTTTAGGGACACCAGAGCCCGAAGTCATGTGGATCTTTGACAGCTGTGAGATCTTGGAGGATGATGACTTCAAACTCCTTCATGATGGCGAGCTTCATTCCTTGGTCATCCGTGAGGTCTACCCCGAGGACGCTGGGGTCTACTTCTGTAAGGCGTTCAACGCGGCGGGCGAGGATCAGTGTTCTGCCAAGATCGTCGTAAAAGGTGAGCTGATGACGTGATGCATTCTGAATCGTCGCAATAACGTTTAAGAATGAATAAATTGGGGATTATCTTTTTAATATCAAGGCTGCTAAAAATTGATCTGACATCTGAAAAAGTGACAATTTGGTGATTGCCTTGCTACGGAGCAAACATCTCAGTTAAAAGAAATTCTATGCTAATTATAAAAAGAAGCATTATAGTTTTCGTTTCCGTGAAGCCTTGGAGTATAGAAGGGCATTAATTTAAAAGAAACTGAGTGCACTCATCTTAATTTATCAGCCAATCCTCTAAATACTATTTCTTTTCTTTAGCTCACTTCTTCGTAGGAGTTCACGTCTTCAGATCATCTATTTCTTCCTTTGTCGTAAGCTGTCCGGTAAACGGCTGCATGCATGCGATCCCAGTGTGCTGTTTATTGTTAATATTATGGCTGTATTTGACAATTTCAAATCATTTGTTTTAAAGTGTCTGACGTCATGCATGATTTCGCGATTTATCTTAATGTTTCCTGCCTTTTATAGCGCTAATTTGTTTCAGTTGCAGCATGATGCGTTGTAGTAAACTGTTAAAATATTTTCTCGGGAAACTGGTGGTAATTACCGTTTTTTGTAACATGTTGTATACTTGTGACAAGTTACAAGTTCATCGTTAGTGATTAAATCTCATTCTTGATGTTTGCTGTGGTGTGTGTTATAATGTGTAAACCAACGACACAATGCAGGAGCACCCGACGTTTCAAGCCTATTACAATATTTTTCAACCTTTTGGTCGAGATACAAAACATCAGGCCTTCATACCTCTCGAACGTTCTTGTTCTTAGTCGTGCTGTAGTCTACCAAACCTCCCAATCGTATTTTTGGAAAGATGGTATTCCTTGATTTGTATCAAAGCACTCTGTTCTTTTGGTTACAGACCCAGTTTGTCCGGGGTCTCCTCCCAGATTCACGCAAAAGCCACGGTCGGTGACAGTAGATGAAGGCAGTAGCCTGAGAATCACCTGTAAGGTGGAAGGCGATCCGGAGCCCGCAATCTCCTGGGCCAAAGATGGTCGCATCATCTCGCCAGGACAGCGGATCCTCATGAAGAAGCTTGGTATCGGAAGTAGTCTAAGGATCCTTCAGATTCCTGCCGCCTTGGCGACGGATGCTGGGTCTTATGCCTGTACGGTCAGTAACTCCTTCGGCGAGGAGAAGTGCACTGTGTCGGTGGTTGTGCATGCTTTGGAAGAGGAGCAGACAGATTTTAGACAACTGTTGAAATCAAGGTAAATCTGGCAGGATAAAGAATAGAAGGGTTCTTAAAGATAAAGGCGGTCATTGAAGTAGTGATTGCCTGTAGAACTTTAAATCGCTTTGGGAAAGACGAATAATAGGGTTCCGGTTCTTAAGACAACCATGTGGTGGTATATAATTGCATGTAAAATTTAAAATCACTTTGGGAAAAATATGAATTGTTGCAATGATACGACCCTGGATAACTAACTGAGGTTTAGTTGGGATTTGAAAAGTTCGGATGAGGTTTAAAACATGATATTGAAATTTAAATTTTTCCTAACTTTAATTTGCACTCTTTTCAGTTGAAAGGATTTTTTAACGTAAAATTGTCATAGGTCCCTATGCCTTCTTACTCTTTTAGGGCCTATGTACATTTGAAAGTCATTTTGGGGTTTTATCACCTCGATTTGTATTGTTCACTGCCTTTGAATAATCATATGAAGGGCAAAAACCTAAATTGAATCATGCACCAAGAGCCAACTTAGCGTCATCATTCTGTGTTAAGCAGTTTGTTAAAAAAAATTACATACCTCATAATATTAAAGTTTTATGTTATTATTTCGAAACAGACCGCGACTTCAGAATATCAACAACAACAACACCATCAACAGCAGCACGGACAAAAGCTCGCCAGAATCCGACTCGCAACAATTAGACTTCCGTCACGTGCTCACACGTCACGTGCAGACCAAGAAGGTGCCAAAGGTCATCGAGGGGTTAAAGGACATGCGCATTAAGGAGGGAGAATTGGCGGTGTTTCAGTGTAGGGTGGAGGGGACACCAAAGCCTACCATTGCTTGGACGGTAGATGGCAGGGAAATCAAAGAGTCGAAATACTTCAAAATGACGACTGAAGGTTCGTGAACTGAGGTTCCTGCAAGAAATGAATATAAAGGGTGTAAATGATAACGATATAAAACTGACAATGTTGCAATTTTAAGATCAACCAAACACATCTGTATCAATAGGACTTCGTATACAAAACCAACTTTAACCAATTTTGCATTGTCGACCGAACTTTAAAATCTTGCAGAAGTAGGTCTTACGAATGCAACTGTTTTCGTTCTTGAATATTGTAACGACCACTTATTTTTGGTCCGAATAATCTTGAAACAACTTTGTATTATAGCATTGGTTTTTTTCCTATTGTACCCAGGCACGCTGGTGAAACTGACAATAACCGAAGCTTTCCCTGAGGACGAGGGTGAATACTCGTGCATTGCTTCCAATACAGCTGGTCAGGACAAGACAACTTCAGATCTCAAGATTGTCCGTAAGTTGATTTAAAAAAAAAAAACGTTTTCATAACTGGCCAAAAAATGGACAAATGACCAAAAACCCTCACCTGACTTTCGATTTCTTTTGGTGAATATTCAAGTTAACAATTTGTTGCGCACTAGAGCCTATCTGTACCCATCAAATGATATTATGCCGAAAATTCTGTCAATTTCACAATATCCCTTAACACAACATGTATAAAAAAAAACACCAATTTTCACTAATGATATTGTGTACAATTCTCAACAGCGTGGGAAGAGGACGAAAATGATGATGAGGAATTTCTCAGGTCCCAAGTATCGTCATCCAAAGCCACCAGCAGCCCTCGAGATCATCTTGACGAAGTCTTCAAGAGGACACTGACAATATCCGAGGATGACGACGATGTTGATGCAGATAATCCCGGCACCCCACCCCGACCCGCCATTACAGTCACCGAAGCCTCGCCCAAGAAATCCAAGAAAACACCGCCGCCAGTTCCCGCCAAAAAGACCTCGCTGACGCGCATGAGAGCGCCCTCATTTGAAGAGTCAGACTCTGACTGGTCTGGCAAAGCCATCGAGTCAAAACCAGCGTACGCCGATGGGAAAGTCAATATAGAATCCCATTCAAAGCCACAGTTTACCGAGGGACTTTGCGACCGGCGGATCGTGGAGGGCAAGTCGGCCGTGCTAGAGTGCCGAGTCACCGGCGAGCCCGAACCGGACATCTTCTGGTACTGTGACGAAGTGGAGATCGGGGAGACAGACCCCAAGTATCGGTACGAATTTGAGGGAGAACACGGTGTTTCATTGGTGGTCAATAATGCCAGGATGAGTGACGCAGGAACCTACACGTGCAAGGCTGTCAATGCAGCTGGGACGGCCGAGAGTTCAGCTCAACTCATCGCTGGAGGTCAGTTCACAGATTTTGTTTTCTGTAATAATAACATTTCAACTAACATTTCGTTTTCACTGTTTCAGCCAACGCACTAAAGGACTACTTTAAGAATAGACCTTATATGTTAAGGCGGAGTTAATGGCAATGGTTTTGTATCTCTTGGAGCATTGGACAGGCACGGATGGAACCTATTGTGCATAAATGGTTGCTAAATTGTTAGAGTATCAAAGAACTCACTCTGAGATATCCATAGGGTTTATTGACTTTCACTTACCACCTTTGAATTTATTTTCTGTATTTTGGGGTATTTTGCTTTGGATTTTTCAATGCAAATCGATGGGAAAGTTAACAAAGATCTCAAATAATTTGTCATCTGCCGTAAGTATCAAAGAAATGTAAGACAGGTTTAGTGTTACATGACAGTGGTTGATATTGGATGTTTTATTGAACCATGACAAAATGCATTCAACAAAGCAAGGCCACTTACTTGACCCTATTATTAGTGTCCGATTCTGTAACCAAGTAATCCTGGGAAAATGGGTTGACGACGAGTTCTTCACGTCGCTTTTCACAGCGAAATCAATATGTACAAATCGAGTAAACTTCAAAGTCAAATCCTACATTCCTCGCACGAAACGAACACTGCGGCATAAATATATAAGCCGATTCGGTTCCCTCCGAAACTGTATATACACGACAAAGGCCTTTTCAAGTCAACACAAACTGTTTTTTGTCAGCGGCAGAATTACTGCAAATGTTGAAAACCTCGTAGTACGCTACATGTACTAGTATAACCTTGTGGATTTTTTTTACTCTATCCCTCAATAAATCTGTTCCATGCATTGTGTAAACATCCTAGGTCCCTTTGGCATGTCAAGTTATTAAAAGTTTTCAATGCTGCATGGAGCTATTCAAACATACCACAACCTTTTCCATTTTGATTATGCCTCAGACCTCGGCGTCTACCTTCTGCAAATATATTTTGATTGACCTAATTCGGTTGTGGACAGACACACCTTTAGAAACACCTTGCAAAAACCTGTTGTCTCTCGTTTTATGTCGGTAACTTTGTTATCATAAACCGATGATTTATGTGTCAAACTTGCCATGAAGGCGTGTGCTGTGTTGTATTTACCATGTACGCGTGAATACATTTTGAGGCTCCTAATGGACCGTAGAGGGCAATGGCTTTGTATTGGTTGGATAGGAGTGGGTGAACCCTTTGTGTATTCATTGGTACTAGGCCTAAATTGAAATAACAAAGTACCCTCCGAAATAATCTGCAACACACGAGGTCTAATTGAAATCTCAGCTTAATGGATCCGAAAAGTTGAGAGTAACTTGACAAACCTGCCATAGAGTTACTGGGGCCGTGTTAATGTACAGTCGAGTCTCGTCAATATAAACTCGCACAGTTGGGACCAAGGCTTTATGTTTGTTATAACCAGACTTTTGTACTATTAAACAGAGTTTGTACTAACGAGAGTCGACTGTATACGCGCTGTGATATTAAATACACCCAATGGCTGATTAGAATTTCAGCCTTAACACCGAGTGCAATAAGCTGAATTAACCTCTCGGATTGGACATAGAACATTACGATAGATCCCGGCAGTACTGTACTTCGCTTTCCACCCCAACCTCACGCCTGAGGGTCTTCACACTAACGGCATATCATTTAGTAATGTCTTTAACTTAATTCAAACCCTTAACGAAATGCTCATCAAGAAAAAGTAGCATTCATATTCAGATTTTTGTGCAAGTGTATAATCTCATTTGTATCACTCGTTTCATGTAAATGGACTGAAGTGAAGAACATCACATCTTGAAGTCCTAGCAGTTAAGCCTATGCAAGCTGCCGATGTATATTTTAATTCCAAGTGTTTTAATAGTATAATAAAAAGCCGGCTCTCTGAGTGATCCCCGTTTGCTATTTCCCAGGTTTGCAGCATTGCTAATGTTGCTAGCACTTTGGGCGTGCTCCCTGGCTATGGCATATATACGGGTCTATGGCTTCTGACTATAGAGCCCTTTGACATTGACAAAATGGGGAACCGCCATCATATGGCTGGATAGCTCAGTTAGTAGAGCACCGGAATGGCAATCTGGAGATCGCAGGTTCAGACCCCTCTCCAGTCAATTTCTTTGTTGAACTTTAAAATAATCATAATGCACTAGCCGGTTTCCCTGTGTGGTTTATTTGAGAACAAAAATATTTTCAAGTTGATGTGCATTGCACGTTATAGTCGGAGCGTCAGTAATGCACCGACGCGACATGTCGTACATGATTTAACCTTGTTCGGATGTAATAGAGTAAGATATGTTGGAATACTGGCATGATAAACCCGGTGTAATGCAATTTGTACGTCTTAAAGCGTTTATGTTGTGGGAAAGCAAAGTCACATATGCATCAATCAGCCAAAGCACTTTATAAAGTGGTCTCTTACAAGCTTATGCAGTGACATCTGACTTAAACATGAGCACTGACGCATTTAAATGATGCAGTCGTTTGATCGGTATTGCTGCAGTCATATAAGGACATATGGACCACCTCGTTATCAAAGTGATATAGTACATTGAAAACTGATAACTCCTTGTCTCTCCAATTTCGAAAATTTGGAAGAAATATCAAGTGAGATTTTTATCCTCCAATATGCACCTGTCATGTAGCTGTTTTAATTTGATTTCCTTAATTAGGGTGTGTCCATGTAATTAGTGGTTTCCATTGCAGATTACTGCAGACAACAAGAAAGAGAACTCGGTAGAAAAAACCCATGGAAACACGATAGTTCACGCTAAAATAACATTAACACTAATACACCATTGCAAGATGTTCATGCGGCTTGAGTGTCATACACATTCCCTTCCCGTCGCGCTAGTTTACTTTAAATTTCACCGCGTCAGCGCAGATTTACTTCTCAGAAAATTCTCTCAATTACACGGGTTCGTCCGTGATTTACAAGCCTTCGCGCAAATTAAATCTGCCGGATATTTCCTCGCTAGCAGTGGGAACGATCGCTGTCTGGTCTCGGCAGACGATACCCCCTTGATTGACAGTGAGACGTGTCGTATATCGCAGATGTATACACTATGTAATTAAAATCCAAATTGGCCTTTCATTCACACAAGCCGAAGTCTCACCGGCGGGAGCGCTTTATAAATGTATTTTCTTTTAGATATCTTCCTTTTTTTTTCTCCAGCAAGACTGCAACTGAGGAATGGGCAAAGTTTGGAAGTAAATCATTAAGCAAAGGTCAGCCAGCTCTATAGTGTTTAAATTTGCCCCATTTCAACAATGTCCCGTGCTGAAGTTGTGTGTGAACGGTAAACATTGCAACTTTTATCGGGCGGAGTTTATTTGTGTCCTTATCTTGAAAAGTTGGTTTTAAGAATCTCCCTGACGATTTAGAAAACATTAAAATCTCATATTTTGCTTGACGTCATTGAAGATTTTTTTTTATCCCATGTTCGATGTAGTTTATTATGACAAGTTGCACTCCGAGTGCTTTTCTGACATTGTGACATTTCTACAATGATATCACTATAAATCCAGCATTAGCAGCTCTGGATTTCCTTTTAACCAATTTTATTGACTTCCTGTATAAACATAGACTGATCTGTATTTAAACTCAGTGTTCATCCAAGTCGCCCTTGGTTCAAGTCAAACTTCCCGTTGTTATATTATGCAATTTGAACCTCAGTGTATATTGTTTTTGTACTGAGGTATGTGGAATTTTGTAAATTAAGGATCCGTTTTCCAAACCTCGGCTTCGTTCCAGCAACATGCTCCTGGAGATTTTTAGGTTCCTAACTTGGGAAACTCCGGTTCTGAATATAGGCCTGCTTCAGGAATATTAAATTCTATCATAAATATGAGGCCAAAAATAAAAGTGTTTCCATTGGATTGTAGCACCAAAGGCACCAAAATAATTCTAGACCCAGAGATTGAGCCGCAGCATGCGACAAAACCAAGGTTTAGAAAACCTCCACAATTCACACTTCACCGTTACTCAAACGAGACATGACGTGGTAGTAGGATCAGACATATTGGATTATTGCACGCACTCACCCATGCCCCGATCTCGCTAACTTGACGCACATACCTGTCACGAACACATCAACATTTCCTGCGCTTTTAAATTATTCATCTTCAGAATGATGGATAGGTATGTTCCTATGTCTGAATTGACAATTCGCTTTTAAGGGTCACTCATATAAATGATTATAAAATTTAATTGATTTGATTATAATTGACTTATCGCCGTTTGCGAGTTAGCCACGCCCCGTAGACAACCCTGTGGAATTGTGTACGTTAAGCTTTGTTTGTTTCAGATTTTGCGCGTTCCGCTTCCATTAATTTTGTATATCCTGTGTAATTGGACAAAATTTCACAAGCTGCGATGACGCGATTCTATGCGATAGGTTAATTGTTAGCATAATAAGCAGTACTAATATAAAAGCTAGTGAAATGAAAATATGGGATTTACGATATCGTAAAAGAAAACCTCACTTGAGGTTCTTGACATGAGGTACGAAATTAAACTTGAGAAAACTATTAACCGATAGGGCCTACACGGTTAATATGTGTTTGGCGCTGTGTTTCATGGAAGTACCTCCTTCTACCCGATGTGATATGACCACACTTGACAAATGCGAGCCTACAGGTGTAATGGAAATTAATTCACGATCGTTTTGCTGATAACTCCAGCGATATCACGCTTGAATTAATCCCAATAATCGCTGCTCGACAACAACGCTGCGGGAAGTAATATTGTCAGAAATTAATTTCCAGTAAATAGCTTCGCAGATTTACCGTAAATGCTGTGGGTTTTTATTTTTGTTCAAAAGAATTGATTTGAGCAAACGCGACCGGAATCAGACAGAAATCCCCAGGGTTTAAAAGGTTTTCGAACTGTCACGACCCTTTAATTAGTGTTCCTTGTGATTACCTTGCGTGCAGGAGTTTCACTTAAGTTGTCACTATGTGGAAGGAGTAATTTCACGCTTTGAATGTTTGCTAGCCTGTCAAGTCGCAAATTGGTTTAAGTTGTACTGGTATAAATTCAGCCACATGGTGTGTATGTGCCCAATTTTTAAACATTTAATTTACAACCTGTTAAATGTATACAAAGAAGTTTCTAATTCATATATTATTTCGTGAAAAAAAGTTTGTCCCACGTTCGCTACATTTCAAATTGTGGTGCTCGACTAAATTAAATTTTAAAAGTGACCGATGTGTCAACTGGGCCAATTTGTATTTTTTTTTTACATCCCTAACATAAAAGAGATCGACAAGGACGAGGTGTTAAAATAAGGATCGTCATATTACTAATCTTTGATATCTCCAAGTAATCTTTAAAAAAAAAAGTTTATTGAAAAGTGTTGTCAAAATGTATTGTCTGCTTGCATTCTTGTATCTGTGTCATTTATCACGATATTTGAATCGCAGCAGATACTACGTCAAAGTGAACTCCATGTATTCCCAGCTTTCGTGTCAAATGTCGGTATTCTCCATTCAGTTCGTAGTTAATTAATCAAGTATTACATTCCAGCAGGCAAAGGTCGTCGTGGTGGGTTTTTTTTCTTTTTATCTTGAATCGGAATTGCATAGACTCGGTTTGTTTACCAACGGCTGTTTGAGACGCTCGACAAAACCACAACACCTCTTTAAACCTCATTTTCCCACGCAATTTAGCTTGAACTTAGACTCACAAGTCTGCGCTAAAAATACCAGTGTGAACTTAATTTTAAAAGCTTTTAAATGGATTCGGTACACATCACAATTCTAAGTGTGTATGACGGATAGTGTGGTTAAAGAGGGGCTATTTAATTCGGTTTGATAAACATATTACATGAGACAAACTGTATAAATGTAGAAATCTGAATGTGAACATTGTAGCAGCATCACATTTTTATTTTAGATTGTACAGAAAGGATCATGTATTAAACCGATTTCCTTATATCGAAAATGGAACAAGGATATAAATACACGTGTTTATATTCATTTGCCAATATCAGCACCATTGTGATGATTTCCGTATACATTGTGTTTATATTTTTAGTTCCGTCAATATTTTCGTGTTTTATAGAAGATTGTTCAAACTTGAGTCAGATATTTATTTAAATGCAAAAAAAATAACATTTATTTTAGTATCCAAAGTTTATAAAATACTATTCTAGCATTCACATTCTATATTAATTTCCTACAATCTCGTGCAGTCTCAACGACTTTAAGGCAGAATATGCTACATTTGCTTGATATTTTTAGGCATGCGAATCGTCTTGAAATTGGGCCATCTGTCGAGATGGTGACAAATTTCAAACATTTCCCTGCTTGACCAGACACCTGCCTCTCTCGCGTTTAATAGCGTACCGATGATGAGGATGCACCTTGCTGAGAAAATATGGAACGTTCCGACTCGCGTCTCACAGATGGTTGAGCAGTACGCCTGGGGCGTTGTCGCCATTTATAGAAATTTTGTGATAGACTCTATAATAACTACCGGTATACACGACGCTTGTTCTTACCTTTGTGAATTAATAAATATCGCTGAGTGTGATCGATATTTCCAAATGCAACAATAATTCCGTGTTTTGGGCGGAACAAAACAGAAACTGCCACGTCGTTTTCGATTACAATTTGGCAATGTGATGTCATTATTGTGTTTAGATTCTTAAGGGAGACGTTGAAAGAAACATGGATTGTGGAGCTCTCTTTAACATTAACAACTATTTGTCTGTGCTTGTGTCTTTGATCTGTTTAAGGTCGCTGTCTTTGAAAGAATATACCAATATTTCACTTTTGCAGGGGATAGTGTTGGCCTGTTGGGCTATAGGGGTTGCAGATCGAGTATTTTCCCTTTTTACTCGTACACTCGTCAGCAACGAACACACACAACACCGTCAGCTTTTCCTATTGCCACGTTTGTTTTTGTCATCTGGACTTTTCATGTCAGCTGAACCGTAACTTTTGTTGGCTGATATTTTCTGTTTTTTTATCGTTCTTAATTTGTTTCCCACTCGACCGTGTCAACATACTGTGGTTAATATTATCTACGCGCTGTACACATCTGAAGCAGTCATCAGAACGGAAGATATAAAGAGGAGAACAAAAATTGTTCTGATCTGTAATGTGGGTGGCTTTCTGTGGGTTGAGCCGGCGATGCAAAGCTAAAGAGGGTTTTGACAAAACAGATAAAGTGTCTTTTGGGGATCATGGGGCTTGAATCTAAAAAAATTAATAAAAATTAAAAGCACGTAATTTGATACAGGGTTAATATGACTGGGCCCCACTATTTCCATGTTTAAAAATTGTCTGTTTATTTTTCTCAATCAAATATTGAATACAAACTTTTTTTCATGCGTTGTTTTCAAGATCGGCAATTTGTTGATTTACAAAAAGATATTTGGTTCTGAGAAGAATCACAAGTTCTTCTCGATAACTGACATATTCGGTAAACGTTTGATGCAACCGTAAACCATATTCCGTAGGCCTATACGAGTCCTTTTAAAGAACGAAGAATGTGAGCACTTCTTTAAGGTTCACGTCTTGCAAGATTGCCAATTAGGTTGACAATCTGAAATCGCCAAAAAGTTGCATAAAGACCGCGTCTTATTGTGATGATGTATAATAAATTGGGTCAGGTTACGAACACACAGGGTCACATGCAACCATAATTGAAGACAGAGTTATGAAACTGGCCAATCCTTGGTAATCGGATTTCCCGCGTTGCCTGGGGCATATTAATTCAACTATTTCATGTACTCTTTATCTCCTCGGCATCTCTTTAAACTGTGAGGAATCTATGCAGCAATATGCACTTGGGGGATATGTGTGTCTTCTGGATGCGTGTATGTTGTGGTACTAAGAAATAAATTGAGCTGTACTGGCGGGAAGGCCATAAAATAATGCATGCTGTGATCATGGTGTGGTTCACACGGTTCAAAGCTGGTGTAGTTTTTTTCAGTGATGTGTTTAACGGTTGTTGATTGAGGTTGTAATCCTTTTTAGTCTTTTCTTGTTTCGATGTACATGTATTTAAATTGTACGTTATTTCTTTGTGGTTGCCTTTAGTTCAATTGGTAAATGTAACATCTGTTGACTTTAAAAAAAAATATCGATCACAAAACAATGGACAACATTCGCTGTTTTTAATGGGAATAAATCTCATTTATGAATATTCATGCAAGTCGTTTTAAAAACATCTTCCTTGTATTTTCCACACCGTCGCCCTATTATTTTCTCAGTTTGTTCATGGAAACAAAACAAACCATCGGAGTTTTAATTCGAGGGACTAGTTTTCTGGAACTTACTCGAGTAAAGTCGAGGCTTGTTGAGTCTATGAGTATAAAATGCATCGGTTGCAATTTCTGTAGTAAACTGAATTAAAATGTTGAATATGTTTTTGTTACAGTGCCTGCAAAAATTGAGTCCGGCCCGAAGAACATCCAGGTCATCGCGGGTCAAACCCTCAGCATCTCATGCCAAATAACCGGCAGCCCAGAACCGGAAGTCACGTGGACCAAGTACCGGAAAGAGGTGGAGGAAAGTGAGCGCAAACACATAGACGTGACAGAGAGTGCTGCAACGCTCGTCATACGTCAAGCCGACGAAGGGGATGGCGGGCGATATACTCTGTCCGTCTGTAATGAGCTGGGTGGAGATTGCTTCGAGATATCAGTCAGTGTCGTAGGTGAGAACAAAATGGATCGTGGATGTAGTTTGAGATATCTGTCATTGTCGTGTATGTGTGAAGACCTTTTATGATATGTTATCAGTGTTGCAGGAGAGAACAAATGGGTAGTTTTGACATGTACATCTTTTATTTATTTTAGGTGAAAACAAGTTGGTAGTTTATTTAAATATAGTTTTTGTGCTAGAGAAAGAATGAATAGATTTGACAAGATACAGTGTATCCTTATATTAGTTTGAGATGAGTTATGTTGATGAAAAAAAGTTAAGAAATATCTGTCTTGATGTCCCAAGTGCAAAGTGAAATATATATTGAAATATTTCAAAGACATTTGACAGTGTGTTTGCTGAGAACAAAGAGAAAAGATTGCAACAATTTAAGAAACAGCGAATGAAAAGCAGCTTGAGATGATGATAACATTTGATTTTTCGTAATCAGATAAACCTGACCCTCCCTCCGGTAAGCCAACGGCTTCTGACGTCACCCGTACCTCCCTAACCCTCTCCTGGCCCGGTCCCTCCTATGATGGCGGTAGTCGCATTCTGGGCTACGTCATCGAAATGTGTCGCGCTGACGACAAGAAATGGGAGAACGTCACCTCCACAGTCAGCACGTCACACGTCATAGCTGACTTGGAACCAGAAGTGGAGTATCTCTTCCGGGTCGGTGCAGAAAACGAGCATGGAGTCAGCGAGCCCAGTCCGGTTTCGGACCCTGTGCTGACTGTTGTGAAAACGGCATGCGGAAACGATGAGAAGACTGGTGGCGAGTCTGATGGTAGGTGTTTGTGTATACTGTAACAGAAATAAAATGTAGCAGTGTGTAAAACCGATTGGTCACTTGAGGTTATCTCAACTTTTAAATATTTTAACAGCTGGTCACTTGTTGATTTTATTAGAGTGTATTTTGATTTGATTTATTTATTGTTATATAGAAGAGACAGAAGAATTTGTAGTTCGTGGTGACGTCGCGATCCGAACTGACAAGGAGGTCACTGAGCTCTACGATATGAAGGAACAATGTGGAAAGTAAGTCTGATTGTCAGTTTGTTTGTTGGGATGTATCTTTGTTTGTTTTCATCTTTACTTCATTCGTGGTTCTTAAAATGTTTTAAGCTGTTTCATCCTATTTTTAAATGCGGTATTGATAAATAAGTTAGAACAAATAAAAAATGGTTAAATATTTGATCAGGCTTAAGTGTCTCTTAATTGATACTTGTGTAATGTTTTTATCGAGGCATTGAATTGTCATGCTCAATATTCAGTCTATTTTTGGATATCAGTAACCAAATTGCAGAAACTTTCTACATGGTATACCATGCATTCACAGTCTATGAAAATACTTGTCAGTTCACTGAACTCAAGTTACCTCACCATAGACTAAAAATGTGTGCCTGTTTTTCGTTTCACTAACAGAGGGCGCTTTGGCGTTGTGTATCGTTGCTTGGAGAAAAAGAGCGGCAAACAATTTGCCGCCAAATTCATCAAGATCAAATCATCTGATCGCCAGGCGGTGAGATCGGAGATTGTCATAATGAACGAGTTGCATCACCCCAAGCTGCTGCAGTGTGTAGACGCATTCGAAGGGCCAAGGCAGGTGGTCATGGTCATGGAATTGTAAGTTGGAAGAAAAAAAAACATTTGGAAAGTTGCGGTAATAGAATGAAGAAGAGATTTATAAATATATATATTTATATAGAAATGATGCCTGACTTACGTTTTATTTAGTTGAATACTTTGCTTTCATTCTTCATACTCTGCTCTAATTTTCAAGAATTTTTAAAAATGTGCACCTCTGAAATCTGTATATGGATTTGTGTAATTATCACCATTTGAGTTATCCTTCATTGCAGCTTAATATCAAAGTTAATGACTCAATCTGTATTGTGGTGAAAGAAATCAATAAAACTATATTTGTTACCAATGACGTCATTTTTGTCCAATCAGCATCGCCGGTGGTGAGCTATTCGAGCGCGTCATCGATGACGATTTCGTCCTGACCGAGAAGGACGCCATCAAATTCATGCGTCAGATCTGCGCAGGCGTGCACTACATGCACCTACAGAACATCCTCCATCTTGACCTGAAACCTGAAAACGTCATGTGTGTGGACACCCACGGCTGCCGGATCAAGCTGATAGACTTTGGCCTGGCCCGGAAGTTCGACCCCACCAAGAGCACAAAGGTCATGTTTGGGACGCCAGAGTTCGTTGCCCCAGAAGTGATTAATTACGAGCAGATCAGCTTTGCGACTGATTTGTGGAGTATTGGAGTCATCTGTTATATTTTGTAAGTTTGATTCCTAAAGTATTTTTCAAAAATAAATATTCAGTTGCCCAGAGTATTATCTCTTTTTTAATCGAATTAAAGGCGATATTTTCCTTTAAAGGAAAGAGATATGTTTTTTGCGAGCATCAACAAAGGTTATTTACTGCGGTAAATAATAGGTTTTAGAATTTGAAAACAAAATTTCCAAATGTTACAAATACGTTTCAAATATTGTATTGTTGTACAATCTTTTCCATCACTCAGATAACAATGTTTTGTTTTTCCAATGTTATAAGAACATTAATAGTTGTATAGATGCAGTCGAGGAGAGAGAAACATTATAGAAAGTGAGGCGTGTGAAAACATTACAAGAGTTATTTCTTTTAACTTACGGATTTTGTTTACTTTCAGGCTGAGTGGTTTGTCTCCGTTCATGGGCGACTCAGACGCAGAGACGCTCAACAATGTCACGGCGGCAGAATGGGACTTTGAAGACGAGGCTTTTGATGACATCACGGACGAGGCTAAAGAATTTATAGAAAAGCTACTCATCAAGAGGAAAGAGTATGTTATGTATACATGTTATCTTTTTTTGTCAGCGCTCAATGTTCCTGGGTTGCACAGATTGTTTTACCATATAAGAGATCGGTTAGACATGGTTATGCCAACAGTAAACGAATCAATTTCCTGCTTTTCCGGAATTTAGATTTTTTTTGATATTGTCTTATTGATACCACTCGCTTGTTATATTCCTTTTTTGTGAATTATGTTATGGTTTACACCATTCATTTGCAATAAATGCGTTGTATATCTTTTTTAAAAAAATATATTTTTCTTGACAAACGATCGATTCTGCACGTTCCTTTCTCCATGGTGTACCCAAGACATACATTTCCGTTTCTTGTTTCCTGTCGCAGAAAACGCCAGACTGTTGAGGAATGTCTCCAGCACAAATGGCTGAACAAAGACATCAAGACAATGAAAGCCACGCAGCTGTCTACGGCTAAACTGAAGAAGTTCGTGGCTAGGCGCAGATGGCAGGTATGTATAGCCATTGGGAATGAGCTGGGAAAAATGTTGTATGGCGTGCAAAATGTGTCTTATTTGGTGTCAGCTATAGTCAATCGAATCAATGATGGAACCTGAAGTCTGTTGCATTATTTAATCGGCAGGTGTTGCAGTGGGTTTTGACTTTTTTTCGATACTTCCTTTCTAAAGGCATATAGGATCATTTGCAGTTATCCCAAAAGTAACCTACCGAATTATTATAGGTCGTACTTTCCTTATATTTAAAATACCCAGTGAATTTTTTTCTCAATTTGTCTGCCTTGCTGTCATTTAGAAGAAATCAAGAAATGTAGGTGATCATCCAATGATCAGACAGTTTACTGGTTTTTGGAAATACAGAGTGCTATGAATGAAATCGTGTTTCGTGATCAAAAGGTTGTGCATTTTTCTTGGTCTGTTTTCACGAAAAGTGTAATATCCACTGAGCTGAAACTTCAAAAGGTTAGGTTTGAACATTCTTCTTTGGATTTTGAGTGGTGTTATTATTGGAAACGAAATGCATGATAGGGAAATGATCCTATATGCCTTTAAGTTTGATTGTAGTGCGACCCATGTGCGAAGGACTACCACATCAATGAGTGCAGTGGTTCAATGACGTCACACGAAAATTCTTACTTGTTTTACAGTAGGACTTAATGAATTATCGAAGTGTTTAAATACACCACAATGGCAGGTTGGTTCGTTTGGACGGGAGTTTCTGGTATGACAGAAAGATCGTTGGATGTTTTTTTGATACAGGTGATGGAATACTAACTTTGATTTACTCAGAAATATCTGCTGTTTTGTTAGGTACAGGCCTCGGAGGGATTTTCGAACGTATAGTTCATGTACCAGGAGAATGAGGCAAGTTCAGGCACCAGACTAAGTTGCCGTGGGAAATGCTATTAACAATTCACCCTCCGCGTGAATGACTGATACGTGGAGTGCCCTAACACCTATTACGTTTATTTTAATGGAGTGTGTTAAAGTTGGGGTCATTCTTGAACATGGAACGCCCTCTGTTGATATTTATAGCTAGGTGGCAGTCAAAACATAATCCGATTGTTATTGTGGACACTAACAGTCAAATGTGTTTGTAACGAACGCAGTATTCACATCGAAGTTTTGCCACCGGAATATATGACAGAGGGCGGTATCACTTCTGATGTGAATGAGAATGACGTCATCTTTAGAAAAGGTTCATGTACTCAGTAGACACTGTCTCAAAGTTTTCAGGGGACTTTTAGTCCTTAACAAATAGTTCGAGCTATTTCATAAAACCATAGAGCAAGGAGTTCATACTCCAAGACTTCAAAAGTAAAATGATGGTCGCCGCGCTCGAAAGCTACAATAGAAAGCATCTGGCGCCAGCTTGCTCAGTTGCTCACTACGCTAATCTCGACACAATAGAGATCCGCGCTCACTAATGCCAAAAAAAGGAGTTTGCATGGCTTCGTAGACAGTACCATGGTTAATACGCACGCGCAGTTGTCATACATCGCTAAAAATGAATGATTTTGAAGTGTTTGTTCGGAGTTGGCTAATACTGGCTAACAATGTGGTCAACATCACTGAAACAATCATTTCATGAAGAACAAAATGCTCTGTACCTTTAGTGTAAAAACTTCTGAAATTTTCCAAAAAAACACATTTCATCAATGATATATTGCCAATTAAAATGTCTGAAAATATATGAAAACTTATCTCAAAGAAATCCAATTTATCTCCAAATTACAGGGACAGATAACGCTTTTAAGCACCAACAACTGCACATTGCTAACTTGAGTTCATAACTCACATTTAACAACTGCGCAGTTGTAAAAACCTATCTTGTCGTAAAATATATTTTTCAAAAAAGAGCAGCGACGTGACATGACTTATTATGCAGCATATAGGGAGGTTGTTGGTTACCAACTAAAAAGGCGGCGACGATCATCGTGTTCAAAGGCCGCTGGCATTCACGCTTTGAATGGTCGAGGCTTGCGGTCACAGTGCTGTAGCTATAGACATTCCCGTGGGATTGGTATGTTAATGGTCAAAATGTAAATCGCCCAAGAGTTCTGACTCCTTGGGTCCTTGCTTTATGATAAAACCAAGATGCTCAGTCAAATTTACGAGATTTTTGCTGGGTAACTAAGCCGAGGTCCTGCTATTTAGGCTTGCTTTAAATCAGTGCCTGGAGAAATTTTGACTCATGTAAGCTTTTTTGAGACTACTATTTTCAGCGCAACTGTTTTTGCAAAACATGTTTGAGTATAGCATAGTTGTTCGTACTGAAACGCTTATTTAAGCTGAAGTTAGCTACCTCTTTTGTTGTTCTCTGAATATCGAAGTAGTTTACCATTGCGTCAGATATTGCTACAAACTGAAATATATAACCTCAAATATTTGGAAAAGATGTCTTCAATTATTTAAAGACGCTACTGTGTTTCATGTAAACAACATTGACCGAATGTCGGTGTCTTGAAATTCCCTAATGCTGGTCGCTAATGACAAACTTGGAAACTCTTGGTTAGTTTCGTTTGCTTCAAACTGTTGTCGTTTCTTTAAAAAAGTAAAAGCATTTCAGAATGTATATTTTTGCACAACCACACAACACAGATTGGCGTACTGGAAGGTTTATTATTTATTTTGGTTCACGCACATTTATATGGCTCGATGCATGTTTCACGCGGAATGATGAACGCACGTAGTGTGAGATAATATGCACGTCGGAAATAATGAAGTCTACAACCAAGATGTCTAACCAAAATAATAACAGATACATTTACAAGGAAATATAAGACAAATTGTGTTATTTGCTCATGAGCATTAAGGCTTTCTGTCGAAATTAATCTGAATCTGCTTTTGGAAATTTTGTTATACGATACCAAAGAAGGTAGCTGAGATTCAGTCGTTTTATTGGCTCGTCTGAAACTGTCACTAGTGTACTCAAGACAGAAATTATGTTACGAGTCACCAACGCACATTTTCGTAACGCTTGTCTCATTTATGTTGAATCTCGAAGTATCCTTCGTGTTTTTGGTAGATATTACGCTTGATAGAGTGAAAAGGCCCATAACTTTGTGATCTTTCTAACGTATCTTTTTGAAGTACATTTCAAGCATTCACTTTAAACTGCCATCTTTTTGTAGAGCCGTATATGCTTCACTTCAGGGTCTGTCGAGGCTAATTTAGATGCTTTATGATTACACCTGCTACAACAAGCTTATAATCGGTCCTTGGATCATAATTACATGTGCTTAAAATTCGTTTTGTTTTTTCAACTAGTTTGAAACTAAATGTTCACGAGACAAGACTTTTTAGAATTAAAAGCGAGAAGTAGTCTTAAAGTACTCGATTAAAAGAGATTAGAATCAATTTCCAATCACTTTTCTGTATCATTAACGCCGTTTTGAGTTTTAATAACATAATTGACTTTTTGTCTTTGCCAGCTTGTATCGCTAACTAAGAAAGATGTTGATTTCAGTTCAATTGCATGGATTGTATTTGCTTTTCCAAACTAATAGGCTACATCTGAATATTTCGTGGCTACGGCTGGCGGGTACACACGCGTCTATGGAAAGCGGCTTCAGCCCTTCATACTTAGACGTAGGCCTATGTGTTTTTGCCAGCCGTAGGGAAGTAATTCGGACGCGGTCTTAATTGGGGATCTTGGAGACGCATGTGACACAGTTGATCCATAGGACGCCATCTGTTGACTGTTAAATACAAAGAAGTTATGTTAACACGTTGATGGACCATACAATGCATCATTATAGCAAACTCATTGCAGAAATTGACATGCAGTGTGATTTTTTATTTTTTTTTGATGTGCAACAGCATGCCGTTCAATAGATGGCGCTCTTTACAACTATACCTATCACAAAATGCATCATACCAGGCATTTCACATACACTTACCATTAAATATGTTTTTGTTATCAAACAGAAAACCACTACTGCAGTCCGGGCGATAGGCCGCATGGCTTCACTCACCATGTTCTCTGGATTGAAGAAGGCCAACGAACAGTCTCCGCCTTGCTCACCGACCCACAAATCTCTCCTCAAATCCACCCTCAAGAAAGGACTAGAAGACTCGGGTAAACTGCCTCTCTCCCATCACAAGGAAGAAGACGACCTGTCAAAGAAAACAAGAGAAGAAGTAGAACTTAGTGGTAAACTAGAGGTGGAGCAAACGAGTCCTAAAGTGAATGAACATGCGAAGAAAAACTCCAGTGAGAACAACAATGATGATAAGACATCAGTGAATGATGTGAATGGTTTGGGTGACGACGAAGAAACGAACTTGTCGAGTGGGTTGCAGTCTAAGGATGTACCGGACTCTGCTCTCAGTCGCCCACCACAAATTACTAAGCAAATCATGGACGCTACCGTGTTCGAAGGAGACTGCGCGCGATTTGACTGTCGCATGGAGGGCGAACCGGAACCGGAAGTCACGTGGTACCAGGACGATGAGGAGATTCAGGAGAGCCGTCGGTTTCTGATTGAGCAAGATGATGAGGGCGCTTGTTCGCTCATCATCAAGAACGTGTGCGAGGACGATGATGCCGAGTACATGGTGGAGGCCGTCAGTTCGGCTGGAAAGGCGTCTAGTATAGCGGAGCTCATTGTACATGTCCCACGTAGGAAATGAATGCATATATATATATAGTGAAACCCATCGAGCAATTTGCTGCATTTTAGGCTCAGTGTCGGTAGTCTCTGCCATAGTCGTTTGTAACGGTTTAATTTGAACTGTCAAAGGTAAGTGGAGGAGTTCAGATCGTTTTCATGTCTTTTTGTCTTAGGAAATGAATGTTAATAGATCTATGCAACATTTCCTCCATAATATTAATGATAAATTGTACAGCTTTCTTAGCTCTGTCCAATATTTTAAATCATGTATGTACAGACCTACAGTGTATCATAAAATTTTTTTACTAGTGGAAAGATTTTGACGATATAATAGGATATTCAAGCTGTAGTATTCAGTAAGTGTCGGAATTCGTTAAGATTCAATTCTTTTTGAAGGCTTTTTATATAGCTATTTGTAAATATTTACTGTAAAAAAAGAAGTTCGGTGCTTTTTCGCCATGTTCTTTTTTGTTTAAATGTTTTTGGTAGATTTATTTTAAAACCTCATTGCAGTCAGCAGTGCTGTGAAGAGTTTCCTGTTTTCTGAAAATTGGCATAACAAATCTTATGATGATGATAATGCTGAAGTTTGTTTGAAACGTTTTTTTCAAAAGTGACCTGGCTGAATTTGTGTTAAATTTTTTTTTTTATGATTAAAGAAATCTACGTCGCTCTACGAAATAGCTGATTTTGTTTTATCTCAAAGGAAACATTTATTGCTTTCACCCTTCAACGTTTAATAGTGTGTCTGATCATTAGGATCATTAATTCTTTGAGTTAGCATTACCTTGCTGTGTATTCTACAATTTTCTCTTGAAATATTGTTATCGTGTAGTAATTGACATTATTTTTTTAAAAAGGTAAAGTAATATTGGACCAAACTTGTACGTTTCTTAAATACCCCTCCAACGAATGTAGTGAGTTGTTTTAATTTAAAAAAAAAGTCGTGTGAACATATTTAAGGTAATTCAGATATTTATGGCCGCAGATATTGAGGTTTTGTACTTCACAATGTACTTATTTGTTCTTTTCATATTTTCTACATTTTTAATAGATTTGAGATCTTTCATCTAGAAACGTAGTTCGTTTCCCAAGCCATAATGCATTTATTTTCAATTCAATCGTTTCCTACCATAATATGCATTAGTATAAATATTGCATTTAGGATTTAGCCCTGCATTTAGCATGTTGCATGTCGAATTTTATTAACTATCAAATATATATACCAAGTGGTACAAAATCTCCATGTATGATGCTTAATGTACAATGTATACATAATAATGGTGGTTCATGAATACTTTCACCCTATGTGTAAGCCTACTTTGTGATTGAATTCCTAAAGCAGATAATCACGCTGTGCTATTTTCGCGACCAAAATATCTTACCAATGTACTTTGTAATAATAAAGAAGATATTTTTGGCATGGGGTATTAAATGGGCCGGGATTATCAATTGGGTAAATCTCACTCACAAATTTCAATTATGCTCTTCAGTTTTAAATATTTTTTTTGTTGCCAGCTTTCATTCAGAAAAAGTGTTTTTATAACCAAGAAAAGACTGGATTGCAAACAAATAAACCGAATCGTCTGAGTAAGGACGCTTTCTAAAATCTTTCAAAATGCAATCAAAACACTCGGCTCTATTCAGGTCTCTAAATAATGGGTTATTTACTAACGCTTATACAGTGCTCTTGTAGAGGCAATGCATACACACTGTGCAGTTTTTCTTCTAGGGATAGATACAGAGAAGTTATCAGTAACTTGTATTAAATTCATAGTTTGAATTTCTTACCATTATAATGGAGTTGCATGCATCCCCAGAATGACCGCCAAGATAGTACACAGGGTATCAATATGTAATCGGACGCTGAGAGTATAATAGTGATAGATACGTTTCAATACTATCCGGAATTGTTATGTAATAATTTTTTTCACTCCGATTTTATCGAATAAATTAAAAGTGCGTTAAAAAAATACGTTACACGTGGTCAAGAATTCTAACTTTAGCAATCTAGAATTTTCTGTAATAATGCATTAATTTGTGAATTTTCTACGCGTTTGTTTATTGTTCGTAATACTTTATATGGGTAACTTCATCGATGCACAGCTTGATAACCGATTATCGAGATAGAGTTCGTACACGTCCTCTGATTGTGCATTCCTTCAAACTAAAGGCCCACAACTACTTTAGTTCTGTGACGTTCAGTGGTAAAGCTTATTACTTATACTTTATAATTACTTTGTCTGCTTCGAAAGGAGAGGGATTGCCACAAAGTCTATTTCACTTACTGTTTCCACTTTCCAGTAATAAACGTTTAACAGATCCGTCTAAAATGTTTCGGAAAGCGGAGGAGATCACCGATCTGGGGGCGTATCACTATGGCTTCAATCAATAGCGCCCTCTGTTGACAAGCTATTCAACGCATGATAACCTGGACGAAAATGTAATAATGTTTGCCGTGCTATCTGAAGTAAAGACCATTCCGATTACATGTACACTCACAGGGGCATGAGGCCCCCATCAATGGCGCCAGCATTGTGTCAACTATATTGATTAGATAATCCCTCACGGGATAGTTGCAATGAACTACAGCTGGCACAATTCTTTCGCCATTGAAGGGGGGCTCTGTGAATGTACATGCTCGGAATCTTCTATAACAACAGTAACGGCTGAGTACAAGTAGAAACTTGAAGATATGCAATGTACATTGTAAATTTCTCTCGAACATTTGACCTATTGTGGGAACAACATTGCGATGTGTAAAATACCAGGACAATTAGGGAAATCCCCCCACATTATAATAATACCAGTCGAAAGTAATCGGTCGTAGCTGTTACCATGGTGACTATATATTGAAGTCGTGCGATGAATACATTATTGAATGGTTTCACACGTCAAGGGCAACAGGGAAAATATCAGACTAGGGTATATGCAGCCCTTTGTCACACTTGTTGAAGAGACAGACACAGTGCTACACAGTATACGAAGAACCATGCACATTGGGGTAGGCTCAAAAATTAGTGGCCTACTTTTTCGTGTTTTGTTGCAACGTTCGTAAGGCATACACAGGTTTATTTACGGTGAACACTTCTCTTGTTTGTTTTTTCGTACATAACCTCTTTTATGTTTTTCCCCATCTCAACTCATTTGTTTTGTACACGGTTTCCAACTTAATACAGGTTGCCACAGTATAGCTTAATTTCATTCTGTCCTTGATGAACGCTTCAAGTGTTGCTATCATAAGTCCAGCCATAAGTAAATCACAAATGATTCACAAGTCAAGTAACAAGTACATGTAACAGGAAATTAACAATAACAAAGGAAGAGCTACATCGCAGGTCATCTGGGAGAAAAAAAAGCTTGCTGTGAGGTGAGTAGGGACTGGATGACTTGCGATGCACTTTTGATGATTTTGTGATCCATCGCAAATACCTCAACTGCAACAAAAAAGTACACCTCAACTCGCCCAACCCACCACCCACCACCAAGCCAACTGATGATGATGATCATCATCATCATCATCATCATCATCATCATCAGCTTACATCGTCCCACTGATGGGCAAAGGCCTCGCCAATAGCACGCCATTTCTCTCTGTCACCGGTATGTCTCTTCCAGGCTGTTGTCCCTGTTAGGCTGTTTCCAACACCAACTTATCTCTCCATCTAGACCGAGGTCTCACTCTTTCCATTTTTCCATATATAGTTTTTGCCATTCTGTTGTAATAGTCAGCTCCATCTTTCATCCTCTTTACTTGCCAGGCGTCCTAACCATCTCCATTTTATTCCTGTTTGCTGTTATACCATCACATCATTTACTTTAGTCAGGTCTCTGAACCACCCATTTTGTTTTACGGTCCCTTCTTCTGTAACCAGTCATCATCCTTTCCATACTTTGGGGGAGTTTAGATCTATTACTTTGAGTCCAATTTTCGCATCCATACCAAGTTTGGCTTCCATGATATTCATTTTCTGATGATATTCATTTTCTATTTATCGTTTTAGTTTACCCGGGTAACCCATTAGAAACCAAAGCTTGGTCTCATCGCCCGTAAAATGGCTGAGGTTAAACTCTGTAAAAATAAAAAAGTCTTCAGTTGTGACGTTGACCGGTTTATACTATTGTACGTTAAAAGGAAGCCATGCCATTAGGGACACTCGAGAAGCCTTTCATTGTCTGTCTTGAGGTAATTCTTTGTTCTTGACATGTCTGCCACGGTGTTTTCATGCAGAATCCCATATCGTCATTCTGAATTAAACATGATGGCACAGGCTTGGTTATCGGGTTGATGATTTGGATGCTGGTAGGCGGTTACAAGAAAAAATAACCCATTTCAAATTAAGTTGATCGTTGCAAATTGAACGAGGACAGGAAAAACTAACAAGCTGAACTTGTTGTTTGCTAGCCAGTGTCGCTGCATCCACCCACATGGATATAAGTGCCAAATGTTCTTGTTGTGAATTTACCTTGCACCCCATTAGAGCCGTATTAGAGTTTTCAATAAATTATCATACTGCCTGCAATTAATTGGGGCGAAGGAAATGTTAAAAGGCTTCAAAACCTGAAGCGGACCAGACATTGAGGGCGCACATGGGTTCGAAAACTTGACGCTTCTTGTGATCCTCTTAAAATTTATACGCGTCTCACCAAATGGACAAGCGACAACTTTTAGTTTACATGGAGACCACGCACAGGTACATGCCATGTCAACTCCATTCATCTCCACATGGAGATCACCCTCGACAATAGTGCACTGGCTGTGCGAATTGAAGTCTCCATTCGCCATATTGCCACCCCATAACAATGGAATTGTAAACAATTGTATTATACTTTAGTTGATTTATATTTATATAAAAATGCAATTATCACCATGCTATTTGTTTTATCGAATTTCCTTTTAAAAATGAAAATTATTTGATGTAGGCTACTAGTCTTGGAGACATCTCTATTAAAAATGTTTACGATTTGAGTGGTTTATGGTTTACTTGTTTCCGTACAGCATTCCAATGATGAAATTGGGTATACCAGCGTTAGCTTTAATTGTTTGTAAAAGTGTGATCAAAACATGCATCGTCCTGCCCAAAATGGCGCCAAGGCTGGCCGACCTCACGCGTTGTGTATTCGAATCCGAGCCAGATCAGAGGGGACCTAAGCAAATCCATGTCTCGTTTGTTTGCCCTTGACAGAGAGTAATGCTAATCAGAACCGACTGAAATAAGGAGACGCAGTATAATCACTGATAGTAGATCCTATTCAATTCAGTTTGCCAAATTGACCTCCAAAGACTCCCTGAATAAGATGCAAAAATGTAATCACTATATTATCAAATTCATCCGTCCAATCTATTTCTCATTTCACTGAACGGCAATGACCCTCCTGCTTGATACGTAAGGGGTCTGAAGTCGTGCGTTTTTCATTTTCTCATTAACGACTATTAATTTCAATGAAGCACCTATACAGACAAGGCCGTTTAATAATCGTACGATCAACATTCATTACGTATGATGTTTGCTATAACAGATAATCATGAGGAGTGCACCTCCAGTTTTAACCCTTGACCATAAACATCGAGTGTCACTGTTCGTCAAGTATGGATATTACATTTTGACCAGCCGAGTTTGTCTACATTTCGTGATTGAGCTATAGTTTCTCGCCATCATGCAGCTAGCCACAAGGTAATGAAAAGCAACCTGTTTTCCTCCATTGTTTAAAATCTCGTTTTTTGTTGTGTCAAAAAGTAAACACCAAGTAAACCTACGATAATTGTGCGTGTAAATGGTGTACTCTTAATGGTGTACTAATCGTGGTTGGTCTAAAACTCTAAATGCCATCTTTGTTTTTGAAATGGTTTCATGTCCAGTTCAGAATCCTCTTTGAATAAATTTTTATGTCAAATGAGACCCTCAAATGAATAAATTATCCAGACTGTTCAGGCTTTTCCCTTAAAATGTCTGTTGGCAAAATATTCCGTACTTGTACAAGTACAATTAGAGTTTACTTTGTGTACTTTTGAACTGTTAAATAATTTAAAAATTACATTTCAAATGGTTTTTGTTCTCCGTTAAAATGGAAAATGTAGGCCTACAGTGCTTAGAACACACATACAGCTAATGAATGCAGGAGCCAGCCACTACAGTTTTCCATTTACTTAATTCGAGACTATTTATATTTCATGAGGTATTTTATGGGAGTAGTGCATTATAGCTATACTACCATAATTCATGAAGACTCTCTTCATGGTTGACTGGTCTGTTGTGTTATTATAATTAGTCACCGAATTATTGAGTCGTTTGTTTAAGTGGATGTAATATCCAGGGATCAAACAGCATACCAGGGTGGTTACGATGTTGATAATACCAGGGAAGTCTGGCATCACATTAACACTTTGAGGATTGACAACCTCCAACGCAATCAGAAAGCATAAGTAAAGATATTATTGGACCTATGGAAGAACATCCTCATCAAATGACTCGTGACAAGTGAAACCTTGAATTTCAACGGAGGATTTCGATTGACCAACTTTAACCTTGTGCTGAAATTCCGAGGGAAAACAAGACCGAGGAGGCAGAGACGAATTCCAGCACGTGTGAGACTGAGAGTGACAAAGCACGACAAGGCGGATATGGATCAGCACAATGCGCACATGAACAATAAGTCTGTCTATCCATTGTTGGAAACCCAGCTAGGCTGACTTTGAGGAATTTAGCCAGTTATATCCACACATGAAAAACCATTGACAGAGGTAAGGCGAATACAAACATGTACTGCTTGTAGAGAGCACGCTGGTGGGTTGCCATTATCGATATAACGGTATAACCACCTAGTTGGATAATGACCAGTCGGGAGAAGCCAGGATGCAGACGATGCTAGCAATTTATGAAAATCGATAACCGTGGTATTACAATATCTCTTGGAATACGACAACGGGGAACAGAAAATGGCGGCATGAAAACAATTACCATTATGCGTTTCATCACTGTATACCACCACCACCACCACTCGGTGAGCGCAGGCTTGGTACAACGTTGCTAGGATACTGTTGCCAGGCACTCAACTACCGGATGATCATATGACAGGTATTTAGTGCTCTTTTTTCCTCCTCCTCGCTTGTTTGCTCTCAACGGCTTTGATAAGTTGATTACCTAACGTGTCTAATTTACTCCGTAGTGAGACATCACGGCTATCTAAGCCCCGAGGGACTGTTATAATGGATGGGTAGAACCCGAAGTCCGATGAGTGTTTATATGCGCAGCTTTCTGGCACGTTATTAACCTGTAATGACTGTCCGTCACAAGTCCTTACCTCTCATCTCGAGATATGAAGAAGAAAAATAGGTCAACACAGAACGCAGGAGCATACATTTAGAGGCAAATCAAGTGTTCAAATGAAGGAGTCTCAAATTGCTTACCTCTATGGTTACGCATCTTGGGTATAAGACTGGCCTACGCAGCCTTTCAAATTATGTTGAGGAATACAAACAAAATATGCGATTAGTGCCATGGATTATTGTGCAACAATATCAGCTGGTAATGTACATGTACAATGCGGGCCTACGTCACAGTACGCAAAGCTGATTCATCAGGGCGGATCTAGCATGCAGGATACGGGGGGGGGGGGGTGGGTTTAAGTGAGGGGGAGTTAATGGAACGGGCAGTCCGGGGGCACGCCCGCCAGAAAATGTTTGAAATCTACGATGATTTCTCATGCATTTTAAGGCAATTCCAGAGTAAATTTAGGAACTTTAGCTTTCCTATTTTTTGTTGCCCCATTTTTAGTTTCATAACATTAGTCAGCGCTGAACGAGGGGGGGGGGTTTAGATTGCAATCCCAACCCCCTGTAGATCCTCTTGAAAGAGAGACAAAGAAAGACAAAGAAACCCTGGAGCTATAATAAAAAAATACAGTTGATAGTTCCATGGCAAAACCTGTCATTAAAATATTGCAATTACGATAGTTCCCACTTTGATTGGAGACGTGAATGACAAAAGCAAACACTAATTTCATCTCTCGTCTCCCTGAGCTCGTCAACTCAAACTAATACACCCTGACCATTACAAGCACCTCGATGTTCATCTACCAGCCAAAATAATAACAACTATAGGTTATTGAGTTTCAATATTGCGATGTCCAGAACCGACGGATAAGTATATTTTTCTGTGTTTGAGTGCTTCATCGATGGCCTTGTGTTTCCACTCGAGACGCATCAATTCAAACAGCGTATGTATGCGAACTCGTCCACTTCTGCCTAGGGATTTTATTATTCTGCATTTATTTGATGGTTACTAGGCTATTCTTTTATCGTGCTCATCAAAAAAATCTCGTAGGCTAGATATCGAATATCATTAACATTATATTGCATTACATGTAACTATTTGATATACCGTATTGCAGTTAATTTGTGTTTCATGAGGTTTTATTCCTTCAACATCATCTACCTCATGACTTGTTTTATGGCTTATTGAAGTCAGTGACATTTTCCAAAGTGTTGTTCATGAATTCAATATAACGCTTGTGGTTCGATCCTATCCTTGAATATATCTGGGCTATTATATTAATTTCGTTAATCATTTTGATACTGTGTAGGCCCTTACTGCGTCAAAAGCGTGAAAACAAGTACACGTATAGAATATGCCTTGAAAATATGAATCCAGAGAGATTGTACGTCACTGTGACATAAATGTCACCGGTTAGTGGTTTTGATATTGCGGAGCTGTGATTTAAACCTTGCATTTAATGCACGAATAACAACGAAGATCGTTGGTGAGCAGGGAAGCATTTCAGAATACAGCAACCTCATCAGATACAAGTGTTGATAGTGCGGGCAGTGCGTAAACACTTGTCGGTTCTGCCAAAGTGCTTTATCTTTCACCCGTTTTACGCCCAAGAAAAATTGTTTCTCATATTCCTATCGCATAAAGAATCTTTGAATAAAAGTCACCCCAATTTTTTGTTTATATATAGAGAACATGTACAATTCCTGTCTCGTGTTACAGATTGCAGTACTTTGGCTTCGTTCTTAGATATAACATGGTGCGAGGTTTGTGTGGTATCAAAATCAAGCACAGGAAACAATGTTAAATTCTGGTATGGGAATATTGTTAATGGCATTTATATCTAGTGACATTTATCATGTATGAAAAGGACATGGTGATTGCTGGCCTAGCTTATGCGACTGCGATATGACAAATTTGGGGGCTTGGGCGTATTTTGTTGACATGCTCAATTACTACACACCGTGACTCTTGACTATACCTTGGCTCGAGATGTGTGGGGACCTAATTTAAATGTGCGCCATATTTAACTTGGACTCTATCTACACAACTAGAAGGCCACTTCCATTTTTTCCAGATGGGTTGATTGATGATGCCTGCTTTTTCGTATGTTCCGGTTCTGAACTTTGTCGGATCTGCTTGATTCGTTTTGTTTGAATCCGAAAATTACATCTGTATATGTTCATCGCCTTTTGGCTGTCTGAGTGTCTGTGTGGCCGCCTTCGTTCAGCTTCATCAAACCGTTAGTCACTTCAATCACAATGGATTAATTTGACTTTTCCAAAACAGGTGCCTTTGATACAATTTACATAGTCCTGATCCTCCAATAAGTCTGAATCTCCTCGGCCCTATTCAGTCACCATAGCATTCTTACGTCTATGGCTAGTAAAATATATTAAAAAAAACTCTCCTTAATTTATTTTTCTCTCAACACAGATAAGACAAGTGAGATGAAAGAGATGGCGAGCTATCAAGATGAACCAAGACGTCATCTCCAAGACAGGAGAACCTCCCCGAACACTTCAACCTCAACAGCCTCCAATGGGATCCGAGTGGAGTTCACATTAACCCTGGGAACAGGCGAGTACACCTTCTGAGCAGCAGACATGTGATCATTCTCAGTCTGTTCATTACACAGTTTAATAATGGACGCCTTCATCATTGTACATCATCTTGTCTAGAATACTCATTAGTCTTATGCACGGCACATCGCTGAGTAGGATCACTTCTGTGCTGGATAAAGTTTCATTTGAATACATCGAGCAGAGATAATCATGTGACGTCATCATTTCATCCATGATCATCACCATCGGGCCTTACTAGACTTCACATTCCTAACGGAACCCATGTCACTTCCTTTGCATTTTTGATGAAGTTTAATGACATTAAACTTTGTGGTTTGACTCGGTGTTTTGACGACTACGGTAAAAGACTTCGAAATGTCACGTGATGTATAACGTCACTCCTCTGTGTGCACATAACTTCACGTCATTTTAACGTCATCACTTTGATCTGATCCGCTACAATCATTCTGGCATCTCCGTTTGATAAATTCATACTACATCAAACATTCCAGACGAAATATTTCATCAGTGGATTTTTCTGCGCTTTTCAAGAGGCACGTACCGGTACTCGAGCATCGCCTGGGTGTTGGTACCGACTCCAGTCGCCGAGATAGAAGCTCAAACAATGGGACCGATATCCCAACACTAATAAAAGGTCAACCTTCAATCGCGTAATATTCCACCTCAGTAGAATAATATAAAACGGACAAGACCCACAGAGAGGGGCTGCGTATATTGACAATCGTTCACGGACCTTATTCCAACATAACGATGATAACAAAAAGCACAAAAGACAAGGATACCGAATCGCACACCGTTGGAATGAGCTAAGTGCCAGATACAGAAACGTTCATGATGTCAGCAAGAAAAGTTGCCTGTCCGCCCTTGACATGTCTTTGCGATCATCGGTGATGGTTGGACTTTTATTTTGATGCCTTGATGTCATTTCAATGTCTGCATCATCAGTAGTACCAGTGTGCCTTACTGTTTCCTGATTTCTGATCGATATTAGACACTAGTGAACTTGGCAGCGGTGGCATTGAACGTGGGTGTATTGTTCTGCACCTACTACGCATGAAATTGTGCTATTGAGTGTCAAAGGTATCCAACTAAGCGTCAATCTGAGACCACTTGTGGATAAATGTAACTGTGTCGGACCGTTCTGGTTGTTTTGGTGAAAGGCAAAATAACAGAGACTCCAGAATGTCGCCACCAGGTAGCATTTTCTTAGAGTTGGGCATTGAGAATCAATCGGATTGCGCCATTCGGTCCATAGACGCCTCTAAACCATGCAGCATGAAAGTACAGCTTCAACCAATGAATGAATACTGGGAGCAGACGACAGGTTCAGGAAATGTCTTCGAGAGGAGACCTGGATTTGGAGGGACTACCGATAATGAACGGACCCCGAGAACAGGTGTTTGTAGCACCTGCAACGCTCCGTGTGCAAGCTGCAAGGCACGGTACAATATGCAGAGACACTCGCTAAGAGAACATTCGGTGCCTACAAAGCGATATCTGTCCTGTGCCTACGTTGATCTTCCGTCGCTCAAAACCTACAGAATTGGCATTGAGTTTCCAACAACTAATTCTGCAGAAAATGACGGATCAATCCCAAATGAATCAATGTCCATGACTGAAGATGACAAAAATACATCAGACGCAGCAACGCAGACAGGTAAGTTTCACATTGAACTTGGTGCAATTCATTTATATTCATTCCAAACGAAGCTTTCTTTCACTTTTGATTATTCAGAAAAAAAACTTTAGTCATATCTGAGTTCATCTAAACCATTTTATTAAAACATATTAACAGTTTGCATTACCCTAGTAATTAAAATCAAGCCTTGAATTGATCAATTATTTTGGTATTAACAAGACTACCAATCTTCATGTTCAGAACTCATTGCAAGAAATGTGTCCCTCTATATCTGTCCCTTTATTTAACGAGCAAGGCCTGCACATCAAAATTGCTACATATTTCATTGAACCTGAGTGCTCTTGTGAAAGCAAACTTCCTTTCACCGAGTGTAAATTTGAGCAACGCTGGATGAATAGGGTTTCATTCTCTGTGATTGTTCGCTTGTAACATGAGGGTTGGACACGATGGTATTGAAACCTTATCAGACTGAGTATCACCTATAGAGCGGTACTGGGTTTGATTGGTAGAGTGAAGTGAAACAACGAACGAGCGTGTTGTGCACGTAACAAGTTTGTCTTGGCAAAAAAAAATGCGTTACCAGCGAGACTGTAAACATCAGCTTTTTGCTTAGTGGATAACTTTGATGAGCAGTATTTTGATCACCAATCCTATGAAATAAATCCATTCGTTCGGGCGCGTGATACCTCCCTACCATGCACAAACCTTCACTACGCGGTAGCTTTTTGTGTCGGGCACCCTGACGATCGAGTAATGGTGAAAGTGTGTATTTATAGTCGGTACAGTGATTATGGCGCATGTGTGATCACAAAGTGCGCAATTATTTAGAGCCTGAAAGTTGACCCCTGGTGGAGCGCTTCCAGACCCTTCGAATAGGAAAATCAGCATGTAAAAGTCGGAGTTTTTAAAATTAGAGAAAAGGCAACCCCGTGTAAAATGCCCATAGAAGAGTGGCGGAGGGGTCCGGAAGCTCAAATACAAAATGGCGTACGTTCAGGCTCAACCTCGTTCCCAAGGTGTCGAGCAGTACGCTCTCTCCACTACCCATTTTCTCACCCTGGTATTGGATCATTCTCATATCCAAATCTTTTAGATTCATATGCAAATGAGGAATAGTCTGGTGCCTGCCTGTGTGTTACATCAGCGTTTGTTTTTGTATATGGTGTCTGGGGTAAAAACACAATAAATTCGTCACGGCGTGACGGTTAGGAAAACACGATTTTTTTTCACAGTTCAAATGTTACAATCTTATCCAGTCAATATGCAGTATCACACTTCATATTAATATAATATGAGCAAATTGGAAAGGAGAGAGTCATTTTTGAGAAGGAGTTTATGTCCGACGTAATAATTACAGTTAACATGAAAACACGTAATACACATTGGAAATAACAACACCAAGTACACGATGTAATTCCATTTCTTGCTATATGTGCAATCGAATCGGGATACACGAAGCAAGTTCCCATCCCAGGGCTTAATATCGGAAACGAGGTTGAAAATAAAGTAAGCCCTGGGGACGTTTTTTTCAGGCTCTATTGCTCAAGTGAGATGTCCATTTTATTTTGGGATGTTGGAAGAGATTGCATGTATTAATGTTGTATAATTCCCTTTTTCAGATGGCTTGCCAGATAGAATATCCAATATAAGAGTCGACCACGACGCCACTACTCCGGTGGAATTTACAATACAGATTAATAAAGAACGTGACCCCCGGAAAAGAAGTACTTCCGGGTCATCTGCAAGCGATATCGCAGCCGATGAGGCAGCGCGAGATGAGGGTGTCTCCGATGGAGGATTCAATGTGGAAGAATCGTCGGGTCATAGTGGAAGCTACAGTTTGAGTGATTGTCAGGATGGAGAAAGAACTCGGTCCTCCACCATCACCGACCTCGACCAAGACAACCCTGGGTTAGCCATGGATGAGGAGCAAACTCAAGACGTTTTCGAAGATGAGGATTTACTTCTGAGCTGTGTGCCAGCACCTGACATGATTCAACACGTGGAATCAAATCTGTTTGATATGACAGAGGGGGAGGAGGATCATCTCATGAGAATGAACGCCGTCTTTGGTGCACCGCCTGTGATGATGTCACATCCTTTCTCAGACTCTATTATGCCAGACTCATTTCAAAACGAACATTCGAGCGTAGAGCACAAAACACCGGGAGAGCAGATTAACGAAGAACCACAGACTGAAGTTTTTGGACTCAGAGATAGCTTAGATATTACACCGGATGAATTCGAGCAATTTATGGCCATGAACGCTGCTTTTGGTGGACCAGCGGTCATCCCACCTCCAAAGTGTCTTTCAAATGACAATCCAGCTGCACCACCACAACCATCCATACAACAGACTGGCAACAAGGTAGAACGCTCTGAGTCCTTTCAAACAACCATCAACCTAACCGACAGCTTGGATCTATCTCAGGAGGAGTATGAGCAATTTATAGCCATGAATGCAGCTTTTGGTGGCCCAGCTGTGATCCCACCTCCACGGATGGCATCAAGGGAAGAAGAGTCGCCACCTGAAGAAGTCAAGTCACCAGTCTCTCGACCCTTGACCCTTGACCTCAAGCTGGCAACTAAACCTGATTACGACAGGACGCCCTCACCTCGCTCCCCTGGTCTCTCAAGACAGTCAGCAGTCAGCTATTTGCGTCATACTGACACATTTTCATCCATGGACGATGACTCGAGACAAAACAGTTTGGACATTATTTCCAGGGTTGACTTGGAAGAAACTGCCTTTTGTAACGAACCAAATTCAGACGAGGAAGAAGACTCTGACGAGGATGATGCTTCTCTTGTAGCGTCTTCACAAGAAGATGAAGGAAGTTTGACTCCAATCCTCGGGAATCCGGCGACCTTTGACCCGAGGGTGGTCAAAAACCCGGATTCACAGTCGACCACGCCGACGAATGAAGGCAAAAGAATTCCAAAAGGTAAGAAACTACATCAAATGTCCTTTTGATGTAATTGTTATGTTTATTGTGCTGCCGTGTAAATAATTGTCTACATTGCTTGACCAATTTAATGTTTTTTAATTACATTTTCATCGCTTGTAAAAGTTAGGCAGATTGATGAAATAAATGTGTTTGCTTTATAATGCCCCTTGGCATTATCTACAACTTGACAAATGAGGACATTATCTGCAATTTGACAAATGAGGGCGCTTAATCCGATTATTTGAGCGGCTTTGATACTGACAGAAGCAAGCAGAACAGCTCAAATAAGAAACAAAAAAAAATGGAATGACGTTATGCAGAGGATGGCATCACTCAACCTGGTTGGAGCGGACGCATAAAGTAAAGTAGTAAAATATTAAAGAGCCAACATTTCAAGCACGAGCAGAGAATTTGGCACGAACAGACGGACGATGGAGTGGAACTGCCTGATAAAGAAACTTGGAAAATTATCTATACATGCGACTGAAAAAATGTACTGGCATATGTCATGTATTGGCATTTCCCAAACTACCGTAATCCTTCAGCAGCTAAGTTTCCCTCTCCTCCTGCAGTTGCAATCTGATTTGAGTGTGTGATATTGAAACTAAAGGGTAGACTAGGTATTTTCCCCCAAACTGATCAGGTTTAGATGTAAGGTTCCTGTTCCTAGAGACACTTCCTCTCTGTCATCAGCTGAATTCTCATTAACGAGGCTTCACCTTGCTCGCTTTCGCGAAGGAGGTTTCGCTGTCTGTTGCTGCCTGTCGCCAGCTTCGCGCACGACCTGCTTTTGAACAACTAGTGCACGCAAAAATTCACATACTTTGAGCTTTAGTATTATATCAATGATGTGATGCTATACTCTCTCAAATCTGGGTTTTTTTTCTGTTGAGAAAAAAATGACTACCTTGAGCATTTCCCCCAACTTTTTCCTTACCTTAGCCATTAGTCTTTTAGCTTACGCAGCGCGTTAAGACTTGTAAAGTTACCACGACTCGGTGGTATTAAACTGATAACTGATGTACATTTAAACCGCCCTTCCCAATCTTGCCCCCCTCCGTCCCACCTGTAGAGAGATCATGTGATAGCTACGTGATACTTGTCCATTCGACTTGAATATAGAGGATGCTCCATCTTGTTAAAGACGAGCATGGATGCATGCCTCCAGCCTTGCTCCTTGTTTACAGATACGGACAGACCAAACTTTTAAAGGGTTTCCGGTGATGAGCGTCTTGTGTCCCCATCATTACCCTCGGATAAACTATGAGAGCGTCTGGGGTCTTCTTTTGAGTTGTTTGAGCTAAACTCTGTAGACTTTCACGTTGTCATAATCCTTATTGACAGCCCCTTTTGTTAATCCTTTAAGCCCGGGCATTGGGATTTCCTAACGGGAACCAAAATGGCTGGCTAATGAGCGCTAAAAATAAACCTGGCTGCTATTCTTGGAAAATAAAAGGTTATTTTTGGTAACGGGAGTTATTTTTAGGCTAGAATTATAATTGTTTCTTGTCTGGCTGATTATTAACGGATCATGTGGCAGCATGACATGGAGTAAACTTTATTTGGTGTCCTTGGTAAAATTATGAGACACTCGGATTTCGCAACATTTTCTATATGACTAGACTGAGTACTAGTTAGGGTTCCATTGTTCCGTGTGCACGATGTAATACCAGGATTATTTTTTATTCTGGATATAAGATCTGGCTCCCCTTAAATCGAAGACACCGGTACCGTGGTAAACTACCCATTAACATGAGAACGGTGATACCCCCTTTCTTTATAGTCTTATTTACCTTATAGGTTATTAGCCTCATTTATTGCAGGATACCTAATAACGTATTATTATGCGGCCGTTTTAAATCATTTTGTCTCATAGAACAAACGTTTCCAGGTTGTCACGTCATCACACATCTCTAGCTTCCATCGGGTGCGGCTAACTGATAATTTTTTCTTTATTGACTAATACCATGGCAACCACTGTGACGTCCAAACAACAATAAGTGATGTGAGGGTAATTGTAAACGATGTTTTGGTTAGTGATGCTAGGTTGCATATGGGAGTAGCTGATATCAGTGTATAATGTGATCCACACGTACACAAGACCTTAATAGCTGACATCGATAGGTATGTAGGCCTTACTTAGCGTATGATCATGAGACACGATCGTTCGTGTTTTCTGTTACATTATTGCGAGCGGCCATTTCACTCCCCTGTGGATGCATACAATCGCTATATTTAAAGGACGCTTGGACTAGATCTGACGACGCATTTAGTCGATACTTTGTTAAACTCCTCCGGCGGTAAGATATTCGATTTATCGTATTTTCAGCACTTAACTTGGAAAAACAACTTGGTGTATTTTAATTTCGTCGGACTTTTTTTGTATGTGCACAGAATTATGTGTTTCCTGTTGTTGTTGTTGTTGTTGTTGTTGTTGTTGTTGTTGTTGTTGATGTTGTTGTTGTTGTTTGTCTTTGTTGACAAAATAGCATTATAATTAGCTCTGTATTCGCTCTCAAAACACCAGCTTGACATTCAATTAGTAAATGTCAAAATATTTTTCACTGATTCTGATATTGAAGGTCTTACAGTGCCCTTAAGTCTTGCAGACTGTATTAATTGCATTGTTAATTTTTCCTTTCAGGAAAGGATGTCGAAGTTAGATGTCCAGGTCAAGGAGGTGACCACAGTGCCCCGTGTCCCTAGAAATGTAAACACCCCCCCCCCCCGGTCTGTGTCTGTGGTTTTTGGTTTGCCAACCAATAATGCCGTTTAGCACTCGAGACCTATTCAAAGTCTGTTGTCACTATAGACCGATACAGGGGCCTCTCTAGTGGGACTTAATTCTTTGGCCGAGTCTGACAGTCACAGTCTCTCTGTTGACAATGTTATAAGCCTCTCCGCGGTCCGTTCGTTCACCTCTTTGTCACAACCTAATAGCCTTTGCATCAAGTAACCAGCACGGCCTCAGAAGTTCAGTGCTCCAGTCTTACCAACTTTTCATCTCCTGCAGTTGCTACACTCAGTCCCCACTTCAGAAATTGTTTAAGAATAAATCAACTTAGATTTCCCGCCAACTTCAATTTCTCGTTACACCAGGTCCGGAGTTTCTCGAGGAGCTGTTCCTGAGCGCGCCGAGCGGGGAGGGCTACGGGGAGAATGCAGTGTTGATGCGGTGTAAGATCCACGCCTGGCCACCGGCCCGTGTCAGCTGGTTCTACAAAGACGAATCGCTCGGAGACGGCGATCAAGCTGTAGACCCTGACCGTGTGGAGCTGACTTCTGATGAAACCCAGGGAGTGTATACGCTCTTATTGAAGGAGGTTGAAGGCTTCGATACGGGGGTGTACACCTGTAGGGCTAGCAACGAAATTGGTGAAGCAACAAGTGCTGCCGAGTTGATCGTTCAAGGTAAGAGAAAATAACCTTAGAATCTTCGAAATAATCAAGAAATGATCTTGATATAAATCTTTAATTCTGTGAAGATCATAACTTTCATGCATGATTAATTTTCAGATAACGAGACACTATAAACACAGCGTCTTTGAGTAGATTTAAGTTCAGCAAATTCCTACTGAATAGATATAGTTGCTATTTGCAAATTATATTTCACAACATTGTCTTGAACAGCTTATGCAATGTTTTTTTTTGCAATTTGTTTTCCACTACCTGAACGAAAGGAAGCCCTTCACAAACTTAAACGCGCGTACCGACTTTCGTCATACGATAGCAGGTTTCACTCTTGCAATTCGCGCTGTCCAGCTTTTACGTGTATTCAGTGGTATTTTGTACGTGTTTGTCATGTTTCAAGAAAACATGACTCAGGAGAGATTGGATACTTTTCATTAACCCTTTTTACAAATTTATTTTTTTAAATTCAAACATCATGGACCTTATTTAAGTCACAGACGGTGTTTTATCGAAGGTTTAAGTATTGCGGTGTTCACAGTTCAAACGTATTGGTTGTGCAATTTACCCGTGGCGTAAACTAAAATCAACAAATCTCAAAACACCTCTGTATAAACAATTAACTACAACAAGTAAAACGAGTTTCGAAATCCATGACCTTGCATAGGTCAGCCCAGGTTCACATGCAGAACCATGGAGCTATTGATAGAACACACTACATACAGAGCACCCACAAAGCCAACTTCGTTTTTTACTTCGGTTCACCAAACTGCAACAATGAAGACTGGATCCCTCAGGCAATGCCTACATTGTATACGGAAACCCGCGAAGTAAACAAGGAACTATAGTCCAATTTCAACGTGATCGCTTTTCATTGTTCATGGTCAAAGCTAATGTACATGTAATAACACATACCGGTAGCGCACGACACATTTCCCTTTATAACAATGCTAACTGACTGATACTTATTACAGACTTGTCTCTAAAACCTCATTTGTTTTTAGAGTATTTATGATTCGCTTGAAAAGTTGTCCTATGCGAGAATTTTGGATTTCGAAATGTTCCGATAATAGGCCTTTTTATGAGTAGTGTTGTTTTAAAATGTTTGAGAGATCTTCGTCAGTTTCGTCAGTTTCCAACATGATTGTACCGCCTTGTCAAACACACGTTTTGATTATTTTGATACTTTGTTTAAAATAAAAATTGTGTTGATATAGACCCGCCACTCCTAAGTAACCATGTAATACCTTGGAAACTACTGCATTGACTACACAAAACCCAACATTTGATATAGGCCTACAGGGTGGTGAAAAAAGAAGGAAACCCATTTTTGACAGCAATTTTCACCGACTTGATAAGTATATTTCAAGCATTCAATTGAAAGGTATTATACTATTGATCTTTAAACAAAAATGACGAAAAAATGATAGCAAATGCATATTTTGTCTCTGAGTAGTTTAAAAATGTCATGTGCACAACCAGTTTGTCCACGGCCGGCTTTATTCCATCCGCTTGACTGAGCTCGGAGCTAGCTTGATTTGAAGGCACCAGACTTACACGTGGACAACAGTGATTTTGATGAATTGTATTCAAATTAGCATAATAACAGTATTCTTGCGGGGTTTTTTAATTTTCTTTTCACCATGTAATGGTTGAAGAGCTATACTACGTTGTATAAAAATAATTCAAATAATTCAAGTTGGTTAAAATTGCTGTCAAAAGTGGGTTTCCTTCTTTTTGCACCACCCTGTACAGTATAACATGAAAAAATAAAACGAGCATTATTCGAGAGACAATTACCCTCTTTGCAATTTGAGAATTTTCCCATCCCATCTAAATCTGCAAATCTTTAATATACTCTACCATATTCAGTCCTTTAAATATGGCATAATTGTGTTCTCTGATGGACTATAATCTTCAGAACTAAGAAAACAAACAAACAGACCCTGGTCAAAAGTCAGGCAAGCGCTTGGAATTGATGGGGCGTGAGTGATTATTATGGGGATAACACAAAGAGGATCAAGTCAGTCAGCCATGCGTGCAAGCAAGGGATTAATTGACAATAGATGAAATTATCATTGCATTCTTGCACTAAGCCTGCCGGCTGTAACTGCTCATTTTTGGTTCAAATGCCACGTGATCATTGACCTCTAGAACAAACCAAAAAATCCCGTCTTATTTGACTAAATGTTGGTAACTGTCGAGTCGCTGTTGATGATACTCTTGTCATTACGTGACAGTCATGGAGAGAAACGCCAGTGGGTTTTTTTGTGTGTGTTTTTTTTTTTAAGACTTTAGTACTTTACAATTTTTCCTTCCAGTTGTGGCAATACCGTAGTCACGCTTTAATCTTCCAATGACAGTTGTCCAGGGTGGAAAACGAACATGTAAACTAGTCAAAACCCGATTTACTAACTTTGGATTTTTTTTTTTGAGCGTAAATTTATCACCGACATTCTCAGTCCAATCGTTTTCTGTTCATATTCAAGCATGAAGGAAAACCATGATTTATGTGTTTTTTGGTTTCATAGAATCGGCTTCAGATTCTGAATACGATACTGCTCGTTCATACTTCACTTCCGGGTAAGTGTTTCTGTACGTATATTTGTATTCAATTCTATATTAATCATAGAGTTTTGATTATTATCTATTTTGAGATTTTATTTAATATTCCACAACATCTTGATATGATATTTGCTTCAAGAAATATCAGTCGAACCGACCGTTGAATGTGCCATATTTACTGTGAAAAAAAAATGTAAACTCGTTATTTTATTTTAAATGAAAGACTGCTTTTGTAAAATTTGTTTTAGGAAAATGTTTCCCAGAGCTGAACGACTGATGATTTGAAAATTTATTTGAATTTAGATGAATGGTGGAATGAAGCAAACGTTTTCGAGTTCTATTCTTGTAGTGTGCCCCACACATATCCGTAATAACTAAACACCGTGAATATTGTGACTGAAACTGGAAACGGTCTGTGTTGGTTGCAGTGCGCCCTCTACTTTCAACGTAAATTTAGGCGTTCCATTTTAGGGGCATTGGCAATCATGACATTGCATGGCATCTTGTTTGGTCAGCAATATCACAGGTGTTTAAAAAGTAAAAAATAAAGCCGGAAGATACCAAAAATATTGGGACAGGCATTATCATATAGTCGACTTTTCCCAGGCTGAGATGACCCTGTTCACACAAAAGCAGTGAAGTATTGACATAATTTTCGGCTGTAACTTAGCAAAGTTTAAGCGGTAACCTAACTTTTGCATAATTCTGAACAATCACCCCTAATACACACAGATAAAAGTACACAGATGCTTGCACCAAGGGTCGATTTTCTTTTCTTTTCTGTGTGACCTCCAAAGCATTTCAATGCAGTTTGAAATTCATCAATATAATCTTTTAATGTTGCTCTCCGGATCCCATTGCTCTTCAACAAATTTGGGTTTTTTTTTCTCTGAACGAATTTTCAATTTGTATGTTTAATTTAAACAAAAAAGCACACGAAATCTTTTTTGAAATCTTCGGAAAGGTGTATTTTTTTTTTGATTTTGGGTAGCTTTTGACCCTCAAACACACAAACAGATTCGCTTTTAAATAATTTGTTGACAAAAAAAGGTGAAGCGTGGACGAAATTTTTTTTAGTTTGACTACTATTCAAAAGTGAATAACATGTTTGTGTCGCTAGAAAACAAAAAAGAAATTTAAAAATCTCCAAATAAGCATGAGAGGAATTTAAGCTTTCGATTACCAAGAGATTGACATTTATATGGGGATGCATGACGTTGCAATTGTTTCGTTGCATTCGTGTCCATTTTAATTGCTGGAAAAAGAGAGGTTTCTTTTTGGCCAGTTGTCTTTTAACACTGATGAGGCGTATTAAACTGACATGAGATCGCAATGCGATGGTTTGATTTGAAGAATACTTTTTTCGTTTTTATACAAAGGAGTAAGGCTCTCGTCAAAAAAGGAAAACAAACCACGCAGGATATTAACATTAAAAAGAAAGGTTAAATACTTACCGTATAAACACAGTGCACTGTTAAATTGTAAATCTTTCTTCTGAATGTTGATTGTGCAGAAGCTAGTTAGAAACTGGACTTTTTCCAAAAGGGAAAAAAAGAATGAAATTGTCTTTGTCTTGAAGTCAAAGTTTAACCCTACAAAAAAATGAACGTATGAGTCCCTATATACTTTGTCTTGTGATTTCCATTGTAAGTTATTAGAGATTGACTTTCTTGCCGCTTAGGGATGAGATAGTGGATCATCATCCAAGCGAGACGTGGTCGCCGAGAGGCGGTTGTGATGAAGGCAAGGCGGTCCCTAAGCGTACGGTACGGATTACGACGCACGGAGCCACGGCGCCTCGCTTCGTCTTCAAGCCGCAGAGTAGAGTGGTCGAGATTGGGCAAACAGCAAGGCTAATTTGTGGCGTCAGAGGTACACATTTTTGCTGGAAAATAGCAAATAAATGTCGTAAAAAACCCTCAAGTAACTAATCGCCCCCGATGTGAAACGAAATTTTCTTTGTGAAACGATACTTTCTTCTATTAAAACCCTAACAGTCCTGAATCCTCCAATTTCAATATGATTTTGCACACCTCCTAGGGAGTTAGGGTTAAATAAATTAAAAGAAGCGGCAACGTGAGATGTAATTTTGAGAAAATCGACTGTTTTGTTTTCAAAATAACTCATGAAGTACACTGTATTGGGCTGTCAATGTCAATGTTTGTTTCTAAATTTAAACGGTATGTGCACCTATTATGTCGGAGAATCCCTGATTTTTTATTTTTTTTATTTTATTTTTATTTTGATTGACTTTCGTAAGAAGGAGGGGAAGGGGATTTGTGTGGTTCCATGCAAGCCCCGAAAACAGCAAAAATGCATGGGTATGCCAGCCTGTCCCTTTCTATGTATATTTGCATCTTACTCGTAATCCCCTTAATCCGTTAATTGCTAATACCAAAAACAAACACATTATCCCAGGATCCCCCAAGCCTCTGGTGAGCTGGTTCAGCGAGGGGATGGAGCTCAAGAACGAGGGACGGTACCGTGTGTTTGAGAGTGATGAACCGGGCAACTTCGTGCTTGAGATACGGGAGGTTCGACCCACGGATGCTGGGACTTACACCTGTACGGCTGGCAATATCGTCGGGCAGGTTTATTGCTCGACAGAACTCTCAGTCGAAGGTTTGTGTTTTCAGTTTACTTGTTTTGTCTTCGCCTTCCTTTTTTCTTCTTCACGGAGCATTATTGTCATATTGAATAGCCCCTTTGTAATTACAACACATTTGGGTGCTCGAAAGTTTTAATGATCATTATTATTACTATTTTGATATTTTTTTAACAGAATTTGGCGAGCCAGAAGTTGATGTTAAGATTGTAGAAGACGAAATGTCAAGGTAGGTTGTCCTCCCCGCATTTTGCCATAAAATTAGTGGACGATTGAGGGCGTGTTCTGCACGTGTACGTGTGATGATTTCTGACATGATATGCGTGCGTGAGAAAACCGAGAACGAGCGGTTCGGTATCCGCGACTTCAATATTATTGAAAGAAGGTACAAAATGGGGACGTTTCACCGAATTAAACAATTTGTTGCTTGTATGCATTAACTGTCATAAGCAAAGACCTAAAACTTTTCAGCACATGCTACTGTGTGTGACTGGTGGTGAGAAGATATTGCGGTTGAACTTATTCCTTCATGGCTTGAATTTGAAAAGGGCAGGGGTGGCCGGTTTGGGGTTGTTTTGGAAGTGTAATTAAATACTTATTCTGTGTAATGTATGTAATGGTAGCGAAAGTAGTGGATCAGTGCCTGCCCGGCAAAATATCGTTTACTAAAAAAAAAGCCTGACCAAGCTTAATTATCCCGAATGCCTCTGGCCGTACACTATCATAAGCTCTTCCTCTGTAGTAGTGTACGGCAGAGGCATTCGGGCTAGTCCACTGCCTGATAAAAATTAGCCCATGTACATTGATCACTGAATCTTTAGTGTATGTCCATAAAAAGTATACTTTCTGTTTTGAGTATTGCATTTCCGCTCCTTAGTCTTATCTTTTAGTTTTATTTGTTTACCGGTTTCAGCAGCCCTACAACTGTAAACAAACTTCTCTTATTAGACATAAATTGCAATACATGAAGACCTACATGTATATAAAATTTGTTCATTCGCTTGAAAAGATGGTGATGATTGTTGGGTAAGCTCTGGCATCATAGTTGGGAACAATTCTTGGGTTTTTATCTCTATCGTTTTTTTTTTTTTCCTCAGCCTGTTTGTCAGTGTTTCTATACATATTATTATTAAGGAATCTTTCTGTTCAGAACAATAGACACAAATACACTTTTGTTGTTGTTTGCTTTAGTTTGTTAAATCCAGTAGGTCAGTCTACATCATTATGTTCCAAGTTTCAAACTCGTCTTGTGGCCTTCCTCAACAAATGCCAAGCCTGCTCATGGCTTGTCCTTGAGACATGTAATCAGATTTTCTAAGAAGCTGTGTGGTATTCAAGTCTTTCTTTGTGGCAGGTACATGTCATAATGATGGAATTAACCAAAGCTAAAGTTAATGCTTGACTTGAAAGATTCAGACAAGTATTATGCTGCATGAAGAGAAGATAATTACGTCACCTTGATCAATAGGAAGGCGATTATGTGCAATTTACATTGCGCATAGCTGATCACATGGACTGAAGTATCAAGTATCCTTTATGATTTACATTAACAACACATGTAACAGGGTCACATGAGTTCAGCTCCATGCGGAATCTGGTGTGTTAGATCATAGAGCAAGGGACAGATCAATATTCTTTATTCAAAACCCGGCTCAATGACATTTCACCCAATCCGATTGTGTGTTTAATAATATTCCTTTCAGGTTTGCGCCAACTGGTAGTGGTAGGCGATCCGAATCAGTGCCGAACATGAGACATTGTGTAAAATCAGGTCACATGGGTTCGGCACCCTGGGAAGTTGTTTTTCATGGAACGGCCATCGATTATTTTCACGGCTTGCACAAAGGGTTATTCCCTGTCACATGGCTAGTCAGGCTGTGTAGCAAGGATAAACTAGAAATCAATGGAATACCGATACAAACGAACGGTATTGTGCATTCGGCTGTCGGTGGAAAATGCACAATGTCGCTTGTTGGTTCACATTGGTTAAGGGTGGGTTGTTGTTGGGTTTAGTCAGAAAGGTTTCCCCGGAGGGATTCCTTGTTGGACACGGAGGCAAAGAAATGTTTGAGGTCATTTTTTTGTTGGATTCGATGGGTAAAGTTTGCCGGTATCTGGAGATTGGAAGTACCCTAAAACTGTCAGTCAAAATGTATCGGGGTTTGTGAGCATGGCAAGTTTGTTTTGGATGAATCAGTAGTCGATTTTTGTTGTTTTGGATGGCAGAAGTAAAGAAGAGGTTTCGAGTTTGGTGAGTGGTATCGTTCTTGGACTTGTTTTGCTACATTTTTTTCAAACCTTCAGGTAGTTTTGAGTTCGGACTTGTGGCTTGCATTTGAAGGAACATAAACTTGTTTGTTTTGTCAGTTGACAATAATTTGAAAATTACACTGTAAAATCGTCTTTATTTGTATTTTTTCTCCCATAAAGCTTGCCAGTCCAGTATCTCCAGTATGGACCTGACGTCAGAAATGAGGAGGCGGTTGAGGCTCCACCCCCAAAGGAGGAGGCACGGCCTGTTATCCCACAGAAACTATTCGCGATGGAGGGCGAGACCACCAAACTTCATTGTTCCGTGGTTGGTGAGTGACATTTAGTTAATAAAAATTAGAATTCTGAAGTTTCATTTCCAACACTTACAAATTCAGACTGTTCAATTGAATATCTATTGCTCTCTTATGACGAATATTACATATCATTTTCAAGCATTATATGCAAACATACATTCTGTACAAAGTTGTCTTTTCAGTCATTATCAATTAAGTGACTGTTTTTAACAGTTAAGTGCTCCCAGCCTACATAAAGCAGGATTGACTGGCTGTGACTGTTTATGTAACTTGATACATCCATGCTTTGACCGTAGGTGATTGATAAGCCAGCTGTGCCTACCACTTGCCTTTTTTTGTCTGTTGACTGAATTTGACCAGTCACAGTGCTTGCTTGAAATATGATCTGACTGTTGGTGACTAGCTACAGGTGAAAAAGGCATGGCAGGGAAAGGATTGATTTTTTTTGGCCGTCTGTGACTGTTCAAACAGCAAGAGGGTTAAAGTTTTGTGAAATATATTTAAAACTTGATAAATTGTAGGACCTATTTTCCATTTGCCAGGGGTAGATTTTTTTCCCTTTGGCTTACATCAAGATAAGTAAACAAAAAAGCCATATGAAACAACCCTAAAGAAAAAATGGGAAAATACAATCACAACAAAAACATTTCAGTCATGAGTGATGGGGTTGGCTATCTTTTTGTTTACTTTTAAGGTTGGTTCTGTATCACCGAAGGATTTACCTGAAATAAAAACTCATGATTTAAGTAAACATTTTGTACATGTAAACATGATCATCATCCGGATAGATAAGGCGAGATTATTCTTTAAATAACACTAAGCAACTGGAATTGATGTAAAACATTTGGAAGATGTTGGATTGAGATTTCCAAGAATACTATGGTTTGCTTATTCATTGTATTCAGACAGAAATATTTGGGTCATGCAGTGAATTTAATTTGTTGTGTAGTTAATAAAAACCACAAACAAAAACACAGTATCGTGAATATCTAAGCTTTGTTCTTTTCTTTGGAATTGAGATTGATTGGAATTGTTTTCTTTTTTTCTGTCGGACAAATGATTTCAATACCAGCATTTGATTTTGATTGATAACAAAATCAAAGTTTTGTATTTTACTATCCCACAAACTGGAGTTTTATCTCTTTTCTTGATAACAAATTGGAAATGATAAGTAACTTGGTTCCTTTTTTAATATTTAAACAGGGAAAACAATTGTTTAGCCCTCCTATGCAAACATGCATCATGCGTAAAGTTGTCCTTTCATTCAAAATCAGTCATGTGACTGTTAAGAGTTCCCAGCCTACATAAAGCAGGATTGACTGGCTGTGACTTTTATGTCTCTTTTATGTATCTTTTATGTCTCTTGATACAGCTACATATGTAACTTGATAAAGCTGACTGTAGGTGATTGATAAGACAGCTTTGCCTACAAGTTGCCTGCTTTTGTCTGTTGACTGAATTTGACTAGTCAAAGTGCTTGCTTGAAATATGATCTGACCGTTGGTGACTAGCCTGTGTAAAAGACACGGCAGGGGAAGATGATTGATTTTTTTGAATGTCTATGACTGTTCAGATAGCAGGAGGATTAATGTGAATACTTGCATGTTCTGAACAGTTTCCGCCTTGATTACATGTATTCAAAATTTTTGACTGCTCTCTGGTCTTTGTCCATGGAAAATATAGTGTGTGGTGCTTTTCACCAAAGGTAGATGTCTCTAAGCACCTCACAGTTATTACCCCTGTTCATCAGGCCACGAAACCACGTTTCTACAGCTGAGATCAGCGCAATCTGGTCTCTACCCTCAGTCCCTCAAACTGAGGAACCCATACTCCTGGGTGGAGAGAGGCAATTGTAGTAAAGTGTCTTGCCCAAGGACACAAACACCATGTTCTCCATCAGGGTTCGTACCACTGTACCATGGCACATGGGTCGAACACCGTAATTTTAGTATTGGATCACGGTGCTCCAAGAGTCCAAAGTCATACATGTTAAACCAGATTCTCAAGTTCATAAAATATTAAATTTACCATATCAATGCCTCCCCCACAAAGAAAAAAATAAGAAAAAGCCCCCCCCCCCCCTCAAAGGCATAGAAACATTAGAATGGAAATTAATGATTGCCGTGCTGGTTCCTACTGTGAGTTCAAAGACCAAACACTTGGCATAACGGAGGCTGTTAATAATTAATACCCCTATCATTCCTAAAATTTACCTTGCAATGATCCTAACAATACAGTGTCAACAGAAGGAGCTCTGGTTCCCCTAAGGTCTGGTATGTGTTTGTGTATGATATCAGAAACCGGGTTCCGCACAAGTGGCTATTTTCGGGTTCGGGATTGTACAGAAAAAAACTACAGGGTGGGCCCCATATTAGTTTCATATTCATTTGGAGTGCATAGAGCACAGTGCAGTGTGACTTTTGATAGCATATACCCGCAGATTTTTCAAGCCCTGTTTTGTATCATCAAAAATGTAAGTTAATAACCGTTTTGTTTAGCTTTGTTTGAAATCTTTTATTCTCAAATAAAATTGGAGACTCTTCGAGGTGAAAAGGATTAACTTCAATTATTGAGGAATGTTGGCCTTGTAAGAGTGAAGATTAAACTAAAGTGGAGATTGTATTCATAGAAAATGGCATTGCTTTCTTTGAAAATTTGATTGTGTTTTTTTTGTTATTTATTATTCTTGTTTTTTATTTTTTATTTGCAGGTCATGAACGGTCAACTGTGACTTGGTATAAAGACAAGGAAGCCTTAGCATCTAATGACCACGGAGTCCTCAGCAGTGACGGAGATAATTGTCTTCTGACGTTCTTTAAGACGCGTTTGGATGATGAGGGAGAATACACGTGTTGTCTGACGGAGTCACCTCGCACTTTACTGTGTTCCTGTGTTCTTGTGGTCAAGGGTAAGTCTGAAATTTGTCAACAAAGTTGTACTTGAGCTGATGTGGTTTATTTGGTTGTCGGCGATTCTCTCTGTCTGATTTCTACATTTATCTTCAAGCAAACTTGTATCCTCGACCCTGATTAGTCGATCCATGGCAACAACAATGTGATATGAGGCTGTATTGCACGGTCCATATTGCACCCTGCGTGCGCGCTATTCCAAGATGAGAGCGACATTCTAGCTGCATGCGCTAAACCGCTGAAAGGTTCGTGTAATGCGATGGTCCAACTTTACTGCGCGTCTGTGTCCCACATACACGTACCTTCGGCCTCGTGGTATGTGGGACACAGACACACAACATTATTCCGTGTTCCACTCGCGCTCGCGGGATAACTAATAGTATTTCTACTGAGTTTATATGTATACATTTTATTAATGGACATTCCAATCTTACAGCTACCGGTATCTTACAGGTTAATCTTACAGCTATGTTACAGGTTTCTACATGTAGCCTTATTAGAAATTGTTCACTAACTTTTTGAGTATTGATTAATAATACAGGATTGAATGTGTTTGGTTCACTTGGGTCTGGGGGTAGGGCTTGAAAAAGTAATGGAACCATTGATTTTTCCTTATGTAAGTCTTATGTATGTAGGCTGATGCTCTGCGACCCTCTGGTTCAGCCCAGAGTCCACCCACTTTTTTACTTCAATCTCACCTCTGGCTGTTTCTCGACATCTATACGTGTATCATCCAAGTTCAAATTTTGGCATGGTTGATGCTAACACCAAATTCAAACTGGTGTTCCAGAGTTTTGCTGAGCTAAATAGTATTAGAAAGGATTCGGGTTGACCCAATCAGATTTAGGTTTCAGACATGCGAACTTCATGTATTAATTTTCCATTGAATTGACTCTATAGAGTCATTCCAAACAGCCACAACAATCAGCCTTCCACACATTGAACTTATCATGTAATTATAGGGCTGCCCCGAATATACCAAATATTCAAATATTCGACCATCAACAGAATATTCGAATAGCTTTTTACCGGTTCGAATATTAAGAAAGAAAAAAACCAAACAAACAAATGTACCGGTATGGTACGCATCTGTGATGCTATTTTAATCGTAGAGTTTTGGCGCTTCATTGTCACAAGCAGCTTTTTTGTTGATTGCAGTTCATTTTTTCTCATCCTTTTAGCAGGTTAAAGCCCTTGACATTTATACAATAAGTACTGCAAAACACTCCAGTGGCCCATAACATTGATCACTGCATGCAAATTTTATCCAACATGCTTTGCGTACAACTTGCCGGTAGCTGTGCACAGCTGGCACAGTATGTTAACTTGATAAATGAATATTCAGATACACTAAATTATTAGAAAATGGACAGTCTTATGTTATTAATCCAAATCTTCAGAATAATCTGAAACTGGGGATTTGAATAACCTCTTCCAAATTTTTTTTTAACTTGGGCAGTATTTTTAGCCCATTATCCATTGGCTTATAAGAACGATTAATGCAGTAGACACAACTGCCCTTTTTTCTATTGTTCACATGACCCACACTGAACAACATCAAAATAACAGAAAAGAAAAGTACATGCATTCTGTACATGTATATAATCATCTACCAGCAAGTGTTGCAAAGTGTGAAATTTATGTGGCAAAACTTGTGTCCACCAAAGTTGCTAGACACAGTTTTATGGTCAAACTTTAAAACTTTATAAACATTGTTCCCCGGATGGCCTCAGTCCCAAACATGATGCCATCTTTCAGAGGAGGGGCTGAAATTTAAATTGAAGAAGTATTTTTCTCGAAGACTTATGACTTCAACATTTAAATATTTCTGTTAGGCAGTTTACATTGGTAGGTTTTTGTTTTAAATTCGTTTATAAAAAAAAAGTCTGTTTCAGAGTTCATAATAAATATATATTTTGATCCATTAGGCCAAAAAAAAAAAGTCTCCGGTTTCTGGTATGGAGCTTGCCCCAAAAGTGGTGCGGCGACGCGGCTTTTTTTTTTTTTTTACCTGTTTTTTTTTTTTTTTTTGGCTTCAAATGTCGGCTGATGACTGCAAATGGTGCCCGACTAAACTTAGTGCAAGTATATGGGAGTCCAGAGAGGCCACATAAAGCTTATTCTCGATCATAACCTCATCTAAAAACACGTTAAAATTGTGCAGCAGCAGAATTCCAGTCAAACCAGTGAGTTTGGCGGTTTGGAGACATCATCTTGTATTGAAAAAAAAAACTTTTTCATTTTGCCGACGCGCATGGCTGCGGCGACGCGCGCGCATACCAAAAACCGGAGACTTTTTTTTTTTGGCCTTACTTATGGATATTAGTTCTGTTTTAGTTGGTTTTACTTGAGGTGTTTTTTTTTGGGGGGGGGGGAGGTTGGTCAGATAATTGTAATAATAACTTGGGTTCGGTTGCATGGCTTAGCAAATTTTTCATTTTTTTTTTCAAGAGTGTTTACTATAACCATAATGAAAAGGTTTTGTCTGATTAAAAATATAAAGCAATTTTACACCACAAGTGCCTTCAGGCCAAGAAACACAATTTTATCCCAATAGCGTCAATAATGTAATTAATTTGTTACTATTTATGTTCCCGATGACAAACTTTCGGTTTGCTATATTTCACAATACAGCCAAAGTACAGTACTTTATGTACATGTATATTGCATGTGATTATGAGTAATAGAACTATACATCTGGTCATTCACAAACAACATCTGTATTTATTCCATTAATTTTCAAGGCCTCCCAAAGCTCAAAGTGTAAATCAATTAATTTTGTGGGCGATTTGGCAGTGTTACAGGCCATGTGGACCAGTGTGATGTTTCTTCACTTACCAGTAAGATAAACAGACATTCAAGGGCCCTTAAGAAAATATTCCTATCACCGTCCGATAAGATTGTGGTGCAGGTGAGGGTTAGGTGAACCTCTGACATATTACGAAATGGAAGCAGTCGGGGAGTTTGTGATAAAAATTCCCCTTTTTTTCACAGATGTTCTGACTGATGTCGCAGATATAGGCCTATGTTTGGAGTCTTTGAAACCTTTATTCTTGGTCACAAAGACTGTGTATTTTCAGCTACCGGAGGTCGTGGCTGCTGAAACAAAACGGTTTAATTCTAAACATGTTGAGTCCAAAATCAAAAGAAAGAATCTAATTATACCTACATGTACATGTACTGTAGTCTTAGTTGCATCCAGTTTACGTGTACATGTATTCATGTATCTCAACATGACCTCAAAATAGGATACTATGAAATATACTCTTTTTTTTACCAGGATGTAAATGAAACATCAAGCTACCAGCGAAGCAAGCTTATCAGGATCATTTTCACATGCAAAATAGTGATACATGCATTTTGTCATATAATTGAAAACTAATTATCTGGTTAAATCCTATTTGCCAATCACATCAAGTGATCCTATCCTCCTTTTTTTATTTAACAAAGGAAAAACTTTGGAGGCTATTTTTCTTCCAAAAAGTTTATACTGCATCAAAAAGTTTTGTCTAAAGCCAATGTCACTCCTGATTGCCCATAAATTGCCCCATGTGACATCAGCTTAAGTTGTCTTAGATGTTTAGTGTACCAGTACTTATAATAGTAGCATCATGCAAGCAAAATTTTGGCGTAGACTTTGTACTGTACAGTGTTCCACAATTTCTTGTTAAATTTTTTTAAAAATCAGAGTTTGTTTCAGAATATTAATTATACAACTATTTCAGTGTGTACATTTGTACATCATACTTTAAAACCCTAACTCCCTAGGCCTTTTTGCTAGGATGTAGCCTCAATCCTGCAAAATCCTCCAATTGGCCCCATGGAAAAATAGCATATAGCCTCAATCCTGCAAATTCCTCCGTTATTTCTTGAATATGGTCCATGGAGGGGTGACCACTGCCTGAATCCTGCAAAATCCTCCGGCTATGACTGTCAATAGGCTGAGGCAGAGGCAGTGACATCCTGGAGCAGTGCCGAGGATGTCAAGTATAATCAAGGACTAAATTTATGCACGGATGAGCATAAACAACACAAGGTCCGGCCCGAGACCTTGACACAGTGCGTACTCCGAAATCAGCAACGCACTTTTGCCATGTAACCTCAATCCTGCAAATTCCTCCAATTTGCAAAAAGGATTTTGGAGGATTCAGGGCGGTTAGGGTTAAAGGACTTTATCATGTTTACAACGGCTTTGTAAAATTTATGTGAACATTAAGACTAACCCTACGGTAGGATGTGTGAAAAATCATATCATAATTGGAGGATTCTGGACGCTTTGGATTAATTTCTTATTATACACATGTATGTAATAGTGGAATGATGTCTGTACTACATGTATACAGTATGATTGATGTCAAGTGACACAACAAAACAAACCCCAAAACCTAAAGAAACTGAACCTAAACATAAAGCTTAAAACAAACCTTAAAACTAAAATTTACCCTGCAAATGATGACAGTTGTTCATACTTAGAGCGTAAACCTAGATAATTTGTCTCTCGTGTCCTACATCTTACAGTAAAATAATCAATATTTGAAAACTACATGTAGGCAGAACATGATAGAAAAATTGGATGTGAACCGACTCGAAATGTTTCTCAAACTGGAAGTTCCTGAATACTCATATTTCTTCTGTGATCTACTCTTTCTAAGCACTGTACATCAGACTGCTGTCGGTTTGGGTGACAATTAAGTGTATACTCGCTATCAACTTCATTTCTTTTTCTACCAAGCAAAGTATGGATGCAAACCCTTGCACAGAATCTTGATAGAACTGTCTTCAAGAGCTCCACTCCACGATCCCGGAAAGTCTTGTTCATCGCAAAATAGATGATGACGTTGATGAAGCTGTTAGCGATGACGAGCCAGTGAGACAGGAACATGACAAAGTCCGGAACCAGCCTGCCTTCAGACCAGAACACTATGGTATTGGTTATGAAAATTAGGATCCAAAAAGTACAGCCCGCGATTGCCATCAGAGTTACCATTCGGAAGAGTTTCACCGTTTGCTTTGAACTTGCATCCACGTCTTGCCTTCTGGTGACAGGATTGTCTCTGGTCGATGCCATTGTCATGATTTCTCTCTGTCGTCTGCTTTTGATGAGTGTAATCCGAACTTTCACGGTAGTCACGATTATTGTGAGCAGGTACGGAAAGCCAATAGCGAAGAGATATATCAGAGAAAACGCTGTGCTTCTGAAGTATGCCGGAATGCAGAAATACATCTCTGGCATATACTCAAATCCAAGAAGATTGTCAGCAAAAACTGGCGAGTAAAATATAGCGGCTACTATCCAGCTAATTAGGATAGCAATGAGGGTAGCTTTCTTCGTAACAAGCAGGGAATATTTTAAGGGATGTACCACGGCAACGTATCTCTCGAGACTCAAGAAAACCAGCGTCATGGAAGACACCAATTTGAAAATGTGACTGAAGTAAGCCATGAGGAGGCACGTTGTGCAGCTGTAAGGCCATCCGCTGTGTTTGATGGCCGGGTAGATGGCCAGACACGATGACACACCGAGGCCCAAGTCTGCGCAAGTCAGCGATGTCAAGAGATAACCGTGGGAGTTCCGAAGAGATTTTGTCAGAACGACGATAATCAGATTGACTGAATTGCCGATCAGGACTAGAAGTACTAAAGTAATAATGATGATGTCTTTAATATGACACAAGAATCCTGAGCAGAGTCTTGTAGGATTGTCATATGACACGTGTAGCCAAATGTGCTCTTTACCACATGTCTCATTTGTGTATTCCAAATCCATGATGAAGTGTTGATTTTTTTACGTATGTTTTGATGGTTCACAAATCTTTAGTAAGTCCAACAGTTTCAAACCAGACCTGGAGTGCAGACGACTATACATGTACCGGTACATTCAGCAACTCTTAATCTGTCTTCTGTTTTACGTTTCTCGGACAATTATTTCTGGCGAAGGTTCGTCCTTCATCAAGTCTGTCAGTAGATCTGTCTGTGCACTATACCTTTTTGAAAACCAAGACAAAGTTGTATAAAAAAGTATCCAATAATTGCCTTTTTATCATTGTCTTTGTGTTCTGAGCATGTTATCTTAAGGTTTTTATAACGCAATCTACATGTACATGTAGTCCTCATGCTCAGTTGACATAATGTTATCATACACTTGACGTTAATCAATTTCACTTTAATTGTTTTGAATCCAATTGGCTAATTCTGTTCAATCAGCAAATGTTGAGAAGCAAACAGGTGGAAACTATTAAGCTCTAGATTTCTTTCAATTGCATCTGATATGCAAACTCATTTAATGATTTTGCAGGACTTCTAAAATTCTCTTCACTCCGTATTAAACTGAATTAACCTTACTTTTTCTTTACCATTTGATAACAATTACCGGTACTGGCAAGTTAATCAAGCAGACAAAGCAGCCTCAGTGTGTACACATTCTCAATGATGCGAATGAGAACTCATTTTTTTTTATGTAAAGGCAAGGGTTTGCACTGCGAAATCACAAAAGTTGATCACCTGTTAACCCAGGCCCATTTTACCAAAAATGTCTCATGATGCAAAAAAATGTTTACTGCATTTACATGTGAATTCCTCTGAAATAAGAAACATTCTTAAATCTTGATGTACGGTACATGTACAGGATATTGTATACTGATAAAAAGGAGCATGGATTGGCTTGATAATTTATGTTTCCCTTCAACAAAACTACAAGGGCTCAAATTAAGGTAAAACTACTCAGTACTGTCTTTCTGCATTTATTTCTCGTGTCCTCACCACAGTTTTAGTCAGAAACTAGATGCATTATAGCAGTGCCTAAGAAGCCGATAGGAAAGACCCATATTAATCATGTATTGTTTTAAATTATTCTGTGGTCAAAAATGTAATCCTGAAGCAGCACGAATATCGGTCACAATTTGAAAGCTAGCTAAAAGGCAAGCAGTTGATTGTGTTGAAGCGCAGATATGTAGGGGGTTCATTCTTTCTATCAAACTTTGACATGTGATCTTCAACAAAAAAACTCTGTGTGGTTGCTGTGCAATGGCTCACATAGAAGGATCTGTTTGCATTTGAATCGCACCAGTTTGGTCAAAGTACGTATTATATACATAATAGGTCAATATGAATCAGGTTGCTAACTCACTGTTATTCAGGGTATAGTTCTTGACATCAGGATATTGGTTTTTCAGAGAACTTAGTTACTTTGTGTTCCAGTTGTAAACGCAAGTTTACATGTAGTGACAGAAATTCATTGGTTGTTATGTTAATTGTGAACTGTGCTGTGGCTGATCTATGCCAAACTAGCCGAGTTAGCCAAACCACGGTTCATGCAACATTGGTGCTCACCTAAACATTGACATGTACATGTACTTTATTAAAATGTAACTCCAAAGTACTCTTTGACAAAACTTAAAACATGGCTAATTCCGTTTGGTTTTAATATTTTTGTTGTGTTTTACAGAAGCAGAGTCTGAAGCAGACAACAGAAATGCCCCCACTAGCTCAACCCCTGTACCCTTAGCTCCTCAGAGTGGCACAAGGTCGTCCTCCTTTGAAGATGAGACAAGACTTTCCAATCTGAGGCAGACGAAGGTCAAACACACAGACAGCCTTGAGGTTGTCAATCCACTCCACTTTAGCCCGATATTTGACGATTCTGACAGTAGGAATGCTGGGAACAGAAGCCGGAATGGGGTTGGCTACTCTGAGAACCCAAACTCAAGCCACGGGAGCGGCGAGGGCCCTGCCTTAAAATGGAGGGAGAAGCCTCCTTACGCATCCCCGAGAAAACACACGGAGAGTCGGAAGAACCGTAAGAGCAGTCGCGGAAGCAAGCACAACCCTGATTCCAACCAGTATCTTTATTTAAGATATGACTCGTCCGATTCTGACTCCTCAAGTGACGGTGTAGGAAGATCTCGGAAGGAGAAGACACCAAGTCGTAAAACTAAACCTCCGAGGAAGTATAGGAACTCTTACTCCTCCGATGAAGAGTTTGATACTGGACTGGAGAGGATCATGGCACTGTCAGAGAAAGCCGACGCTTGCTTGAACATTGTGAACTCTGTCTTAGAGATGACGTCATTGGATAAGGAGGTTGACGAAGCACTTCAGGAGCAAATCTATGCACTCCAACCAGGTGTACGGGAATCGGAAGGAAACGTTGGTCGCTCTGACAACACAGGAGATGTTATTATGGATAGCGACACAGACGTTGATTTTATCAAACAGATGGCAGCACAGACTGTAGCTAATGCTATCGCTGCGCAAATGATGCGTGAAGCTAACAATCTACAGATAGAGCCAAAGCTTACCGACGACTCGCCACGAGAAAATGGTTTTGCCCCAGCTAGCCCAGCAACCAAAGAATCCTCTGAAGAGGAGGTTGGCAGGACGTCCAAAGACGATGACCAAGACTTATGGGGAAGTAATCCGGAGGACACATCCCCTATCTGCTACACAACAACTGCCCAAGTGCAGGAGTCACTTCCAAGCATTGAAAGTGAAACCGACAGAAACGATCTAAAGCTGAATGTTGATTTTTCTCACGATATCACACCATCCATGTCACCCAGGACTTCCCTGTTTCGTGGCCCGAAAGACAAAATCTTCACCTTGGATGAGATCATCGATTGTCTCCCAGAGACCGCTGTTGATGAGAACCCTAATCTGAGTCCACGTTCTGCCTCACCTGGGGAGGAGACTCAGAAATTCACATTGTTGGGACGTTACACCCATTCAGACACTCCTTACTCCATAGAGGACTCCGAACCGACAGACTCGCCTCTCGAAGAATCCTCTCCCGAGATTTTGACTCCACTCAAAGACACTTTCGTCCTCGAGGGAGACGCCATGAGACTAGAGGTCGAAATAAGAGGTTGCCCAGTCCCCGATGTGACTTGGTACAGGGATGGTACTGAGCTACATCAAGGCAAGAATCTCCAACTAAAGTTTGATGGAGAGGACACTTGGGCTCTCATCATCAGGAACATACCGGCGCGAGAAGCCGGAGTGTACACCTGCAGTGCCACGAATAAGCTGGGATCATCATCAACAAGTGGGGCCATTGCTGTAGCAGGTGAGTTTTCAAAAGGCTGAATTCACTCTTACAGTCATACCATACGTGAAAGCACATATTTGAGACACTCTGGCAAAATGAGATAGAACTTGGAAGAGGTCGAAATGAGGGTTTGTGGGTGTTTAATAGGAAAGAGAATAAAATTGTCCCTACAATACTGTTTGTTGCACTTCAATCGGACATTCCATTGACAAGTTATGGCTGTTTAACCTTCGCATTTATTGACGTGTCAAAAAAGTAAAATACGTTGGAGTTCCATTTATGTGAAAATGAAAGATACCAATTACGTGAAAATGAAAGATGTCAATTGGTTTCTCCTTAAAGATGCTTTTTTTCCACGATTTTTATACAATTTCTTTTAAAGCATGCATAGTAGACATATCAAATAATACAATTATCAGTAAATCTGAAAATCAGAAAAAAATTGTCACTATTCATTTTTTGCATTTTTCTCCATTATGGCCTGTGCCCAGTTCAGTCTCATTTTACCAGAATGTCACACATACATGTATATGATATCATCATTCATTTCGGGACTGCAAATAGGCAAAAGTTGAACAACTTTAACTGTCAAATTTTACTGCAAATGTTCCAACCCTGTTACTTTGCATTCGTGTGAAGTACGAACCAGCCACAAAGAACTTATTTACCTTAACAAATTCCTTCAACAAATATACTTTGCCAACTAACTTGGCATCTAAATGTCTCTCTCTTTTTTTTTTACAAGTACCGGTACTGTGAAATTGCAATATTTATGTAGAAGGGTAAATGGAAAGAGAAGTTGCACCATAATTGCAAGCTTCAAGCAGAGCCTTCATTTCTAATAGATCTGAGTCAAACAGGCAGTCATAGTTTTATTCAATAAGTTTATATGATTTTAAAACCATGGTTCATGCATATATCTGAAATATTGGTGCTCACCTAAACATTGACGTGTACTTTATTAAAATTTAACTCCAAAATACTCTTTGACAAAACAAAGCTTCAAGCAGAGCCTATGTTTCTAATACATCTGAGTCAAACAGGCAGTCATAGTTTTTAATAAGTTTATGTGATTTTGTTTTCTCAAAGCGAAGGGATGGAACTGTTTTGATCAATCTATGATACTCCACAGATTGACAGCAGGGCAATTTATTCTGATGGGACACTGCTTGTGTCAACATGTACTTCCTCATTGGTGTCATTACGAAAGCTATCAAATTCATCTACAGTCGAAGCAATAAAACTATCGGAGGGGGCATGGCATACGTGTCAGATTATAAAGTACAGTTTACAATGTTACAATACCATACCCCTTTAATACTCTTAAATGTGCTGGCATTGGCACTTCATAATAAGTTAATAAGAGATATTACAATCATTATTTTGTTGTAGGGCTTGCCGATGGTCCGGATGCTACAGATGCTACAGATGGCGATGAAGAAGAATGTGATGCCCAAGAAGGAAATCCTTTCAGCCCGACAATCTCAATATCGTCCCCCTCAGCTCTGGATGATGATGTCTTTGTACAGACCAACTCCAAAGAGGGCTTACCACGGATTCTGCTCAGTGCAGACGAAACAGTCATTGACGACGTCACCCCAGGTCAAAGCGGGGACGAGGACTTTCAGGAACTGACAGCCCAATTGACTGAAGCTCTCCACTTGGACCGAAACTACAACTGGGCCGACGAATCATCGCCAGATATCAGCAGGTCAAACTCCAACAACTCTGACAAGGGTGCGCCTTTCCGTCTCAACAAACGCAACCGTCCGGATAGTAACATCGAGACCATCCGCCATCGGAAAGCTTTCAGGAAGCATCCGAGCAGAGATAGCATGACATCTACAGAACCTTGCTCGACGGGTAACTCGACATCTGAGAGCGACACGGAGGGGGCTCCCAAATTCACCAAACCCCTGAAAACAACTGAAATTCTGGAGGGAGAATCAGTGCAATTTGATGTGTGTGTGAGCGGCGAGCCAGAACCTAAGGTCCGGTGGTTCCACGATGGAACGGAACTCAAGTGCACGGACCGCATCAAATGTTCCCGTGTTGAAAACAGTGGTGACAGTTATTCATGCCGGCTGGAAGTTTCAAAAGTCAGGACTATTGACGATGGAAAATACGTCTGTAAAGCAGAGAACAGTATTGGTGCCAAGAGCTGTGCTGCCTTCCTCATTGTTGAGGGTAAGATGTCTCAACAATAGTCGTGTACTTTGAAATCCTCTTAAATTGTCTCTCACTTTCTTGATTGGTATTCTCTCCTGAACTTACTCAATTTGAAATTGAGTTTTTGAAGCATAATCCAAAAAGTCTGTACAAAGATGATTCTTTTCACAAATGCTTTGTTGACTATATAGGATTTTTTTTCCAAATGAACTCAGAAAAACTAGTCATTTTTACTGGCAAAATAAAAATATTTGAAAAACATTTTTGTATCTAGACCAAATTTGACCAACTGATTCCTTTTATTCTCCCAGACATATGTACATGATGAACATTGTTTCTGTTAATCATTAAAAACGTTGTATGCTTGCTCCAGATATGTACAGCCCTTGGGTCAATCCATGTCAGTTAAACTCATTTTATTAACTACGTGTATTCAAACATAACTGGTTCATTGCTATCAAGGAAGAAAACCAACTGCTCACAAAGTGGTGGGTTTGTACAAATAGTAGGGAACAGTGCCATGGACATCAAGTGATGCATGGAATGAAAGTTATTTTGTCTTTGTCTGGTTCCAGCTCTGAACGCTAATGATGGAACTGGAGATGATGATAGGATCGTCTCAAGACTCCTCAAAGAGAGAGAAGAGGAGCAGAGCCTTGGGGAATCATCTCAGATTGAGGAGGTAAACATCCTCTGATTTTTCAGTGCGTACATGTACATCCATTTGTACTAAAGTTTTTCAGTCGTATTGACACACACATGTGTCCGTTTCAAATGCACATACCAGTAATATGAGCCTAATACCATGGCTCTCCTCACCATGAAAAGCTGTGCTTATGATCGCCACATGATAACCATGAGGAATCATTACTTAGGGAAGTGACAGACTTGTTTTGTGATTTTTTTTTATTAGGATTTATTGAAGAGTTTCACTGTAGAGTCCGATTACAGTGAATCAAACGGCAGAATGTCTGTCAAGAAAGGTGATCAGGTGGAGTTATTAGATAGGAGCAGTAAAGACAGGTGGCTGGTCAGACACAAGACCAACGCAGAAATGGTAAGGCTTGTTAGATATTCTGTTCTTGCAAACAAGGAAATAAGCTGATGGATTTGATGGATTATACATGTACAGCTGTTTTTCTGATAACTTCAGATTCCCTTGGGTAATCTTATGCCCACCGCACATCTTTCCGATTTTACCGTTTCATTGGATTACAGGATCACCGGTACGGCAACCTCGTCCCCAGTGCTTACTTTATTTCCAACCTCGTTTCCAATAGTAAACCCTGGATAGGAAACTTTCTTCCTGTATCCTGATTCGATACCGCAATTGGCTAGTAATGGATTATTATCGTGTACTTGGTGCTATTATTCACAACGTGCAGTACGTGTTTTCGCAATCATTCGTCCACGCCTTCTCGAAAATACTTATTTCCTCTCCAATTTGCTCCTATTAATATGAAATATGATACTACATGTTGTCTCGATAAGATCGTAACAGTTTGATTAAAAAAATCGTGTTTTCGTAACTCACGCCGTGCTCGCGCTGCTACGAATTGACTCTGTTTTTACCCCAGACACCACATACGAAAAACAAACGCTAATGTGCAACGCATATCCAGGCACCAGACTGTTCCTCATTTGCATACGTGTTCAAAAATATTGCACATGCAAATGATCCGATACCAGGGTGAGAGAGCAGGTAGTGGTGGGCGCGTACTGCTCGACACCCTGGGGACGAGGTTGCCGGTACGGTTTTTATCACCGTTGCAGAGACCCCAATGTTAACCCGCACACATGCCCGATTCAGTTCTATAATCGTTCATATGATGATCTGTCATATTATGATGATCAGCCATCAATTTTGAATCATGTGACTTCCTTTGTGAATCTGATTGGTTAACATAAATATTGCAGCCAATGAAATCGGAGTGCTGCCAGCACACCTTTCCGGTGTCATTGAATCGGATGTGAAAAAAATAAAACATGTTTGATTTAATCCGATCGCCCAGGGTCAGATTGGTCTGATTTTTTAGCGCATGCCTCTCCGATCTGTACGTCCAATAGCCCGATGATCTGGTAAACTGGTCAAATTGGAAAGTGTGCGGTGGGCTTTAGTGTCATTCACACTTTAGATTTAGAGGCACACTTTAGATTCATTTGGAATTAAAGTGTGCAGTGTTGTGGTCTAGTGTTATTGTGTATCAAAATTTGAGATCTTTTGAGTAATTCAGCTGAATAGGAGTTTCATAGTCAGCACCAAAGCTACACTTATATCGCTTATTGCCTCTTTCCTTGTTAATAGGACTTAGATGGACGCTGGGTCTAACTAAGCCATTTGCACTGGTCAAAAGACCACCATTATGCTAAGTTTGGAAAAATGATTATTACTTAATGATATTTTTCTTAGGGGCCAGTCGTTAATATCCTTTTTTACTAATATATTGTCACAGATTGGATACATCCCATGTACACTGTTGAAGAGAAGTCCCTCCTCAGCCTCAGACAAAGAAGACAAGAAAATAATCTACACCTTCATCTCGAAACAGAGTAAGAATTTCTTTTCAGAAAGCACTCGCCCATAACAGCATGAATGAACATATTTCTTTTACAAATACTTATTTTAACCCCAACCTTGCCAAATCCTCCCAAATCCTCTTTGCAAAAGGGAGGATTTTGGAGGATTGAGCCTATATGGCACAAATGTGAAGCTGATTTTGGAGGATGCACATTGTCAAGGCAGGACCTTGTGCTGTTTATGCTCAGCTGTGCATATAGTTAGGCCTATAGTATACTTGAAATCCTCCGCACTGCTCCAGGATGTCACTGGCTCTGCCTCAACATAGTGACAGTGATTGCTGGAGGATTTTGCAGGATTGAGGCAGTGGTCAACCCTCCAAGAACCACATTCAAGAAATAACGGATGATTTAGGAGGATTAAGGTTGTGTGCTATTTTTACATGGAGGCAGTTGGAGGATTTTGCAGGATTGAGGTTCCATCCTAGCAAATATGCCTAGGAAGTTAGACGCTTTCTTGTTTTTCATTATCAAAATCTTCCTACATGACTTTTGCTTTATTGAACCCTTTCACATCAGTGTATTACATTATTCATAAGATGGAATTTTATTTTATTACATTGTACTACACTGTATTTACTCCTTGATGAATCCATAAGAGTGCTCGTGGGGCAGTTTGGGGCGGTACGAGGAGAGACAAGCAGGCTGGTTTGGGGCGGTACAGGGACTCACGGGTTCACATCTTGTAAACAAGGACTTCCGACAAACAAAATATAAGAATTATGATTTTCTTATGATGCTTTTTATTTTCTGCAAAAGACTGTCATACTTGAATAAAAAATTGTCCATCCAGAAGACTCACTCAGTCTATAAATCTTGATATTTCCAACTGGCAAATCTTATGTCTTTGTAGGCAGTGAGAGACGGCCAAGTGGCGGTATGAAGAAACGACCGCGTGTCGTCCGACATTTATCTCTTAAAGAGGGTCAGCTGTCTGAACTGGATGAGGGAAAGATGATTGAAGATGTAAGTGGAACCCTTCCTCCTGATCTGTTCTTGTGGTCTGGTATCCTTTCACTACATCTCCTTGACAAAACGTATTTTATTGGTCACTTTTTTCATTTTGTTTGGCTGAATAACAAACAATAACTTAACCACCACTGCATCTTCTAACCAACCGAATATTCCTGTTCGTACATGTATGTACCGGTACATCAATTGCTCTTATTTTTTACATTACATTGTTATACTCATAATACTCATTATACTCATTGTTATACTCATTGCCTTAAATCTAATGACTATGCAATTAAACCATGGTGTTAATCACACGTTTGAATTGAAATGTTTTTTCAAAAACAGGAGAAGTCTTGATATTGTGCTTTGTCTAAATAAATCTTAATTAACCCTAACCGAACTCAATCCATCAAAGCTCAACAGCAGGTTTTGTTGAAATCTGTTAGAATGTGTACAGTGCCCCTAAACTGATAGTTTTTTACATTGGGTTTGGCATACCTCCAGAAACTAAGTCCAACAGTGTGTGTGTGTACAATTTCCCATGTGGGTGTTGGAATTTGCCAGAATGGGTATGGTTCCTTGTAAATTAGGCTGGGGAGTTGGGGTTAACCCTAACAGAACTCAACCCATCAAACCCCAACAGCATATATTGTTGGAATCTGTCTGGATGGGTACAGTACCCCTAAACTGACAGTCTTTTACATTGGGTTTGGCATACCTCAAGAAACTAAGTCCAACAGTGAGTGTGTGCAATTTCCCATGTGTGTGTTGGAATTTGCCAGGATGGGTACGGTTTGTAGTAAATTATGCTAGGGAGTTAGGGTTAAGATTTACTGATAATGATGTCATTTCACTTGGCTATCAACCTTCTCATTTTACATGTACATGCATTAAGGATAAACAATTTCTTTTTTTTGACTTCCCAAAAACGTAACACAATAAAAGCTAGCAAATGAAAATTACTTCCCCCCCCCACCCCAAATTCTTTAATATTACATTGCATGTGTTCGTAACTGTTTCCATTATTTCATCTGTTTATTTTCTTGCATGTTTCATTTGTCCACCTGCACCCCCACTAACATTCATCTAATCCATCTCTACACTCCGTCCAGTTTTCGGACACAGAGGCAGCACAGGTATATTTGGGTTTTCACTTTTAAAATTTCAATTTAATATGCACTACATTTTTATCCTAACAAAATACCTCAGTAGTGCCCCTGTGCACTAGACCGTTTTTGATATTGTTTTTATTTAGCAGAGTTTCATTTTTCTTAGAAAAAAAACTTACGTCATTCCTCAAATCCTTAGAAATCGGTGTTGAAAAGTTACCTTATTTGTCAATTTTAAACTCCTGTATTCTCTTAAGCAGTGGACAATATTGGAAATTAATATTAAAGTCCATGGTAACATTTACTGAAACAAGTGTTAATACACAACATCAGTAATGTCTTGTAGTTAACAACCCAGTTACAACAGAATCGCAATTGGTAAGTTCATCATTACTCATTTTTTTAGGAGGTCTCTTGTAAGATTATTATCAGTCTTGGCTTGACACCGATTTCATAGCTTAAAGCTAAATGCCAAATGAACGTTTTCCTCTCTAGTCCTATGATCTCTACATGGCAGTCGCCTCCTACACACCAACAACCGAGCAGAAAGGCTCCATCTCCATGACCGAGAATCAAGTCTTTGAGGTCTTGGATTCAAACAGCGCCTTGAACTGGCTAGTCCGGGGTGAGACCGGTGACATAGGCTGGGTACCAGCGAGCTACCTGACGCCGTACGTGAGTAGCAGTCATAACGGCACTCGACGAGGCTCGAGGAATTTATGGGAGGAGCAGGATGGTCCTGAGGCCGAGGAAGGCGAGGAAGGGGCGGAGGAGGTGGGGAGCAAGTGGAAGGAGGCTATGACGAAAAGAGGGTAGGTTAGCTTACTGGCTTACTGTCGTGTCATGTGTCCTGTGATCATCTCAGATCACAAGTCCATCAAAATCAAATCACAGGATCATGTCAAACAGGGGGCTGAGCAAGACCAGAGGAATGCAACCTCGTCCCCAGGGTGTCGAGCAGTACGCGCCCATCACTACCTGCTCTCTCACCCTGGTATTGGATCATTTGCATGTGCAAGATTTTTGAACACGTATGCAAATGAGGAATAGTCTGGTGACTGCTTGTGCGTTACATTAGCGTTTGTTTTTGTATGCGGTGTTGTATGTCTGGGGTATTAAAGCAGAGTCAATTTGTCGCAGCGCGAGCATATCAGCATTGCGTGAGTTACGAAAACACGATTTGTTTAATTAAACTGTTACGATCTTATCGAGACAACATGCAGTATCACATTTCATTTTAATATGAACAAATTGGAAAGGAAATGAGTATTTTCGAGAAGGCGTGGACGAATAATCGCGAAAACACGTACTGCACTTTGTGAATAGCAACAGCAAGTACACGATAAAAATCCATTACTAGCCAATTGCGGTATCGAATCAGGATACAGGAAGAAAGTTTCCTATCCAGGGCTTACTATTGGAAAAGAGGTTGGAAATAAAGTAAGCACTGGGGACGAGGTTGAGAGGAATGCCCTTGTCACAGTTCTTGAAAATAGTTTGTTGCTCAACTTGAGTGATTCACGTACGATGGACTTGTGGGGACTTGTCATGGGCTGAACTGTAACACTGATCATGGCTAAGTTGACTGGTAACAGCGAAATAACAGTAACATGGAAATGCCTTTTTCACACGACTGAAGGACCTGTGATGAGTTGTGAATATTTGTGAATACTTAGGATGGCTTGTAATAACTTGTGATGACTTTGTGATTATCTCACAACAGCTCTGCTTTGGACAGCAATAGTTTTATTTAACTGAAATGTTATAAAACACTAGTGAAACACAAACTCAATGTTGAACATTTTCATCACCAATTGGAGAGTTTAATCAAAACTCTTATCTTCAGCAAGTTCTATTTGCTGTGGTTTTTGAGCAGCAACAGTTTGATAGCTGTAACATATGTACACAAAATTTAAAAATGCAACACATGAAGTTGAATGTACACATACAGTGGATTGTGCTGCCCAAGAACAATATTCCAAAGATTCAATAAGAGAGTTTATTTTTAAGAACCATGCATGCTCACAAGATGCAGAGCAGAAGCTTAATGTCATCATGTTGTTGCATTCCGTAGGTATGTCTTGAAGGAGCTTCTGGACACAGAGCGAGACTTCGTCAAGGATCTTAAGTATGTCACAACTCGCTTCATTCCTCCCATCCAACATCCCAACGTCCCCATCATCCTGAAAGGCAAGAGAGATGACATCTTCTGCAACATCAAAGAGATCTACGAATTCCACAATACGTAAGTCAAACTAAAGTGGCTGATGGGATGCTTTGACACTTTTAGTTTATTCTTTTGAAGTTTAGACAAAAGTTTGTTTGAAAAACTACTCCACTGGTGGAGCTCCAAATGGGTATTCAGTAGTGCTGCAACTGATCCTCAAAGTTCGGTTCGGTTCGGGTTCGGTTCGGAAGGCCAAGTTCGGCTATTTTTAGTTCGGTTCGGTGGTTCGGCTGCAGCAGTAGTATTCAGGTTGCAGGTTGAACTTCAAGTCATGAATCTGATGCCTTTTCAATGGGGCCTCCATAACCCCATACCGATTTTTACCACATGTTTTAACTGCGCTACCACACTATTATCGCCTTAGTTTTTATCTCTTTATATTCCGAAATTCTCTACCTGCTCATTATGTGAAGTTGGCCTTGCTACACACTCTGATGTGAGTATTGCACTGTGGTTGCCTATTTTAATTATTACGTAATTTTTTTCTCTTTTCAACAGTAACTTTCTTCATGAGTTGGAAGAGTGTGAAAATGATGCCAACAGCATTGGCAGAGCTTTCATCAAATGGGTAAGTTACTTCCATACGCTTTAACTTCTCAGTTTAGGTTTGATTATTTATCTTCAGGCAAACTCGAATCCTCGATACTGATTGTCGATCCATGTCAACAAACTGTGCTACATTATCCCATGTAGCACGGTCTATACCGCACTCGGCGTATCGTGCTATACTAAGATGCCTGCGCCATTCATGCTGCACGCACGAATAATAAGAAAACCGCTGTACAGCATACGGTGCGTATTCCAACTCAACTAACTGTGCATCAGGTTTGCTTGAAGATAAACTTGTTATCCCACTCGCGCCCGTGGAACACTTAAAATGTAGTGCGTCTGCATCCCACATACCACTCGGCCTTCGGCCTCGTGGGACAGGGACGCACTACATTATTCCATGTTCCACTCGCACTCGCGGGATAACTAATATTGTCCTAGTAATTCAGATATTTGTCACTTTAGTAAGTGTATGAAGAATGTGAAAGTACTGTGTTGATAATCCGTTATCCTGCCCACACTGTTTCTGCAAAAAGACACTCTTGTGAACAGCAGTATTAGGCCCCTGGTCATTGGTCTCTGGTCAGACCAAAGTTCCAGAATTGAGGCGGTGACGTGTTTTGGTTTTTTTTCGTTTTTTTTTTTTTTTTTTTTTCTTCAAGCTTGGATTGTACAGACAAGGTATTATTTTGCTTTTTTGGTGTCCTCATGTACATTGGTGTCCTTCATAATTTGCTTTGGTGCTCTCGATCATTTGCCGTGGTGCAATTTCCCATTCCTTGGTGCTCTTCGGTAAAAAAAATTGAGGAGGTGCGGTAATAGAGGGCGCTGTTGGTGCTACCGTGGAACATTTAGGGGAAAAAAAAGATTGACGCGCATGATTAAAATCGACGCGCGCGCTGACCAGAGACCGACTTATTTTTTTTTTTGGCCTTGCATGCACATAGTGTTTTTTTTGTATTTGACAATTTGAGTACAGCAATATCATTGAAACTGTTTCAAATTTGACACTTTTTCATCTTATGTCTCTTAGCAATCTACCTTCATCGACCTGCACGTCATGTACTGCAAGAATAAACCCAAGGCAGACACAGTGTTGACACCTGCGGCGAAAGCATTCTTCCTGGTAAGTTTCACTCATGTCAACATCTCTGTGTTTTGTGCCACATTGGACTTCTTGGGCTCAGATGTGCTTCTGTTTCAAGCCGCTGGACCACGCCTTTGGAACTGTCTGCCCATCAACATCAGGGAGGCCAAAACCTTGGGCATTTTCAAAGGCCTTCTGAAAACACACATGTTTGTCTAATTTCTTGTATTGCTTTGTACTTCGTTTTGTTACTGATGTTCTGTATTTTGAGTTTCATTGTTCATTGTGTAATTTATTATATGTATTGCCTTGTACAGCGCTGTGTTCCTTGAAGGGCGCTTTATAAATGCCTAATTGTATTGTATTGTATTGTATTCCATGCATGATTGTGATCTCTTGTCAGTGGTGAAAATGCAATCGATGTGGTGTTTGATGACTAGATTTCAGTGTCGTTTCCTTTACGACATGACTCTTATATACATTCCCTTCATGGTTTGTGCACATTCAGTTGAAAACTGGTTACTAAATCAGTGAAATAAGGAGCAGAAATCTGCACAGGGATTGAAGGATTGGACCCACCAAAATGATCTTTGTCTTTATATGTGGTGGTGATGATGAAAAATGCATTTCACTTCTGATCATTTCCGATTCTAATCGTAAAGATGTTTCAGTTTTGAAAACTATAAATGTGATGCGATCAAGCTAAATGAGTCGTTTGTCAGGAACTTTCATTTGGAGATTCAAGCCAAGGGCCACTTCATCTCATCACTTCATCATATCTCTTGGTGTTCCGACTTCCATAATTTTTGAACTAAAGATGGTGCCAGCATGCGGTTTTCACAGCAGTAATACTGAGATTGTGCTCTTTTCAAATCTGTAAAAAAAAAATTGACCAGGGTCGACAAACGACTCATTTAGCTTGATAGCATCACAAATCATAACATGAAATCATATTTTTCTCCCTTTAATACCTCCTCTTGTCAAATCTAGCAATATGGAGGCGGTACCGGTCCCGGCCAACTCGGCCTTGGGGATTACCTGATCAAACCGGTGCAGAGGATTACAAAGTACCAGCTGCTTCTGAAGGAGATCATCAAGTATACATCCAGAGCTAAAGAAGACTGCCAAGAATTGGAGGTATGGAGTGCAAATCAGACAATGGATATATCTGGTTACAGAGACTGGACATTATTAAAGAGGTTGTGGAATGCTCGAAGACATTTCCGTCATTTTTCGCGTATACATAGCCTAAGGTGTGATGAAATAAAAACGACTATTGTGTCTGTCATGAAATGAGTACAAAAGGTACTTTTGAGAGCTGTTTTTCAGGTCCTGTTTCGACCCGAACGTGCAATTTGTGTAAAAGTCGTCGTTGGGGGCAGCAAACAAAACATAGTAAATCGTGACGTAATAAACAGGACTCCCGATGCAGCATAGTATAAACGAGTCCTGTTTATTACGTCACGATTTACTATGTTTTGTTTGCTGCCCCCAACGACGACTTTTACACAAATTGCACGTTCGGGTCAAAACAGGACCTGAAAAATAGCTCTCAAAAGTACCTTTTGTACTCATTTCATGACAGACACAATAGTCGTTTTTATTTCATCACACCTTAGGCTACATATCCCCGAAAAATGACAGAAATGTCTTCGAGCATTCCACAACAATTTAACCCAGACCTTGTGTATCTGTGAAGGTCTTCTGAACCATCATCTGTGATGCAAGAATTATAATATGTAATGGATTATTGAATTATAAGTAATCAGCAGATACAACCTGCTTATTAACTTCAATGAACTGAAATTAACAAATGTGTATTATATAGATAAACAAGGGGGAGTGTGGCCTAGTGGTTAGGGTTTGTGACTCATGATCAGAGGGTTGGGGGTTCAAATCCAGCTGCTGGTCATATGTTGTGTCCTTGGGCAAGCCACTTCACCCCACTTGCATCTCTCCACCCAGGAGTATAAATGGGTACCCGCATTAGCTGGAGAGTAACCTGCGATGGACTGACATACCATCCAGGGGGAGTACAAATATTCTCAGTCATTTCATGCTACTGAAACTGGACAAATGCCGGCCTGATGGGCCACATTGGCTCGTGACGGACTTGACTTTAAAAAAAAATAGATACAAGGAAATAGGGACATGAATTCTAGCAGAATATTTGTTTAATGATGACAAACACCTCGGGTCTGCAATTATTTTCAGGTCAATTTACAGAGACCCTTGTTCTACAGAGGTGACGTGGTAAAGTGTTTTTGTCTGCTAGTATTTTGGTGTTGAAAAATTTGTAATAGTGTGATGTACTTTTGTTTTGCAGGTTGCATTGAATGGGATGATTGAAGTGCCAAAGAGAGCCAATGATTTGATGCATCTGAACCTGATTGAGGGATTCCAGGTAAGCAAAAATAAATAGTTCTGGACTTGCAACATTCAAATTATCTTGATTTCTTGCCGATTTTCCTTCAAGTGTTGAAACAGACCAATGGTTTAATTTCAAATTTTTGCTCAAAAAGCTAAATTTGGTTAGGTATTGTTGTGTTAAAATTAGTAAAAGTAACTTATTTTCAGAAACACGAAAGAGTTCTTCATGCCCATATTCACACTTTACACAAATAAAATTCTTACCGGTGATGCCACCACGTGAATCGGAAGTTTGAAGAGACTTAAGGGAAGGGAAGTATGAAGGAGGAAGGTAGAGATTGGAGCAAGTGAGTTGCCAGAGGAGTTATGAGCAACTAAAACCCGCAGTTAAACAAAATACACTTTTTTAGCATTGTACAATGTTCATTTATGAAATTCCATGGGGAAAATGAGCACTTACAAATGTAGAGATGGTTAGCTTTGTTAAAGTTTACGGAGAAAATCTCTTGATAATTGTTTTCCATCCAGCGTGATGTAACTGAATTGGGTAAACTCTACCGTCAAGATTGCTTCTCCGCCTGGTCCGGTAAACCCAAAGGCCGAGGCAAGGAGAGACATCTGTTCCTCTTCAAGGATATCCTGCTCTTCACTAAGCCCAAGAAGGAAGTCAAGGGAGATGTAGTCGGCTATATCTACAAGAGTCACTTGATGGTAGGCAATACCTGATCCAATATCATTGTTTTTAGGGGGGACTTGCCAGTGGGGATTGTAGGCAGTGTGCTAGAATACAAATAGGAATGCAATAATGCATAGTTGTACAGTGCACATATACACCAGTTTTGTTGGGTTTGTTTTTGCATTCCATAGGGGACGTTGAACAATAGAGGACAATAGGGACCACAATTCCCGAAAGTCCACGATTGACGATGGTGTACAAAACATATGGGAGGTCTCCCTAAAAAGTTAATGTGCAAACAAAAGAGGGACAATAGAGGGCCCACGATTGAAGGTGTTTACACACTTGTGATTAAGGTCCTATATTACCCATTACCCCTGCTCATCCGGCCCATGAAACATTCCCTAGACCATCTCACCTCCCTTGGGAGGGTCATTGAGGTTACTGTTGCACGTTATTTTTTTGTTTTTAAAGGAAAATAAATGATTGTCACTAAAGGATATTAATTGAAGTAAAAACCGGGATTACTGCATTTCGCCATAAAAAGAGTTTTTCAACCCAGAACTCGTGGACATTTGGAAGACTTTATGAATCGTTCAGGAAAAAAAACCAATTGGAAACTAGATGAGATTTGAAGGTTTCCATGGTGGAAAGATACTAAGACAAGATAAGCTTGCAGTAGCACCATGTAAATAAATCTCTTTTGTGAGTATGTCCGGCTCTTTTCAGAACCACACATACTCACAAAAGAGATTTATTCACATGGTGTTACTGCAAACTTATCTTGTCTTTATTGGAAACTACCAGTTTGACAATTTTTGTTTAGGATTTTTTTGTTCAAAGAGGACAGGCGTTCACCTTGTATTTGAACTCCTCGTTTTAGGTGGCCGCTCTAAATGTCACAGAGGACCAGTCAGATGAGAGACGATTTGAACTGTCTCAGGGCAGATTGGCACCGCTTACTCTTCTGGTAAGATGTCTAAGTCTGTGTTTGTCCCCTTTGTCAGTTATTAATCAGATGGTTTTGTTTTATCTATTGTTTTCTAAAATTTCCCGAGAAATTAAATGGACCAGTTCATAAAAAAGGTTACTAGTTCCAAACCATTTGCCTCGTAAGTTGTGGAAACAAATGGCCAGTTTATTGTATAAACAGTGTATTGAAATTAATGTTTAACCCTAACTCCTGGGGCTCTTTTACTAGAAAGTATCCTGAATCCGCCAAAATCCACCAATTTTGTCACGCAAAAATGCTGGTATCCTGAGTCCATCAGAATCCCCCAGTGTAGATACTGGAGGTATCCCGAATCCGCCAAAGTCCCCCAACAGCTCAATATGAAGGTATCCTGAATCCACTAAATACATACATGCATGCAATACAATGTACAGTGCATGTACATATGTATACAATGTTTGCAGTACATCACACCACATGGCCCAAGCCTCAGCCTTAGTTACACGTACAAAATATGGTAGATTCGAACTGTACTACCATTACGGTGCATTTTGTAGCAAAATGCAAAATTATGGCATTACAAATGGCATCACTTATCATTGCATTTCCGGTAAGCCCAGAAGTAAAGGTCAAGCAGTTTTGTGCCTTGGAAAAGCAAATGGTGCTCAAAGCAGTATCTACCACCTCATTAACAAAACTGAACACTGTACTCAATTCAGTTCAAGAATGTCCTATTCCTATTTTTTTTTGTCAAGTTTTGACTTCTGCGGTAAATCGCTATAAATTTACTGTGCTGTGACGTCATGATTTTTCACATCTTTAGACAAGTGTTCATGTTTTAACAAGATTTCATCATCATCCCTTGAACCATTTGGAAGAAATTCCGTATATTTGGCTATTTTGTCGGATTTACATGTACTATATCCTGATTTGGATGAACTCTGGGACTAAATCTCGCAAGTGGGCAAGTTGAATACAGTGCCAAGGTGCAGGTCCGTTTGTCTGAAATGTACCAGCGATGTGCATTTGAGTACCTCCCTGGATGACATAGGACTGTAACTAAAACACTGTGGGATGAAGTTATACAGTTCAAATGGTTTATTGTGGTGTGCACAACATGCATGCCAAGGTTTTAATGTATTTCAGGGAATGCAAGATGCATTAAATCTCTAACCTTATAGACCATGTGCCCTGTAACTCATGCAAACCGCCTTGCAACACAAAAATTTAAGCATCTTTTGCATATTATTTGGCGTACATTACAGTACATGTGAACACTTTTGAATCATTTACATTTTAAGAGATTTGTAGTGAAGAAGAGAATCGTTTGCAAAATGTTGACATCAGGTGACCACAACATCCAATGTTGTAAACAAATGTCACATTTTTGATACTTGATTCATGTGTACATGTATGTGCCACGTTCTTTGTTTTTACTATCCAGGCTTTCTCACGAAATGTGAACTCATTTCCATCCATTTCTTCTTGATATGTTTAGCCAGTTAACACCAGAAGAAATGTTAATATGATCTGGCAATGCCCAGGGTGTCTAAAAAAGAACACGAACCCTAAAGGCGCCTACTTATTCACAGCTTTAAAAAGAAAAAAATGCTATACATATTTCGAGAGTATAATTCATCAACTTTTCAACAACGGAAAAAAACATTTGGGTAAATATTTATTGAGTTACGGGCAATTGAAAACAAGCGCCGCTTTTTCATTTTTTCCATGGCGACTGAAACTTTGACTGCCGCAATAAGAACATGGGCTGAAACTTAAATCTGCGAAAAAGCTACCAAGTAGTCTGAGTATCACCCATTCTCCACGCAGCCATGTTCGGTAGAACGCCTGATATAGCATGCGTGACGTCACTTCATTCCGAAATCAGGACTTAGATTGTGATTGGTAATTTCGATTCCTTATTTTTGTAATACAACAACCTGTACAAAAATGCGACTCATCATGGGCGTGATATTTACGCGCATATAGATAAGAAGGCACTTGCTGATTGGTCAGTTTCTCGAGGTCATATGCAGTCTAGTTGCATAATTAATCGCCGAATCTGTTTACGTATCTTAGACCATGGTCGACTTTGCCAGGGCCAGGGTCTATTACATAGACTACCAAGTAGGGGGCACAGATGGAGAAACACAGTAAACATGTAAGAAGTTAAAATTAAAGAAAGCAAAATTACCCTCATCTCAAATCCATTACATTTCTGACAAATGACAATGGAGACTGTGGACAGATAGGAAAATCGGCGCTTACTTTGAATTGGCCATAAGTCGATAAATATTTACCCGATTGGAAATTTTTGCTTTGTTTTTGAAAAGCTAATGATCTGCATGTATACTTTCCAAATATGTATCGATATTTGCGACATATTTTTTTTTTAAAAGATATGAAAAAGAGAGAGCTTATAGGGTTCGTTTTGTATGTGGAGACACCCTGTATATTCACAGGGGCGTGTGATGGATAAATTTGTCAATCATCAAGGACAGCACTCACTGCTTTAGCTTTTGATCAAATGCTACTTTTATTTGATTAGTCTGTACAGAAAAAAAAACCACCTGTCAACAAAAGACAGAAATAATGAAATAATATCAAGAAACAGTAATAAAATGGAGACATTGGGAGCCAACACGCATGGCAAGAGGCCGAACAGTTGTACTTGGGTGAATCACCTCAACTCGGGCATTAACTACTCCGCCATTAATACAATATTCATAACAATTGCGTGTGTGATGTAAACTCTTGCTTATACAGAAATAAATGTGAGTTAAAGGTAATATTTACAAGCGTCTAAACAATCTCTAGACATTGGGATCATTAATTATGTGTTCAAAATAAATAATATTATCTTAACATCAGTTAAGATAACGAGCACCCTCTGAGATACCAGCGAAAATTCAGAATCCTGAGTGACTGGATTGCGCTTAAGTACCTATTTAATGCAATTGCACTAAGCATGCCTGGACAAATATAAAATTAGTATTTACACTAAAGCACCTTTTACTTATTATTTTAAACTGTCAGCATTAATTTACATAGCACTTTTCGCTTGAGTATGAGTTACACAAACTTACCAAAAAATAAAAAACAAATTAGAAATTATGTAATTATCCAATGTCAGCCACAATACCCTGATATGTGTGCAGGTCACTTTGGCAATATTTGAATTATTTTACAGTATTGGTCCATTCAGACCACATATATTGTGCTAGTACCAATGACATGCAATGACATTCAATTGCACAACATTAAACAATATATTTAGACTAGACATTTCTCACTTGTTATGTAAAATACTGTTAGCATTTATTTGAACAGATAGGTAGGCACTTGTGACTTGAGTACATATTTCACAAATACAGCATTTATTTCTGGGAAGTAGTTGGAATTACTAGTCCCGAGGTGTAGGTCTACTTGTCTACCTCCCAACGCGAAGCAGAGGGTAGGTAGTCAAGCTGACCTACACCGAGGGACCAGTAATTCCAACTTCTTTCCAGAAATAAACCATGCTGTATTTGTTTTACTACACCTCATAAATATTTAGTAGCCTCACTGCCTTTTTAGTGGTCTCACTGCCTTGTCGATAGCGGCCCTCCCAGATTTCAAGTTCTTCATCAGTCAATGATATAGTCTGGTGGACAACACTCTTTAATGTGGCTTTACTGCAGTAGTTACAAGGACTATAACAACAGACTGGTTCCGTAAAGTTTTAATGCCACAGACTACATGTTCTACGAGGCGGGGTTCCAGAGGGAATTTTGGAGCTATCAGAAAAACGCAGCGAGCTGGATACTCACTGGGATGTCATCATCTGGGCGCGTATCATTTCTACTCCCGGACAAAGGCGGTGGAATCGGCCAATGACGCGCTCCAATTTGATCATGAATATTTATGAGGTGTAGTAAAATGACATCCTTAGTGATGACTTTTAATATCATTTTATTTACAATAAGGCATCTTTCATTCTTTGTGTAAAATACTATCTTGCATAAGTTTGAACCTTAGGCACTTTTGCATAAGTTTGAACCTTTAGGCACTTGAGTATAAATGAGTATAGCAAACATGCAAAATTAACACTACAAAAAATACTGAATATCCAATGTCAGTCACACTTAAGAGGCAGTATTTGGCACTGAGTACATGATAGCCAATCTGAAACCATATGTCAGTATAAAGCCCAAGTCAAACATTCATGGTTTGGAGCTACGGATTGCCACGCTTTGAAATTCGTGATAAACCGTGGGAGTACTTCCTTGGGAGTATTCATCCTTTCGTGGATGAGCTACGGAAGTTTTAAAATGTTCATTATACCCGTGGTGAACCTTCATGAAAATTAATCTGTAGTGCAATCGTGGGACATCCTTAGGACAACCGTATTCATTTGTAGTGTCATTCGTGGCTATTCGTGTATATTCTTGGAGATTCGTAGCTCATTCGTGTTAGAAATCTCTACGAATTCGCTACGAATGTCCTACGGATATGCCTGGATGTGCTAGGGTTCTGCTAAGGTTGTACTACGAATATGCATGCTTTATTCGTAGGAGAACCTTGGTCATCCGTGGCCCAATCGCAGACATCCGTGGCGTTAAAGTCATTATTCTTAGTAATACCGTCTATATTCTTCAACAATCCGTCTATATTCTTGACAAACGGTGGTGTATTCGAAGAGAAACCTTAGGACGGTCGTGGCTATCTGTCCTGAAACCGTAGTGCATTCTTAGAAAGTCGATTTCTCCACGAATCTCAACGGTTCATCGTGATCGATTGATTCTTGGTAAACTGTGGGTATTCGTAGCTCCAACCATGAATGTGTGACTTGGGCTTAAAGGTCTTTACAGTAAGGCATGATTCACCCATTGTATGAGAAATGCTTGAGTGTAATTTTGAATAGTAGGCACTGTTAGATTCTAGTTTCGATACTCAAGAGCAGAATGCAAAATGAGCAGTTTCTCGTCAATAGTTTTTGCTTGCAAAAACTGGGGAGAGAACAATGGGAATTAAACCGC